TCTTCATCTTAGCCATTACATCGTTGATAGTTCTATATTGTCTCGTTGGTAAACAAATTTTCAACCTAAGGAGTTTTCGGTTTTATGCACAACGGAAAAGAACACGGTCTACAACGAGACCCCAGAGTGGCACCACGCAATTTACGGAAGAAACGGGAGGATTTGGATCTTTCAAGGATTCAGAATGCTCAGAAATTCCAAGGTTTGATGAAGTCACCTTGCCACCTAGTAGAGCAAGTAGTCGACCGACAACAGCTACAGCGATTGCATTCACGACGGGCAAAGTGGCGCCCTCACCAGAAGACTTTGAACGAGCTGAGTCGAGGCTTTCTAATGGATCAGGACAACCTTCTGTAGGAACCCTTCGTATTTCTAGAAGTCTTCATAACGCTTTAAAATCGGATAAAGTATCTGTTCCACCTCGATCCAATTCTGCTTTGTCAGAACGAACTGGCATACATTCTACTAATAATATCCGGAATGGATCTGCGCGAACTAGCAAATTGTTACGACAAATTCAGGTTCGGGAATCGTCGAGAGTTTCTTTTGTAGAAGACGGAGACAAAAGCATAGCCAGCTCAGTAGAAACTAGAGACGCAGATGGCACTGCAGATATAGACCAGAAGAAAACCAGTGCCCAAAACATTAACACAAAAAAGTACACCATTATCATGTTGTCAATAACTGTCGCCTTTATCATAAGCTTTCTACCATATTTGGCCCTCATGACATGGAGAACATTATCTAAAGAATATGAACCGAACCTGTTTTCCAAATCGGAACTAGTAGCATTTCAAATTTTTATTAGGTCATTTCTGATAAATAGTGCAGTTAATCCACTGATATACGGGTTTCTGAATACAGAGTTTAGGAATTTTGTCATTGCCTGTATTTGTTGTCGTAAATATATTGGTCCACCCCATTCAAGATCTGAAAACAGCGGCCATTCCAGATCATCATGAGCGGTCGCTCAAAGTAAACATAGGCGGAAACTCCCATATAAGCGGCCATTACAGGTTATTATGAGCGGTCACTTAAAGCCACCATATTTGGCGATTCCATTATAGGCGGCCATTCCAGGTCATCATGAGCGGTTACTCAAAGTAAATATAGGCTGCACCTCCACAACAGGCGGTCACTCCAGGTCATCATGAGCGGTTACTCAAAGTAAACATAGGCGGCACCTCCACAACAGGCGGCCATCCCAGATTATCAAGGGCGGAAACTCTAGTTAATCATGAGAAGCAACTCAAGATCCTCATGAGCGACCTTTACAGATCATTATAAGCAACCATTCCAAGTCATAATGTGTGGTCATTTCAGGGCCAGGTCAACAGGAGTGGCCATTAAAGATTATCATAACTTAACTACACACCATTTTCATATAAAATGGGCATCATTAAAATGTATATGTATTTATTAAAATAAATTTTCGACTTTTTCTCTCATTGTTATATCAAAATCATAAAGAAACTGAATAAAAAAACAATTTTAGTTGTGTTTTTACATACACCTTTAATGTGGAAGGGGAAGTAAAGGTGTCCAGATAAAATTTGCAACTTTTCTTACTCTAAAGCTTCAGAAGTACATTTTTTTAATGAATAGCCCTGACTTTGTAGTTTAAAAATCGTAACATGCTAGAAATTCGTCAAAGGGTATTCAATATATATATAAAAAAATTATTCATGTTCATCTGAGTCATATTTCAGAAGTGCGCTGACATCGATAATTATAACGAAAACTGATTAACAGGAGATTACAGTAAGGAAGCACCACGCGACGCGAATTTAATACGATGGGATCAAAATTTTCAATCCTTATTAACAATACTAAATCTCTAACAAAGTGGACAATAAGAGATTTCTGTTTTCATTTAAAAGGAATGGACAAATTGATGTGTTGTAGTATTATTAATGAAATAGATAAACAAGCCCACATCGTGGATCTTTCTTGCAAACGTTTTTGTGAATTAAACATTAAAATTTTAAGAAGGCTTTCAATGGTAGTTAGCTTTGTAATATCTGAATTTTTGCTCCCTTTAATGCAATAACAAATGGATACGACGCATTGTCAATTAATAACGGTTATTTCAATTCTTACGCCATATGATACATCCCCATGAGCTTGAAATAAAAAATATCACACGGTTCGACATATCTGTTTTAAATTAGGATATTTTACGTTAATGGTAATCTAACAATCAAGCTTTATGATGAACGTGATGACCTTAATTTTTCAATTGTAAACTTCCCTTACATATGCAGCAATAAAACTTGATCACCTGCATACGAGAGTTATATCTTTCAGTTGATTCGATAGGCAAGAGCATTCTCTACGTATGAAGCATTACTAAAAACGAGATAAGTTATAGACAAACAAGTGAATCAAGAATATCAACAGTCTCCTTCAAAGCCAACATTTCGAAAGAGTTATTGTCGATATATGACTTTGTCAGCAAATACAATCATTTTATCAAATGCTGGCTGACCTTTTAATACTGATTGTTAGATCATTATTTACACATTGAATTGTCGACGGTTTTTTTCGATCATAACAAGAAGCATGCAGCAGGTATGACCGGTTGGCAGGGGATGCTCACTCCTCTATGGCACCCGATCTTACCTATGAAATTTTAAAGATCAATGTTTGCTCCACTCCTATTTTGTATTGTTTGATGGACTCATGAGCTGGATTATTGTTCCTTATCCCCATATATTTCATCCAAATAAACTGCATATGATGTAGAATAAAGAGTATTGAAAATTTCATTATTTGAAAATATACCGATTTATATTTTTAATGAAGCTACTCAGCTATATCAAATGAATGTCGCCTTTTTAATCGAGATATCAAGATGACGTATAGTATAAAATATTTGGTCAACGTGGTTTTAGGGAGATAGCTAGAAGGGTAAAATTTGGGATTAAGATTATCATTTAATTAAAATGTGATTAAAATTAGCATTTTTAGTTGATCATCGCAAAACATTTTGAAAATATTTCCCATTTTGTTTCGGAAAACATTGCACCCTGTCATGCTTAACAATAAAAAGTCTTAAAAGATTAAAACTGACTGGCTATCCTACCTGCCAGACAATATCAACGCAAATGCTTTGTTTAATTTAAAAATCGACTATTGAAAATCATTGACGGCAATTAAGTTTAAAGATAATTCGAACATTGACAGCAACTAAGTTAAACGATAGTCTAAACGATAGTCTAATCGCCCGTATGGTGAAACTGTCATAGCGTCTGCTCCAAAGTGGCGAAGTACGGAGCTGATCCATAGGTTGCAGGTAAGAAATGGATAGCGGTTATTCAAATGAGACTGTACAAATGAATGAAAAAAATCGCGAGAGGAACATTAAACAATAGAAACAAACGAAGTTAATTTAATCACCAATGTTTTAAGCAGTTTGTTTCATACTTAAAAAAATCTTTTGAATGATTTCAGGAATCATAGATCAGATCATGACGAGAAGCACAAAGCAGGAGTGTCTGGTCGGCAAGCGATCCCACCCCGGGTGTTATAGGTTTGTTGTATTTGCTCTGCTCCTGATTTGTATTATTTGAATGGATGTTTGAGCTTAATCTGCTCGTTACCTCCATGTATTTCATACTTTGCACATTCCAGGAACAAGATTTCAGTAGTGCAACCTTTTAACAGAATAGTTTTCACAGAATTAACTGTTATTTTTATGCCCCTGTTATCGAAGATTCGGGGGTATTTACAAGTATTTTTTGCCTTGAACGTCCGTCTTTCCGTCTGTTTGTCTGCAAAAACTTTAACCTTGTCCATAGCCTTTGGCTGGATGGAGCTATGGCTGTCATATTTCACATGTTGACCTCTTGATTTTAGAGTATGTCCCACATTTCCAAAAAATACAAAACTTTAACCTTGGCCATACGTTTTGAACAGTTTATTCTAGGGCTTACATACTTCATGTGTGTAATCATTGTATAAATATTCTTTACCTTTTGCCCTTGACCTTAGAGTTTGACCCATTTTGTAAAAAAAAAAAAAAACCCAACACTTTAACCTTGTTCATAACTTGTGAACATTTAGTACCAGGACTATCATATTTCACAACGTGTTGAGTAGTTATAAATTTATATATAAAAAAAAGTTTGATCTTGTTAGTACTAGTATCAAACTACAGGTATTAAGATCTCTATGCGACAAGATTTACAAAAAGTATAAAAGTCAGGTAACGTCACTGCATGTAGCAGGAGACAAAATCCTCAACAAGACTAAATTCAACAAAGTACTGGTTATGAGTACGTTGCTCTTATTTATTTTTTTTTACCTGTATTTCAACATTCAAGATCATAAATCAAAGCTACAGTTAACTAAACGTAGAAAATCATGTTCCAAATCTTGTCTAGTCAATAAGTACTGTATGAGCTGTCGACTAAATTTATCCAATCCCTGATATTTTGTTAAAATCATATAAGACGTATTTTTGATATGTTCAGACCAACTAAGGTTAAAAAAAGATCTTTCTAGTTAATTTATTACTTTATACAAAGACAGGCTTTTCCCCTATAAATTACACAATTTAAAATCAATCACGTTTCAAAGATATAAATAATATATGCAACTGCATATCTAAATAACAGACACAGTTTAAAGTCAGTTTAACTATAGAAAAGTGAGGTTATTCAAGTTCAAAATATTTGAAAATTTTACTTTGAACGTGATTAAGTTATATCACATATATTTAGATTCAATCCCGTAATATTTTTTTTAGCTCGGATACAGCGTATATAGCTTTAACAATAATATTTTTGTGTTGGTCAAGGACTGGTCGCCAGGAATAGAATATATTCATTGCGGAGATTCAGAGGTTTAACTGAGGAAGAAGCCGGAAGACGTGCAATTTGTCGCACCTGCAAAATCTTGTTTCGGTCGACAGTGTTGCCTAATAAAAATCTTAAGCTAACTCGTTTTTTAAATGCAATTTACATATCTAAATAAGTAATGATGGGTTCATTTTGTAGGGACTTAACCTGGTCATTCTGACAAGAGGAGGATGGATGATTTTAGTGAGGATGTCAGAAGACTGAACGATCAAGCGGTGCAGACAGTAATTCCCGCTATTATCTTTGTCGCCGTCCTCATGGTCATTGGATTCATTGGAAATCCAGCTATTATCTACTTCTATGGTTACAAATTGAGACCAACTCCATCCTACATGTTTATTGTGGCATTAGCAGTATTTGATTTTATTGCTTGTGTTGTCTCAATGCCCATGGAAATTGTTGATCTTGTTCGATTCTACACTTTTGAAAATGCCACGGCCTGCAAGATTTTACGATTTGTAAATTATTTCATGGCTATATCCAGTGGGCTGATTCTTCTTGCCATTGCAGTGGATCGTTATCGAAAAATTTGCAAGCCTTTTGGATCCCAGTTAAGCTTCAAAATGGCAAAAATTATAATATCATGTGTTCTTTTTGCGTCTTTATGTATTTCTTGGCCCAGCCTTCTGTTTTATACCGTCGTGCCAGTGAATCTTACAGAAATTGAAGGAGCAGTGGGGCAAGATTGTACATCGAGGCGAGACAGCTCTTACAAACTTTACATAGCTATATACAATGGAGTTTTATTTCTGATCTTTATTATTTGCAACACCTCTTTAATCGCTCTGTATTGCAAGGTTGGGAGAAAGATTTTCAAGCTCCGAAGCTTTCACTGGAAAAGAACAAGGTCTACCGCACAACCCCAAAGTAGCAGCATGCAACATACGGAAGTAACAGATGGACTTGGATCTAACAAAAGTTCGAGTTTAGGAAAAAATCCTGATTTAGATGACGATACCTTGCCAAGCAGAAGTAATGGTACAACTTTAAAATTAATGACCAAAAAGGTGCTGTCATCACCAGAGGACACAAAAACCATTTCGTCAAACTCTTTAAATGGAGCAGGTAATTCGTCAAAAGACAACTTAAATGTTTCTGAAACCGTTGATTACCCTTCAAAATTGCAAATACTTTTGGTTCCATCTCGATTCGATCAAACCTCAACAAGTCGTAAAAATGCAGCTGATGAATTGATCCAAACGAACCAATTGTTGGGACAAAATCTACTTCAATCTTCACCAGAGGAGGATGAGTCTAAAATTAAATGTCAAATTAATGAAGCAAAATGCATCAAAATTACACAGCAGTCAAAAATGAATACTCACAGTAATAAGACAAAACAGTACACGATTATCATGCTGTCAATTACCGTTGCTTACGTCATAAGCTTCTTGCCATATTTATGCCTTGTGACGTGGAGAACAGTAGCAAAGGGTTATGAACCGAACCTACTCTCAAAGTCGGAATTAGTGGCATTTCAAATTTTTATGCGATCATTTCTGATAAATAATGCAGTTAATCCATTGATATACGGGTTTCTGAATACTGAATTTAGGAATTTTATATTTGGATGTTTTTGTTGCTGGGCTAGACGTAAAAATAGAGATCACGCAAGCCATCGTCGTAAAAATACTGGTAATTAAAGCTTTAGCTAACCCGAGCTAAATGCTCAAGTGGACTTGCTTGATCATATTTTGTTTGTAATCCGTCTAGCCGTCCGTCTGTAAACTTTTCACATTTTCGACTTCTCCAGAACCACTGGACCAATTTCAACCAAACTTGCCACAAGACATTCTTAAACTGGGTGAAGGGGATTCAAGTTTGATCAATTACAGGGCCACCCCCACAATTTTGGGAAGATAATTAAGAAATAGTGAACATTTGGTGGAATGTTAAAAAAATCTTCTTCTCAAGAACTACTGGGCCAAAAAAGTTAAAACTTATAAGAAATATTTTCTACCTAGTGTAGACTTAAGATCAAAATCATGATCGCCGGGATCACAATCAAATTTTTACATAGGAATATGTATGAAAAAATCTTTAAAAATCGTTTCAAGAACAAATAGGCCTAAGCCATGTCTAGTCGAATTGATAGATGAGATTCCTCTGGTAGTGTAAATTCAAGTGTGTTCAAATAATGTCCCTCTGGAGTAGAGTGTGGTCACAATGGGGAAATAAAATTTTACATAAGAATATATTAATTATTCATATATTTCCAAGTTTGTCCATCACTGATATCAAATTTAAGAGATTTTAAGCTTTGAAATGTCAATGGAAAAGTTATCGTTTTAGTTGTTTTCCTTTTTTAAGCTTTGAAATGTAAATGGAAAAGTGACCTTTTTGGATGTTTTCCTTTTTTAAAGTAGAAAACATTGAGTAAATTAAATCGAATTCTTCTCAATTTATTTGAATTTACAAAATTTTAAATAATTCAGATTAAAAGTTCACCCATATCTTTTGTTTAAATTTCTTAACTGCAATAATAATATAGACAGAAACTTTTAAAAAGAGTTAATATTACAGCCAAGAATCCGCGACGCCTTACACAATAATCACATCTATAAAGTCTTTGTTCCCTTCCTCAAAGACTATTTCAAAACATGAAAAATTTCTTTGTTTTCTGTACTGTTCGTTATCTTCATATGTTTCATTTCTATAAAATCTTGGATTCCTCGTCATAATTGATAGACACTCGACAGAAGATCCTGATAAAGGTGACAAGTGCTTGTTCAGAATGTAAATGTTTCATCTTTTTGCATGAAATACTATTAGTCCATTGAGTTGGTGAAATGTATTAACATGCACATTTATAAATGGAGTCTCCATGCATATGACTTGAATTTGTAATGTTGTAAATTAGTGAACTCTTATGTTATTCATCTTCACGATCAATGCGCTATGTCTCACTACATCTATTTATTGTACGTGATTGTCAGTAACGATGCCATGTAAAATTATGTGTTTTATCATAATGTGGACATTAAATGACACCTTAAAAAACTAGTTTACGAATTATTTGTTAGAAAAACGTGAGGCGTATGTAAATATTGTACAATATACGAAACATTAGAAGAAAGCTATCAATGTGACAGCAAACCGAAAATACATTTGTGTGAATAGTTTTGGCATTTTACTTATCATACTAACAAATGAAATAACGAAAATTATTTAAACTCAAAAGTCCATAAAACTTTACAAATTAGTAGCAGAGTAAGAAGAACCTCTTAAACATTAGAGGTGGGATCAGGTGACATGGTGGAGTGAGCATCTCCTAAAGACCGGTCACGCCTGCCGTGTTTCTATAGTCATGATTTCGAGGGTGACACAGTAAAACAACTCATTGAGAACCCTCATTCGTTCATAGGTCGACATATCCAAGTAAACTGAAGGACTTGATATAAAACTGTAACGGCACTCTGTTGCACTCAGTCTAGATAATGAGTTCGTAAGAACCTATTTGCCTAACTAAATAATAGTTTTCCTCATCATATATTCATTTATTTGAATGTCCCTACCGTGGGTTAAACCAAGAAGTGAATCAAAAACAAATGTAAGACCTTCAGTAAGTAAGTGCTGTGTTTTCTAAATAAACAGACTATTACCAGAGACTCTATTCGGTCGGCTCTATTCGGGCCACTTTCCCCAGATCTGAGCTATTTTCCCTGACTTAATGTCAGTGCTATTGCCAGTCGCCGTGGACGACCACTCAGGAAAATAATACGATAGGCAGACAGCCAAAGCAGCTTCGGCTCTATTCGGGCCACTGATCTGATTCCCTACTTGTCTTTCCTAACACTTAGAACCCTTTATTAACCCTTACTTAATATCAAGCTTCTTCAAACGATCTGCGAACTAGAAAGACACAGAATCGCAACACCCCTAGTTTCTATATACACAGGGTGTTCTAAATGTAAGGAGTGTCAAGTCATTCCATTTTACCAGGACAAATATGGTCAATAAAACCCTTTGATTCAATACGATAGAAACATTGCAAAACATAGAGTTTTCAACATATACAGCTGTAAATGAATGCTTGATTGATTAATTTTTTTTTTACGCCGAGTCGGCAATTATTCAGCCATATTTCAGTGGAAATGCTTCATTGGCTGCAAACGATAGGGGCCGACTTACATCTACATTTTACAATTTATATGTTGTAATATTCCGCTATAACCTGCAAATAAGGTTTATTTCTCCCTACTTAGGCGATACTCCTGAGCAATGCACCGAGTACGATTAAATCGTATACTGACACTGGCTAATTACAAATAAGTTGATGTTACAGGGCTTTAAAAAATTTGATAAAAGTAATCTCACATTCTATGGTATATATAATAATGACCTTCTAAGCAACGAGAACTTATCATAAGGTTTAGAAAGAACATATCGCCAAAAAGGCAATTTTTAAGAAAGTTTTTTAATTATACCAGAAATGAGGATTCTGCTTTTTTTCGATATTTATTTTCACCACAGGAAATGACAGAACACATTAGCATCTCGACGATTATCCATACGTTACAAGGGCATTTATCATAGCAATTGTAGCTTAAAGCAAACAATGGGCATTGGGGGCAGCCGCTTGGTTGCTAGACTGAACCTAAACAATATTGAAAATAATATTCATTTTTTTAAAAGCAGACTATACATGTATAATCCTTGTTAAAATAAACCGACACAAATTTAGAAAATTTTATCTATAAACAGATACTAAGTACACAAAGAAACGTAGGATAACATAAATAAAATTGTGTTTGATGTCCGACTTTTTAAAATTATTACGATAAAAGAGTAAAAGAGGCACTGTGCTATGTGTAAAATAAAATGCACCGTCTTTGGTAAAAAAGAATAAGGGATGAGAAGGAGACAATGAGATAGGGAAAGCCAAAGAAAGAATAAGGAATAATTGAAAGAGGGGAAAACAAGAAAGCGATGGAATCATTTCATTTTTTCATAAATAAATGAAATCATCTATTTGCAGATTTAGTTTAACTTTAATTCACACACCGCGGTCAATCGAATCCAGATTTACTTATATGCGCGTGCTACCGATCGAATACATGTAATCGATATCGCTCATAATCTGATCATGGCTTAAGAATTTTTAATTGGAAAACACATCATAATTTTGTTTTAGAAATTTATTCAACTGTAAATGCTATTTGACAGCGTCTATATCATTTATACAGATGTTCTGCTCTCTTTGGACATCGTTTTTCTCTCTGTCTCTTTAGATAAGTGTCGAAGGATTACAATAAACGACCCAAAATGCTCAGGACATTGTTTCGTGTGACTTTTAAGGATTTTCCGACTCTTATATTAATACCAAGTTAATTTTTATAATAAAAACAGCGCATTTGTCACAAATGGCAAATTCTCGGCAATAGTTTGATTAGAAAATGATCTTTTTCGGAATGAGCATGGTGACCATCAAAACCCAAGTCTTCTGTCTTTGGAGCGTCGTTTATTCAATGTGCATAAAGTCTGTGTGCCTTCTTTTTATTTTATCTAATATGTTTTAAATTTAAAGTAAATATATATATTTTATGGATTTAACAATTATGTTATTGTAAAAGATAACTATTTTTCTTACAGTAAGTTAGTGATCTTTCATATCAAATTATTTAACAAAGGACCGTGGCATATCTCTTCCCCAGCTCGCTTTCACTGGGCAACAGAAGAAACATCATTTTTAATCATCTCCCTTTCTTCACTAGATCAATCCAATTAATGATTAAACGTTGCTATATACTCCTGCAAAGGAATTTCCAACAGAGACATTTAACTTTACAGCCGTACGTTGCTCGAATACGACTGAGTAAACCATATTTTGTCACATGTGATCTACATATTGACGTCATCTTCACATTGTGACGTCACAAACATGGGAAAATATGGTATTTGTGTAATATGTGTATGACTCTTGTGTGCCAAATTTCATTCTGATCTGAATTGTGGTTTTGTAAATATAGAGTTTGCAAACTTTTTGATCACCCCAAGTATGTCTATTAACCTGCTGTGTTTAATTCAGATTTTAATCAATGTGAGTATAGTTAGAGCTTATAGTATTGTTAGAATTCCTAAAACTTAAATTTAGGACGCGAAGGACGAAGATATAACATATGCTCATCTCAACTTCCTTAAATTGACAAAAAGGAAACTAAATTATATATTATGCAGACATAAGTGTTGATACATTATGTAAGAACACAGATTTATAGATATGGGGGAAACTTTACCACTTCTTAAGAATTGTTTATTTTTAATTTATTTTTTTAAAGATGAAAACTCAAGGAAGTGTTCCTTGTAATTGATAAGCTTTGGAAGTTATTTATTTGAAGACACAAATCTCAGTCTGTTTTCAGTAAGATCAGCCGGTGGTTATTCGTTTCATAGTTATAAGATATATTACATAACCACACCTTAATTATTGTTTTACCTTTCATAGTAAACAAATATATATATAAAAATAATTGTTTCCTTGTAAATAGTCAGGATGGGAAATATTTATTTTAAAGACATAAAACTCAAATAGTGTTTTAAAAGAGAGTCTTTTTGACACAGACTGTATAATTGCACCGAATTTTGAGGGATGACTAATATCAGTGTCAGTGAGTATGTCAAAAAACTGAACGATGAAGCGGTGGAGGCACTTATTCCCGCCATTATTTACGTTGTCATCCTCTTGGTCATCGGTGTCGTCGGGAACCCTGTCATTGCATTCTTTTATGGCTTAAAATTGAAACCGACTCCATCTTACATGTTTATTGTAGCTTTAGCCATTTTTGATTTTGTCGTTTGCGTTATTTCCATGCCTCTAGAAATCGTTGATTTAATTCGATTCTACACATTTGAGAGTGCCATAGCCTGCAGACTTTTAAGATTTGTGAACTACTTTATGGCCATATCAAGTGGATCAATTCTCATTGCAATTGCAGTTGATCGCTACCGGAAAATTTGCAAGCCGTTTGATTCCCAAATATCAATGAAAATGGCCCGGATAATAATAGCATGTGTTCTTTTGGGGTCCTTATGTATTTCGTGGCCAAGCTTCGTGTTTTATACCGTTGTGCAAGTGAATCTAACAGAAGTTGCTGGTGCAGTGGGTCAAGATTGTACCACAAGGCGTGACGATTCCTACAAACTCTATATTACTTTATACAATGGTATTTTATTTCTTATGTTCATCATATCCATTACATCGCTGATCGTTCTTTATTGTCTTGTTGGGAAACAAATTTTTAACCTTCGAGACTTCCGGTTTTATGCACAGCGAAAAAGAAAAAATTCTGCACCACCACAAAGTAGCATTACTCAATGTACAGAAGAATCAGGTGGACTTGGTTCCGTTGCAGATTCGAATTCCGCAGAAATTTCCAAGTTTGAAGAAGTCGTCGTGACTCCTAGTGGGGAAAGCAGACGACCTACAACAATCACGGCGATGAAATTCATGTCGAGAAACAAATCAACTAAAATATGTGAAAGCGATGAATCTAATATTTCTGATGGAATAAAACATTTGCCTGATGACAATCGTCCTACTACTTCGTCAGAGAAAATGTCTGTTTCCCCACGATCTAAATTTGCCTTGTCGGAACTCACTAACAGGGATTCTGCAAAAAAGGAATCCATTAGAACTGAAAAATTTATTCAAGTTCGGGAACCTTCTGAAGATTTTTCCAAAGAGGTCGACAGAACAACAAACACACCAAACACATTGGAAACAGGAAACGCAAAGCCCTCTGCAAATTTACACAAGGAGAAAATGAGTGTTCACAGCATCAAAACAAAAAAATACACAATAATCATGTTATCAATTACAATCGCTTTCATCGTAAGCTTTTTACCATACTTGTCCCTTATGACATGGAGAACATTATCAAAAGAATACGAGCCAAACCTGTTCTCGAAATCGGAACTGGTGGCATTTCAAATTTTTATTCGCTCATTCCTGATAAACAGTGCTGTAAATCCTCTGATATATGGTTTTTTGAATACGGAGTTTAGGAGTTTCATCATAGCGTGTTTTTGTTGCAGGAAAAATGCTCTGTCTCGCCCGTCAAGATCCAATAACAGTAGCTATTCAAAAACAAAATAGGTTAAAGTAACTGGAGCCCCTGCAATTTATTTTAAATTATTCACGTTCCTATTAAAGTACATCACATTAGAAACCTATGTAGGTATTTACAGTGTGTATATAGTTTTAAAGAGCAAGGTGTGGTTTCAATACAAATCCTGCCCTGTGATTTTCTTAAAAACGAAATTTAAGTAAAAGATGAAAAGTCATGCTTTCTTAATCATTGAAATTCCATGCAGAAAAATCGTACAAATTATTTTCCTCACATGCATTTATAAATGCTTATTTTGACGTCATAAACATGTGCATTTTCCCGTATTTTCTTAAAAAGTTGCAGAAGACACCAATTTTCAATAGAATTTTCTTTCAGATAAAATTGTCCACAGGCATCGCCCACAAAGATTTTCAGATATGTGATTTTTCATTGATTTTTGCACAACATATCTTAAAATTAAAGTAGACGACGGCTGTGGACACTATTATTTGAAAGAAAATTACCCTTGAAATGAGTCATTTTCAGACCTTTTCTGCTTAAAGTAGAGAAATGCATTAAATTAATTACGTCATATTTCCAGAATGGTACTCCTTTATGTCATATTCTTTTCTGATCTATCACAGTCATAAACTCGATAAATATTTAAGCCAATTTCAAAAACTTTTTGAAAGCATTGAATTTTTAGGGCACGATAAAGCTAAAACCATACCGTCTTCTTTGAACACCTTCACTGGTATATGGTTATACGACGTATCGATATGGGTGAAAAGTCTTGAATTATATACTAGTATACACATATCAATACATTTTAATATACCTTGAATTTTTTATTCTGTTAATCTAAATACATGTGAAATTTCTTCTCATGCATGTTAATTTTTAAATCGTGTTTCGGTGCTGATTTTATATGCTTATGATATTTTTGATAAAACGTACATGTATTGTCAATAAATATTATCCTCGGATACATTTATTTAATTTAAAATTGCCGATACTCTTACAATTATATCCCCCCATACACATACATATCTGATATACGTACTCACTATCTACAAACTATTGTAGCATTTGATACTCACTGCTACTCATCAGCAATAACTAAGTAGCATTATTTCTTCTAAATGTCATTTTTTTCTCTCTGACGGACTTAATATAATCACTATTGATTAAATATCAAAATTTTAGCCTTGGTGGGGGAAGAGTAAGTGGAAGGTAAGAAGAGGGTGGGTTAGGGAGGACAGGGGACGATAAGAAAAAGGTGCGGAAAATAGGGAGGAGGAAGGAGCAAAATAAAGCAAAGGAATGGCAGAAGAGGAGGGTCGGGGTGGGGATAAAAGGAATAATAGGAATGTGAGGGATCCCTCCACTCTTCCATTTGATCCCCTCATGTTGATTCTTTTTACATCATTTTCTTGTGTTTTCTTTAAAAAATTCTTTTGAAGTTTTAAATCCCGCCTTATAAGAAGACTTCAACTATTGTTATTATATTAATTAGATAATAATAATAGTATATTTTAACATAAAGGTGGGAAATAATCGTAATATTTATTGTAATGTTTAGTATTTAGAGTACAATGAATAGCCGTAAAAAGAAAAAACAGCTGTGAATCAGACATGTCATACATAGTCGTGTTTATAATTCTTTTATTATGGGGTATATCGAAAGTGTGTCTGAATGTCAATCGATAAAATTTCATCAGGATATCTAAATGTAGAATAAGAAGCAACAGCAAGATAATTCTTTTCATTTTCATTTCAAATAATTTTGTTAAATGGCTAATAACGGTTTGCTAATAATAAGGCATAGTCAAGATCCATAAGAATTTTAAAAGATAGTAATAAGACCCGGTTTCCAAAGACTACATAAATACTGCCGACGAGGAACACATGTACCTTCTTCTATAATCTAACTCATTACTTATGTGTAGAATCATCATCGCTCTCAGAAAGTAAGTTTGAAGATTAATTTGCCAAGATATAAAGTTTCACTTTTCTCGAAAAGCAGCTGTCTTTCATGACAAAAATATTCAATTCTAAAACATCAGCGGTGGGATCAGATGCCATAGACGAGTGAGCATCCCCTGCCGACCGGTCACATCCGCCGTGTGCTCCTTGTCATGATCGGGAAAATACGGAAAAATCCGTCGTCAATTCAGTGTATAAATAATGGACCGACAATTAGTATAAGAAACGTAGTCAGCATTTGACTCAATGATAAATTGTATTTGCTGACAAGGTCATTGTATCGACCATAGAACTTACCAAATGATTACTTTAAACGAGACTGCTGATATTTTTGTTTCATAAACTTGTTTGTCTTTTATAGTTGACGAATTACTCTCACACTATGACAGTGTACGGCAGCTCTTTTACGATATAAATATTTAGCTTAACATTTAATTCAACTAAAATAACAAAGCACAAATAAGTTGTCCTGGAAGAAAACGACAACCATCGTACCCTCAAATCCAGGCCTTTACATATAAGTGCCCCTAACACCATTACTATGACTACTAGAAAGGTTTTCTTATCCATCAATTCTGCACCCCCTGTAGATGAACAGGTTTAAATGTCCTAGTAAATAAGTCAGCATTTGACTCAATGATAAATTGTATTTGCTGACAAGGTCATTGTATCGACCATAGAACTTACCAAATGATTACTTTAAACGAGACTGCTGTTAGTCTTGTTTCATCAACTTGTTTGTCTTTTATAGTTGACGAATTACTCTCACACTAGGACAGTGTACGGCAGCTCTTTTACGATATAAATATTTAGCTTAACATTTAATTCAACTAAAATAACAAAGCACAAATAAGTTGTCCTGGAAGAAAACGACAACCATCGTACCCTCAAATCCAGGCCTTTACATATAAGTGCCCCTAACACCATTACTATGACTACTAGAAAGGTTTTCTTATCCATTGTCAATTCTGCACCCCCGTAGATGATACAGGTTTAAATGTCCTAGTAAATATTCAACTGTAAAAGTCAGTGCTTCTCGTAAAAGTCCTTTAGAAATTGTTCATACGTAGAGCATGCGCTTGCGTATCTATGTAAACTCCGTATGCAGGTGTACATAAATTGAACTGAATCAGTTCAATTTATGTACACCTGAAGACGGATTATGAGATCCAGAAAGCGCATATATATATATATATATATATATATATATATATATATATATATATATATATATATATATATATATATATATATATAAATATATAGTCTTGTTTAAATAAATAACAAAGCAAATTCCAGGTGGGGGGGGGGGGGGTCCAATCTCCCTAGCCACTCCCTGTCCCTGAAATAACAATCTATTGTGTGATTCCAATTAATTAGTTGATTTTTTCCCTTTTGACTAATTATACATATTTTGTTTCTTGTGTTTATATTACTGTAAATCACTTTTTATTCGCGAAAACTTTATTTTGGCGTAATTACGAGAGACGGTATGCTCGCCAAAATTTCATTCTCGCGTACAACAAAATTCCATAAGATTATATAGAGCAATGACCACAATTCGTGAAAATTTTGTCTCCCTTAAAAAGAGTCAATGACTATCTCGCGAAAATAAGATGTCGCGAAAATTAAGTGATCTACAGTATGTCTGTCTAGTGTCTATTTGGCTGTAGAAACTTTAACCTTGCCCATAAGTTTTAAGTGGGATGGGCTATACACATGGCTTCCACATTTCATAGGTTTATTTCTTGTGACAAGACCTTTTATTTTGACCTCTTGATCACTTGACCTAGGATTTTTACACATTTTTACAAGAAAAATTCCAAACTTTAAATTTGGCCTAAATTTTGATCAGTAGGTGCTAGAGCTTTCATGCTTAACATGTATATTCATTATGAACTGTCAACAGGTATAAATATGTTTGACCTTGACCCTAGAGTTTGAACCACTTAAAAAAACATTTTAACCTTGGCAATTAACTTTTGAACAGGGAGTACTAGGGATTATTTATTTCACATGTGTATTCCTTGTGATAAGACTTTCTTCTGATACCAACAATTTGAACCATTTGACCTTGACCTTTGAGTTTGACATATATTTGAGAAACTTCAACCTTCGCCATAGGCTTCCATACAGGGGCATCAGTGTTTCACAAACACATCTTGTCTTCATTATTATTTGGTGGTGTCTCCATATGAGGGAAAAGTTCCCGAGAGAGATGTATTCACAACAAACAAACAAATTACTAAAAAAATATAAAACATGAATATGTTGGTAATGCATATCTCTGCAAGAAAAAACAGCTTTTCATATACTGTAACCATATTGTAACCCTTTCAAAACACTCATTTGAGTTTTTCTGGTTTCCTTATCATATAACGTCTGTTGTGACGCGTCGTCCATCTGTTTGTCTGAAAACTTTTTACATTTTTAACTTCTCTAGAACCACTGGGCCAATTTTACCCAATTCATATATGTACATTTGTATGTCAGACTGTCCATCTGTCTCAATAAATTTAACCTTGGTCATCACGGTCATATCTACTGAATGAGAAGAGACAAGGCATTCATATTAAACTTATGTACTAGTATTTACCTGTGAGAATGGCATGATTTTTTTTGTGACCTAGAAGTTTGACCTACTAGCAAAAAAGATAAATTGTTATAAATTCATCATTTTGAAAGAGAAAAGTTAGGGCATTCATATCATAATGCATGTACATTATTATTATTACCTGTGATAAGACCTTTCCAAATAAATCATGACTTTTAACTCTGTGACCTTGACCTTGAAGCCTAACCTACTTTTCAAAAATGTTGCATTTGCTTATAACTTTTGATTGAGAAGAGATATGACTCTCACATTTGACATGTACATTAATTACTCATAAGAATTCAAGATGATTCCCAGCATGCGATGCTTTTTTACCCCTTGACGTTGATGCTTTACCTAATTTTCAAAATATTTAACTCTCCTAAAAGATGATTAGGCTTCTGAGTAACATTAAGGAGGAATTCAGAGAATACAGGGCTTTTTGCATAAAGAACGTAATTTTTCCACCCCCATTTTACCCCCCGGGGCAAAATCAAAATTCCGAAAACTTACTGAACATCTACATATCACCACCAACCATCTCCCAAAAGAAGATTAGGCCACTGAGTAAAATGTAAGAGGAGTTCAAGGAAGACGGGGCTTTTTGCATAAAAAACGTCATTTTTTGACCCCCATTTGACCCCCTGGGGCAAAATCAAAATTCCGAAACCTTACTGCACATCTACATGACACCACCAACCGTCTCCCAAAAGATGATTAAGCTACTGTGTAAAATGTAGGAGGAGTTCAGGGAAGAAAAGTGTGACAGACGGACGGACGGACGAACATGAGTAACAACAATATACCCAAACTTTCTTTATAAAGTGCGGGTATAATAATACTCTTTACCAACAGAATCAGTAGAAGGTCTTCCGTTGGAAACGGAAGACCTTAATAATCTTAATCACAAGCTTAAGAATCAGCAGAAGGTCTTCCGTTGGAAACGGAAGAACCTAAATATAATAATCGTTTCCTTGTAAATAGTCAGGATGGGAAATATTAATATTAAAGACATAAAACTCTGATAGTGTTTTAAAACAGTCTTTTTTTCATAGACTGTATAATTGCACCGAATTTTGCAGGATGACTAATATCAGTGCTAGTGAGTATGTCAAAGAACTGAACGATGAGGCGGTGGAGGCGCTTATTCCCGCCATTATTTACGTTGTGATCCTCATGGTCATCGGTGTCGTCGGGAACCCTGTCATTGCATTCTTTTATGGCTTAAAATTGAAACCGACTCCATCTTACATGTTTATTGTGGCTTTAGCCATTTTTGATTTTGTCGTTTGCGTTATTTCCATGCCTCTAGAAATCGTTGATTTAATTCGATTTTACACATTTGAAAGTGCCATAGCTTGCAGACTTTTAAGATTTGTGAACTACTTTATGTCCATATCAAGTGGATCAATTCTCATTGCCATTGCAGTTGATCGCTACCGGAAAATTTGCAAGCCGTTTGATTCCCAAATATCAATGAAAATGGCCCGAATAATAATAGCATGTGTTCTTTTGGGGTCCTTATGTATTTCGTGGCCAAGCTTCGTGTTTTATACTGTTGTGCAATTGAATCTAACAGAAATTGCTGGTGCAGTGGGTCAAGATTGTACCACAAGGCGTGACGATTCCTACAAATTCTATATTACTTTATACAATGGAATTTTATTTCTTATGTTCATCATAGCCATTACATCCCTGATCGTTCTTTATTGTCTCGTTGGGAAACAAATTTTTAACCTTCGAGACTTCCGGTTTTATGCACAGCGAAAAAGAAAAAATTCTGCACCACCGAAAAGTAGCATTACTCAATGTACAGAAGAATCAGTTGGACTTGGTTCCGTTGCAGATTCGAATTCCTCAGAAATTTCCAAGTTTGAAGAAGTCGTCGTGACTCCTAGTGGAGAAAGCAGACGACCTACAACAATCACAGCGATGAAATTCATGTCGAGAAACAAGTCAACTAAAATATGTGAATGCGATGAATCTAATATTTCTGATGGAATAAAACATTTGCCTGAAGACAATCGTCCTACTACTTCGTCAGAGAAAATGCCTATTTCCCCACGATCTAATTTTGCCTTGTCGGAACTCACTAACAGGGATTCTACAAGAAAGGAATCCATTAGAACTGAAAAATTTATTCAAGTTCGGGAACCTTCTGAAGATTTTTCCAAAAAGGTCAACAGGACAACAAACACGCCAAGCACATCGGAAACCGGAAACGCAAAGCCCTCTGCAAATTTACACAAGGAGAAAATGAGTGTTCACAGCATTAAAACAAAGAAGTACACAATAATCATGTTATCAATTACAATCGCTTTCATCGTTAGCTTTTTACCATATTTGTCCCTTATGACATGGAGAACATTATCAAAAGAATTCGAGCCAAACCTGTTCTCGAAATCGGAACTGGTAGCATTTCAAATTTTTATTCGCTCATTCCTGATAAACAGTGCTGTAAATCCTCTGATATATGGTTTTTTGAATACGGAGTTTAGGAGTTTCATCATAGCGTGTTTTTGTTGCAGGAAAAATGCTCTGTCTCGCCCCTCAAGGTCCATTAACAGTAGCTATTCAAGAACAAAATAGATAAAGTAACTGAAGCCTATGCAATTTATTTTAAATTATTCACGTTTCTATTAAAGTATTTCACTTTAAGAACCTATGTAGGCATTGACAGTGTGTATATAGTTTTAAAGAGCAAGGTATAGTTTCAATACGAATCTTGCCCTGTGATTTTCTTGGCAAACGAAATTTGAGTAAAAGATGAAAAGTCATGCTTTCTGAATCATTGAAATTCCATGCAGAAAAATTGTACAAATTATTTTCCTCACATTTATAAATGCTAATTGTGACGTCATAAATATGTGTATTATCCGTATTTTCTTAAAACTTTGCAGAAGACACCAATTTTCAATAGAATTTTCTTTCAGATAAAATTGTCCACAGGCATCGCCCACAAAGTTTTTCAGATATGTGATTTTTCATTGATTTTTGCACAACATATCAAAAAATTAAAGTGGACAATAGCTGTGGACACTATTATTTGAAAGAAAATTACCCTTGAAATGAGTTATTCTCAGGCCTTTTCTGCTTAAAGCAGAGAAATGCATTAAATTAATTACGTCATATTTCCAGAATGGTACTCCTTTATGTCATATTCTTTTCTGATCTATCACAGTCATAAACTCGACAAATATTTGATTCAATTTCAAAAACTTTTTAAAAACATTGAATTTTTAGGGAACGATAAAGCTAAAACCATACCGTCTTCTTTGAACGCCTTCACTGGTATACGGTTATACGACGTATCGATATGGGTGAAAAGTCTTGAATTATATATACACATATCAATACATTTTAATATATCATGAAGTTTTTATTTTGTTAATCTAAGTACGTGTGAAATTTCTTCGCATGCATGTTAATTTTTCAATCGTGTTTCGGTGCTGATTTTATATGCTTATGATATTTTCGATAAAACGTACATGTATTGTCAATAAATATTATCCTCGGATACATTTATTTCATTGAAAATTGCCGATATGCTTACAATCATACCCCCTACACATACATATCTGATATACGTACTCAGTATCTACAAACTATTGTAGCATTTGATACTCACTGATACTCATCAGCAATAACTAGGTAGCATTTTTCTTCTAAATGTCATTTTTCTCTCTGACAGACTTGATATAATACTATTGATTAAATATCAAAATTTTAGCCTTGGTGGGGGAAAGAGTAAGTGGAAGGTAAGCAGAGGGTGGGTTAGGGAGGACAGGGGACGATAGAAAAAGTCCATAAAATAGGGAGGAGGAAGGAGCAAAATAAAGCAAAGGAATGGCAGAAGAGGAGGGTCGTGGTGGGGATAAAAGGGGTAAACAGGAATGTGAGGGATCCCTCCACTCTCCCATTTGATCCCCTTATGTTGATTCTTTTTACATCGTTTTCTTGTGTTTTCTTAAAAAAAAATTCTTTTGAAGTTTTAATCCCGCTTTATAAGAAGACTTCAACTACTGTTATTATATTGATTAGATAATACCGGTATTAATAGTATATTTTAACATAAAGGTGGGAAATAATCGTAATATTTATTGTAAATGTTTAGTATTTAGAGTACAATGACTATCCGTAAAAAAGAGCTGTGAATCAGACATGTCATACACAGTCGTGTTTATTATTCTTTTATTACGGGGTATATCGAAAGTGTGTGTGAATGTTAATAGATAAAATTTCATCAGGATATCTAAAAGTAGAATAAGAATTTTAAAATAATTTTGTTAAATGGCTAAAAGCGGTTTGCTAATAGTAAGGCATAGTCAAGATCCACAGAATTTTAAAAGATAGTAATAAGATCCGGTTTCCAAAGACTACATAAATACTGCCGAAGAGGAACACATGTACCTTCTCCTACAATCTAACTCTTATTACTTATGTGTAGAATCATCATCGCTCTCAGAAAGTAAGTGTGAAGATTAATTTGCCAAGATATAAAGTTTCGCTTTTCTTTGAAAAGCAGCTGTCTTTCATGACAAATATATACAATTCTTTATTTATTTCGGGAAATGTCTGTTTAAAAATTATAAGAAGTCGTGCACGAAGGATTTGGAGATAACGAACAGTATTCAATATCAAAGCCCATAAAACAATACAAAATAGAAGCAGAGCAAACGCGTACCTCTAAAACATCAGATGTGGGATCAGGTGCCATGGAGGAGTGAGCATCCCCTGTCGACCGGTCACACCCGCCCTGTGCTCCTTGTTATGATCGGGAAAATACGGAAAAACCCGTTGTCAATTCAGTGTATAAATAATGGACTAACAATTAGTATGAAAAACGTCAGTCGGCATTTGGCTAAATGATAAATTGTATTTGCTGAAAAGGTCATTGTATCGACCATAGATCTTAGGAAATGATGACTTTAAACGAGACTGCTGAAAGTCTTGTTTCATCAACCTGTTTGTCAATAATTTACCTCGATTTAGGAATTGCTCATACGTAGAGTCATCAATTTTATCATAGTGCTTGGTTGATAGATTATCATTAGTGTCTTTTTCAAGTAAAATATCCAAGTATGAAACAGATGTATCAGACTCTGTGGTATCTTTCATCTCAAGCTGACCAGGATATATCGTATCGACATAGGAATGGAAATGTTCATTGGTAATTGACAATACGTCGTCGATACATCTAAATGTCGAGTTGAAGGCCATAGCAAGTGTTTTCATCTTTTCATGCATAAGATTTTGCACAAATTCTGCTTCGTATGAATACAAAAATAGGTCTGCTAATAGCGGAGAGCAATTGGTACCCATGGGAATTCCAGTAGATTGTTGGAGGACCTGGTCTCAAAAGCCACATAGATATTGTCAATCAGACACTCAAGCATCATTTTGATGTAAACTTCAGAGTACGTGTGTGTGCAATCAGAATGTGTTTTAACAAAATAATTTTGCAAATGACCAATGACGAGGTAAGTACTTAGTATGTTAGGCTACCGATTTTGGCAAAAATTAATCATTTAATATACTCCACTATTTTCAAAATTTTAAAAAATACAATGTATCTTCAAAGTAAAGATAATTTTAGAATACAAAGCACGTGGAGAAAAATATGTATATTAGAAAATCTAAAAGCAGATTTTCCTGAATAAGAAAATACACCTGTTATATATATATATGAATAAATAAATATCTTGATCTAAAAATTACGGGGGAAAGCCTCTTCATTAATAAACATAAACAACACTGGCTAAACATTAAATTATGTATATAAAGGAAATGTCTGGGAGGAATGTCCCAGAAAAAAAGCAACAGATTCTGTTTTGTTTTCCAGATTTTAGAAGTTCTATAAAATTCAACAACATTATCAATATAAATGTACATGTCCGTATTTGTAATCATATTCTTGTCTTCATAGAATTAGCAAAACTAACATTTCATTATACTAATAATCACCTATAGAACCAGAGATATTCGATCACTATTTTCTCTTCAAGTAAGACCATTTTAGCAAAAAAAAAAAAAAAAAAAAAATGCAGACAGTTTAGCTGGTAAGCCTTGATATAGATGCAAAAAATTAAAGTTAAGAAGGATTTGTGAATATGTCGTCTTTTCTTTCTTGGTTTCATATGAGAACTACATGTATAAAAATAATAATAAATTAAATTAAGATGAAAAAAACCTCCAGCAATAAATTACTTTATAACAATTAAAAAGTTAAGGACACACAAATAAAGTATAAATAAAATACCCCATGCTTTATAGCAAGGTTAACGAAAGACTGAGTAATTTACTTAATAAACATTTAAAGCACAATTAGACTCAATCATTGTACATGTTTTACGTTGAATTCATACATCCAATGTCTTTACGTCGCAGCAGTGACTTTTTGATAATCTACTACAAAACATAATTTAATACGAGACAATTTTAAACTGTACTTCATAATGGTAACTTGAAGAAGAGTTGTAATAGTGTAATATTTGATTTCAGTCAGATCGAGGCAGGATACTAGTACTTGTAGTATTAACAACACAATACAGTCATATTCAGATCCCCTGCCCTGGTTGAATTGTAAAGGTTATGTTTAGATGTAGATCAGACGACTTGGTATAAACCTCCTATATTGTTTTCAGAATCTCAGCATACTCTTTTTCACTGATGATCTAGGATATCAAACACAGGAAAAACGAGCAATTTTTCCTCAGAGACGCGTATCTATTACAGAAAAAAACCCATTTACAAGTAAACTTTATGAACATATCCACAGTTATCTTTGATCTTCATCTGGTGTCTTGTTAAAGTGGCCAGAAATGTGCAGTTTGTCATTCAAATCGCACAACTGTTGCAGAAAGCCTTCATTTGGTGCTATTTCTCGCTTAGTTCTGATCATGCGTACTGCTTCTTGTACGGTCATGTGACGCTTTATCATCAAAAACGCTATCACTATTGTTGCAGATCGACTTGCTCCAACTTTGCAATGCACCATAACTTTTCCTTTGCCATAAAATGATTAAAACGTATTATTTAAACATTCTCTATAATCGATAAAATTTACTTTAATTTACAATATTAAAATCTTTCAACAATTAATACAAAAAAAAAATTCATTCTTTAATTCATCTTTGGCAAATGTTTAGTAATATTATCATATATTGATCATCAATTTGAATTTAAAAATTATAAAATGACAAATTGATAATCATTTTAAGCTTTAGATTGAATATTATTATTTACTTTAAGATATTAATATATTCAAAAATATATTCGCTTTAAGTGCAACATATATTTAATGCTAAAATGACAAGAGGCCCATGGGCCTTATAGGTCACCTGAGTAACATGTAACAACTTTCCAACACCTGAATTTGGTTTGACTATTTTAAACCAAAAGCCTTGAAATTCACAATTTTGAAAGAGGCACCATTGTTACAGTTTATTATAACTATACACTTAGCATGCTTATTTTGGTTACTTAATACCCAAAGGCAGATCAGAGTAACATAGAGAAAATGCATTTTCACTTTACAACCACCAGTTGTGCACACCAACTCAGAGGAACCACTGACCCTGGGGCAATATACATGTATTTCAGAATTTTGGAAATTTTATAAATTTCATTTTATCAAAAATGGGTGATTAATATCAAAGAGCAGATTTCAAAGTACATGTATTAGTTTAAATTTTCAGACTGTGTAACAACAACACCCAGGAGAACATTTTTAAAGAATTGATGTATTTTCACCATATAAACAATTAAGGAGTCCCGCCCTAACACCAGAACCCCTCACCCATGGGCTATGAAATTCACAATTTTAGAAGAGGCATTCTCAGTCATCATAACTATGTACTTAGTTTGTTTGTTTAATACCCAGGAGCAGAGAAGAAGATTTTCAAAGAATTAATGCATTTTCACTATATAACCAATAGAGCCCCACCCTAACACCAGAACCCTGACCCTGGGGCCATGAAATTCACAAATTGGGAAGAAACATCCTTCCTTATCATAACTATGGACATAATTCTTTGGTCAAATATCCAAGCACAGAGGAGAAGATTTTTAAAGAATTTATGCATTTTCACTATATTTTCAATAGAGCCCCACCCTAAAACCAGAACCCCTGACCCTGGAGCCATGAAATTCACAATTTTGGAAGAGGCAATCTTATTCAACATAACTTTGTACTTGGTTAGCTTATTTAATGCCCAGGAGCAGAGAAGAAGATTTTCAAAGTAATAATGCATTTTCAATATACAGTCTATTTAGCTCCGCCCTAGCACTAGCACCCCTGACCCTGGGGCCATGAATTTCACAATTTTGGTAGAGGACTCAATGCTGATTACAATCATGCCAACAGTTTCACTGCTTGATGTCCAGGAGCACAGAAGAAGATTTTTAAAGATTGCACTAATTTTAGTGGTTTTGGCCCCATCCCTCAGGTCCTTGGGGGGCAGGGATCATGAAATTTATAACTTTTGTTCCCCTTCACCCATAGATGCTGTAGACTAAATTTGGTTGAAATTGGTTCAGTGGTTGCAGAGAAAAAGCTGAAAATGTTCAAATTTTAATGCACGGCGCACTTAAAAATGTATAATATGAATTATAACTATGTAGAAATAAACGGACAATTTTAGTCTGATTTCAATTTAACTTGGCACACGACGCACAACGACGGACAACAACGGATAGCAATAGGTCACCTGAGTTTACTCAGGTGACTTAAAAATGTATAATATGAATTATAACTATGTAGAAATAAATGTGTGTACATGTACTAACTACTGACTGCACATTGATCTTTTTTTATTATACAGTGTGCATATGTGAAAGCACAAATAAAATCTATGAATTAAAGAATTGTTGCAAATTTCAAGACATATGGAACAATTTTACAATATAAGAATCTTTATTCTCTTTTATTCTCTAGTTTGATTTTTTGGCACACAAGTAGACTACTTAAAGATACATAAAATAGTGCAATGGTTTTTGATAAGTACATACCCACTTTTTGGCTGTATTGGATTTAATAAATTTACTTCTTAAGAACATTGCATCAGCTTGTTGTAGTTGGCGGCTTGTGTTGGGTTCTAGCTTCGTGTTAGGAGGGATTTTGAGTCTTGTTCCCGTCAAATCTAGCAAGTGACTGCTAGTTAAAAGTGAAAGTAACATTCTTTTTGGCGAGAATTTAAAAAATGGTATTGTCTTTTATAAGAGAAATTTTCTCACAAGGGACTTAAAACATTAAAAATCAATTAACATTATCATTAAATTGAAAGTTAAAATAATAAACTCTTACGTTATATATATAAAACTATAAAAATAACAATGCTGAATGCACTTGTATCACCTACCACCTTCCTTTAATCCTTGATCAATGAAGTCTGCAGATTTCTGAAAAAATGGTGTAAGTTGAACGTGCAACATGTCCATGGCTTCAAATCCATAGAACTGTATTCCGACTTTCTGGAACATCACGTGGTTTGTGTTGACAAAATATTGGCCCTTTCCCATTGCTGTGTTAACTACATGGGTTATCCCCATGTCCCGTAAGCCGACTCGACTTTTTCCAATTGACCTAAAAAGTTTTATAAAATTGTTCAAAAAGAAAGAAAATAAAGGAAAACCCAACTAACTGATGAGTAAATATTAATCTTAATCAGGACTAGCTAAGGTCTTTTAACTATAGGAAAGCTCATTAAAAAAAATTATAAATATACATCTTCTTTTCAATGTGTGGCACCGTAGCTCTCCGGTCTGTCAAAATATTTTTTTCGAAGAGCTACTGACAGTTCTACAGCTACCAATTTAAGAAAAGCCTTATCAGAAGTAATATACATGTGTAATATGAAAGCCATAGCTTCAGACAATCAAACTGTGAACGTTAAAAGTAATATTATTTTTTCCGGACAGAAAGACAAGGCGGAGGGAAAGGGTATACAAATTACCGGTATATGACCCCGATTTCCGATTACAGGGGCATAAAAACCAAACTTACTCTTCTCCTATAAAAAGTCCAGGGTATACTTCATCACAGGCATTGCTAGGTAACATAGTGATTCCGCCAGAGGGCGCTGTTATGATGTCATCTATTTCCTTTGTTGTGCATGTTGTGCGATTTGGTTTTCCTAACTTTTCCATGTCATCTGCAAAACTTAAATGAAAGAATTTGTTGATGTTTGATCGGCCAAATCCGCTTTCCTCTTTAATTCAAATAGGAAAAGGAAAAGAACTCAATTAGAAGTTCCGGGAAATAAGTTCAACAATATGTCCATGGGCCTTATAGGTCACCTGAGTATCATGTAACAACTTTCCAACAATTGAATTCGGTTCATGTTTCAAACCAGAAACTATGACCCAGGGGCCCTGAAATTCACATATTTGGAAGAGGCACTCTTGCTCACTATAACTATGTACATAGTTCATTGGCTTAATAACCAGGAGCAGAGAAGAAGATTTTTTCAAGAATTCATGCATTTTCACTATATAATCAATAGAGCCCCGCCCTAACACCAGAACCCCTGACCCTAGAGCCATGAAATTCACAATTTTGGAAGAGGCAGCCTTATTCACCATATTTTTGTACTTGGTTAGTTTATTTAATGCTCAGGAGCAGAGAAGAAAATGTTTACAGAAATAATGCAGTATTCACTATATATTCCATTTAGCCCCGCCCTAGCACCGGAACCCCTGATCCTGGTGCCATGATTTTCACAATTTTGGTAGAAGACTCAATGCTGATAACAATCATACCAACAGTTTCACTGCTTGATGTCCAGGAGTAAAAAAGAAGAAGAAAATTTTAAAGATTGCATTAATTTTAGTGGTTTTTGCCCCACCCCTCAGCCCCAGGGGGCAGGGACCATGAAATTCAAAATTTTTGTTTCCCTTCACCCATAGATGCTTTTTGCCAAACTTGATTGAAATTGGTTAAGCGGTTGCAGAGAAGAAGCTGAAAATGTTAACACAGGACGGACGACGCACGACTTCGGACGAAAACAGATAGTTTACTCAGGTGACCTAAAAATGGAATTCACACAAAATACATTAAATTAACAAAGTATAACAAGAGGCCCACAGGCCTTATAGGTCACCCGAGTATCATGTAACAACTTTCCAACAATTAAATTTGGTTTGTTTGAAACAAGGGGCCATGGAATTCACAATTTTGAAAAAAGGCACCATTGCTTATCATAATTTTTACACTTAGCATGCTTACACTGGTTACTTAATACCCAGAGGTAAATCAGAGTAACAAAGAGAAAATGCATTTCCACTTTATAGCCAGTTGTGCACCTCAACCCACAGTAACCACTGACCCTGGGGCAACATATTTCAAAATGTTGGAAATTTTATCGTAAATTTTATTTCAACATAAATTAGACCATTACCCCTGACCCAACAAATCAAATCCATGGAAATCAAAACTTTGGAAGAGGCACTCTTGCTCATTATAGCTATTTACTAATTTAGTTTATTTCATACCCAGAAGTAGAGGAGAAGATGTTTGAAGAATTACTGCATTTTCACTATATAATCAATAGAGCCCCATCCTTACACCAGAACCCCTGACCCAGGGGTCATGAATTTCAAAATTTTGGAAAAAGCACTCTTGGTCATCATAAATACCGGGGGATATTCACTTAGTTTGTTTGTTTAATACCCAGGAGCAGAGCAGAAAATTTTCAAAGAAATAATGCACTTCCACTATATAATCTAGCCCCGCCCTAACATCAGAACCCCTGACTCAGGGGCCATGAATTTCACAATTTTGGTAGAGGGCTCACTGCTTTTACAATCATGCCAACAATGAAGAAGAAGATTTTTAAAGATTGCATTAATTTTGGTGGTTTTAGCCCCACCCCTCAGGCCCCAGGGGGGCAGGAACCATGAGATTAAATAATTTTGTTCTACTTCACACACAGATGTTTTGTACCAAATTTGGTTGAAATTGGTTGAGCGGTTGCAGAGAAGAAGCTAAAACTGTTCAAAAGTTTATGACTGACGTACAACGGACGACGTACGACGACGGACGAAAACAGATAGCAATAGGTCACCTGAGTTAAATTCTTAAATTTGTTCAGAATTAAACTCAAGAATGTTCTTTTAATTGAAGGAGGAGAATATCACATTACGATAAAGTCTTCAGATATTGTAGAGATTACATAATTTGAATATCTTAAAAGTAATTGATTCTCTCTGCGGGGTATACAAGAAAAAAACTGTGTTCTTTCCCATGAAAAATGGAGTCAACGAACAATAATTAGTCTTAAAAGTCGAATGACACAAGCAGTGTTAAAACATCACAGGTAAATTTAGGTGCCCTGGAAGGGTAAGCATCAACTGTATAATGGTCTCACACGCCGTGCGCTCCTTGTCATGTTCGGGTAAACGGAAAAACCCGTAAACAGTAATGAACATAGCTAGAGTGTACTTGCTAACAAGGTCATTGTATCGATCCTAGAAATTGCAAAATGTTGAATGAAAACAAAACGTTGATATTCTTGTTTCATCAACTTGTATATCGATAATATGCTTTAGACGTGCATACGTACAGTACTTAACGAATCAACTGGGATACATAAATTGCATGCTTATGCACTTGATAAGTATGGTAGCATATTTCTGCCGTCACAATAAAAGATTAATTATATCAATATGCAAGAAAAGTATGTCAACATGCAAGCTAATTATGTTGACATACACGTTGGATTATTATTTTGGCATACAAGTTACAAAATTTAATGTAGACATAACAATCTTTCATAAAGATGTACCATTCTTGCACGTTGACAAAGTTTAGTTTGCCACCTTAAAAAATGGTAAGTTGAAGTTAATTAACTATTATTTGTGATGTAAACGTATTTGTGGTATCTATTAATGAGTATTTCAAGTTTAGAGAAATACATCGAATCAATTCAATGTAGGAATGATTATGAATATTGTTTATTGATAAAACGTCGTGGAAAGCTTTATTTGTTGAATGGAACATCACAGGAGAGTTCTTTTCATGTAGAAGTTTTTAAATCCTTTTGACGTGCTTCTATGGCAAGCCCTTTTGCTATTTATTTGGAAAATAAAATCTTTCTTAAAATTACAATGATATCTCTCATTTAAGAGAGATATCTCTTGAAAAATAGAGATATCTCCCAACTGAAAGAGATATCTCTCATTTTTAAGAGATATCTCTTTGAGAAAAAGATATCTCTTGAACTAAGAGAGATATCTCTTATATTTAGAGAGATATCTCTTATATTTAGAGAGATATCTCTTTTTATTAGAGAGATATCTCTTCCACTTGAAAAGATATCTCTTTCTCTTTGAGAGATATCTATTTCGTGAAAAGAGATATCTCTAAACGTTAAAGAGATATCTCTTTCACCTGAAGAGATATCTTTTTTGCTTTTGGAGATATCTTTCCAAGTTTATATCTCTTAAAGTAAAAGAGATATCTCTCTTAGTTTATCTTAAGAGATATCTCTTAAAGTGAAAGAGATATCTTTCAAAAGTGCCCAAAAGAGATATCTCTTAAGCAAAAAGAGATATCTTTTATTGCAAAGGGATCGATATATCTCTTCATTATTTTTATTTCAATTCCATTTAAAATGACTTCCCCCTTTACCGGAAGTAAGCTTTTTATTGACGGAAGTACATTAAAGTATTTTTAAAGTCGACATATTCATGATATTTTACATTATAGCTTTATTAAACATCAAAATAATTCAGTTTTGTCTAGATTTCAAATTAGAAACAGTTGCATGATTATTTCATAAGCTGAGAAAATTCGGTCCATTGCATTCGAAATTATAAATATGCTTACTTTCGTTTTCCTGAATTCTAAACTTTTAGATTTTTATCAACAAAGTTGCCATTATTATTTGTTGTTTCAAGTAAGGGATTTATACATTTTTGTCTACACAGTACATATATTATTCTGGGTAATTGCTTGCTCAATCTCTTTTCTTATAACATCGAATTTATTCCAGAGACTTTACTTCCTGTTTCACTTTCGTTTTAAAGGGAAGAATTAATTATTCTATTTTAAGGATCACTGAAAAAGAGATATCTCTTTCATTAAAAGAGATATCTCTTAAGCTTATAAAGATATCTCTTTTTGAAAATCTAAATAGATATCTCTCTAACTAAGAAAGATATCTCTTTAATCTTGTAAAAGAGATATCTCTCTAACTTTAAGAGATATCTCTCTCGCTTAAAGAGATATCTCTCTAGCTTATAAAGATATCTCTCTAACTAAAAGAGATATCTCTCTTACGAAAAGAGATATCTCTTTTGTTTAAAGAGATATCTCTCTAAGGTATAAAGACATCTCTTTTAGTCAAAGAGATATCTCTATAAGCTATTGAGATATCTCTCTATGCTAGAGAGATATCTCTCTTATTAAATTTTTTTTTTATTTCACGAATAAATAGTAAAAGGGCTTGCCATATGCTTGAATTTTTTAAAATCAATATTTCCTGTATGTTAAGTATAGTACATGCAGTTCTGTAACAATTAGATCTTATATATTTTACAGATTAAAATTCTGAAAAAAAACTCTTACAAGTTGCCAATTAACTTCATATCTAAACCATGATCCTTAATGAAGATAATACTAAGTCTTACGTCTAAATCCATAGATAATACAACGGGAGAAAAAAAAACAACTTATGTAACTTTCCAAACTTGGAATTGTATTGTGACATGTTTCAGATCGCTAGAAAATTCTCTAGCGACGAATTTTAAGTTCCTTATATACTGTAAGCTTAATGATAAAGTTTATATCATGCACTTAAACATAAAATATTTAAAATCAAAAATTACACACTATAAATATTTATATTGATTTCAACATCTAGCTTTGTGACTTGGTATTCTGATATTTTTTTTTAAAATATACTTTCAACTCAACCGTAGAATGCAGTATAAAAAGATCTATGCTAAATAAAGATAAATAGATGCTAACATTGCACTACACATAATGGAAATAACAATTTCTATAATGCTTATGTTTTATAAATTAAGGTACATGACCTTACTTTATAATCAATATAAATCAATATATTTTGGTAAAACTGTGATAAAAGATGAATTTCGTGATAATTTTTCATTATATATTTAATTCAATTCTTTTGCTAAATTGTCAAAACAAGAGGGGGATGAATTTTTGAGTATTTGTCTTATTTTTCATAATATTTTCATATAAAAAAGAGAACTATGGGCCACAAAGCATAGCTGAGTACTAGTACATGTGTAACTACCTAGTAGATTCCTTATGCCTATATATTTTATGCAAAACCTCATTCACTTACATGTATTATGGCCCATCCCTCTAGAGGTACATGACTTGAAAAAAGATTAAACTTTGTATTAAATTTGGTTGAAATTGATTGTTTTTGTTTCAGGGGTCCTGGAGAAAATGTGAAAAGTTTTCAGATGACAAACAACAGACAACCCTGTAAATTTTCGATGAAGATAGCTCACTTAAGCCTTCTTCTAAAAGTATGATATAGCAATGTGTAAACATACAGTGTCAGAGTTAATTAAGATATATTAAATTAACATGGAAAGTGTCCTTATGATTGACCTAGAGAAAAAATTATTATCAGATCAGTAGTCATAATTTTATACATAAAAATCTGAGTGGATTTGGTAAAATGTACATATAAATACCCTCTCCATATAAAATTCAAAACATGCAAAACAAAGATCTTATCTAAACAATATTTCTACGACGTATTTAACATTTATTCATTCCTCGGTTTGTTTAAGCTCCTGTATCATTTTTTTCAGTCTGTCATATCAAACTATTTACATGAATTTAAAATATTTTAAAATATATTTATTTTAATTATATTTTTAGGAACAGGAATTGAAGTGAGCAGAGAGAATAATTTAAAATATATCTATTTTAATTAATTTTTAGGAACAGGAAGAGAAGTGAGCAGAGAATAATGTAAAGTTAACAAGGAAGTCGTGTATATTGCGCGAATTCACAGTTTAATATGACGGTCATGAAGTTTAGTGCACGTGATGTTTTGGTACAAAACTCCAGTAGACTGAATGAAAAAAAATCTTATTATACACACATACTGTCAATATTTTCTTTGAGTCTCAAATATAATCAAACAATTTAAATATAAGTACAAAATATTAACAAAACAGCTGCTTTATATGATTATAATACACATGTATATCCTCAGGATAAAATAAAACAAACTCAGGAGTTTTGAGTTTACTCGTGGCCGTAAGAAGGGGTTTCACGACCACTGGTCGACCCAAGACCACCAGTATCGTGAGGATAGATCAGCAGAATTTGGTCGTCGCAGTTTTAACCTTTCATCACTTGTTAGGTAAGATTTCATCGTCATTATATAAAATCACTGGTGCTGTTCAGAGAAATTCATTCTGCCAGTCCCCTCTCGTCCCATAAAAGGCGGTGTTATATTTCTTTCGTACAATAACAAAGGCACGAAGAATATCATCAATCTTTTTTGAAGGCTTCTAGTCTTACTAACCAGTTACTGTTATATTGCTTTACGTCATATGATTGTACAATGAATTTGTTCACAAATTTTTATGGCTAATTACTGGTACAGTTCAAAAAATCAAAACTCGTGATGTTGAAAGAGGGAATTTGGGGCTCTACAAGTGCCCGGAGCTGGCTTATGGCATTTCTTATATCATTTTGATCATTAGAATTTGACAGCCCACAAAAAGTTTTACCACTATAGTTCGCTTGTATACAAATGTTCAGGGCGTCCTCTCCTTTCGTTTTCAGATCACTACAAGTCGCAGTAATCCTAATAACTGAATCAATTAAATATTGTTGAAGACATCTCCTGAATCCGTCTAGCCAAATATTGGTTTCACAGTCCAGGTATCCGAAGAAATTATTTAAGACTGGGCACAGGTTGTTGTAAAACATGGGCGTTTCCATTCCTACACCACCAGCTTCAGGTGGTGGACAAAGGGAGCCATATTTGCTGAAAGTACACTTCTGATTAAAATCGCAGTGGCCTGTAGCCTCGTAACACCAGGAGGGCAAGTCTCTAAAATACGGCTTACAAGAACAGTTTTCTGAAACACTTCCATTCCTTTCTCCAAACTTTTCGAACATACACAGATGCCAGCATGCATTGGTACATTTGTCCTCGCACTGGAATCCCTGCGGCTCCAGATCTTCATTTGAGGAGCATCTTGCTAGTTGATAGTCATCAAACCCCTTGGCCAGTAAACAAGTTTCTCCAGAACTGTTACTATCACAGGGTATAACCTGACTTAAAACGTAAGTCAGAGAAACGAACGCCAATATAAAGTTTAAAACAATGGCTGGTTCCATTCCTGACATCTGCTGTGTCTGAATTACAATGTATGTTAAAATACAGTAAAGCTTGGCGAGATCAAATATCAGTACCGGGTATTACGAAATTCGTTCAGAAACACACCCCGTTTACATAATGTAATATTCTGTTTTTAAACAGTTTAAAACTCTTTATGACTCCTCGTATGATAGTTTCGAATTACGGAACACATATTTGTTGTTGTTGTAATTTTAAAATCTCATTGTAAAGCCTTACATGTTTAACCATTGAGAAGATATGGTATGAGCAGACAAGAGGTTAGAATGGTAACCCACAAAACCCAAATAAACATACGATGTGTCTGCATATAACAATCGCACCAAAGTTTCAAACTCCATATTAGGTATGTCTATTAAAAAAATCGAACTACGAATTGATAGAATTTTTTAATAACTGATATTCAGAAGTTAGTTTGGCCAGGTGTCGTAGTATAGAATGATGACATCGATTCTGGTGGCGTACTCAATAAATATTTTGTTGTAGGGCATTGTGAATTTTCTATTTTATTCCGTCAGCTTAATGACCAGCTACCAGAAATTCTGTATGAATAAAAAAAAAGATCTTGAACTATTTGGATATATACACGTAGTTTTTTTCTCTTTCCACAACAAAGTTACAGCTTCAGTAGTAGTAAGGTTCGATAATATATCAATATTATAAATAGACTTAGTTGTCGTAATTTTGATGAAAAAAGATTCTGATTCTATAAATTTAGTTTTAATTGGAGATGTTTGGAGATGTTAATTCATTTAAAAAAAAAATCTGGAATTTCTAATGACTGTGGAGTTCTTCGAAACTAGGTATTACACCATTCTACATGTGTATTTGAATTTGTTTCCATGAGTACCACCTGTCCCTTTCTAAGCCGATCTTTTGTTTTGTTTTGCACTTCAACAATAATAGAAACTTTTGTCATCTCATTAAAATCGATATTTTGTTTTATTTTTCATATACTAAGTATTGCTAAGCAGGAGTAGGATTTTGTTGACAAATACAACTTGTTACAACTAAATTAAAAGATACCTTGTTTAATTTCGTTAAATCATCTTTAAACGCATATCAGTATATTACAGAATTTTCATATGAAAATGTACAAATTCATAAATTGCTGAAAAAAGTTTGTATGAATTTTGTTAATGAAAAAAATAGGTTGCAAACAGGTCAACAAAATCAGTGGAGTCTTTGAGTTAGCATGGGGGCATTATGAACTCTTGAATATGTGGAAGGTGGCCCATCATGCTTACATGGAAACATTATGTATTCTTTATAATTCCATTATACATGTACGTATTTATCATTATTATTATTATTATCATTTTTATTATTGTAAAATTTAAATTGGTTATATTTAGTCTCAACTTATATGTATTCTTTTTTCTTAAGTCTATGTAAAAAATAATTATCAAATCTCATTGCCAAAAGTTAATCCATTTACAATATTCTTTTCATTGTTACCATGATCCGTGGTTCTTGTAGATTTTTTTTCTATTTTCTACTTCAATTATTTCGCTCTTTATTTGATGCAACAATTTGCAATCCTCACCTTCATTCTGAGGTTATATATCTCACGTCATTCGATACGCAAAATCATACCCTACATATGAACAATTTTTAAAAGGAAGTAATTTATTTACAAACAAGTTAATGAAACAAGGATATCAGCAGTCTCGATTAAAGTCTTCAGTTCGTAAGTTCTATAGTCGATACAATAGCCTTCTCAGCAAAATACTATCGATCATTATTAGTCAAATGCTGACTAACGTTTTTCATGTACATTGAATGTTATTGTCGATGGAATTTTTCCATTATTCCTGATCCTGGCCAGGAGCTCACGGCGGGTGTGACCGGCCGGTGGGGGATGTTCACTCCTCCATGTCACCTTATCCCACCTCTGTTTTAGAGATCAGTATTTGCTCTGCTCCAAAGTATTGTTCAATGAACTTTGAGCTTCAATACTGTCCATTTGTTCATTATTTCAATATATTACATCTTTATATACAGTCAGTTTCTTCTAGATGACCCGGTATGCAAAAACGTTGTAAACGGATCTGCTCAACAACGAAATCCTCAAATATTGGTGCTCAACAAATATAAATGAAACCACAGTATTTAGTCCACCCTTTGACTTTGAAAAATGCACTTCAGTATTGAGAGCCTTGATTAGAAAACAATGACTCTACCTGAAAATTCAAAGAAACTTAAACTTTCATTTCGTTTTGGACACTAAGAGCTATTAAACACAATAATAATTTGTAATCATGTAGACTTACATGTAAACCCTGCATGATCACAAATTTCAGGTCCATTGCAGTGGGTTTTATATAACTAATATTGCCTGTCCAGTGTCCAGAGGCAGGCAACTGAGAAGGTGCTGTTTCAGGGTATCAACAACTTAATTTCAAATCACACACCTGAAAAGTCTGTTCTCAGTGTAAGGAATATAAGATCTTACAGATACTTAATATGCTTAAACTGAATAAAAACACAGGAAAGAAATTATTCTGTTAAACAAATTTATTTAGAATTGACATACAATGAACAAAACACAAAGAACTTTATAACATGTGTACACATTACATTAGCTGTAAGCTCATGAATATGTTCTCATTAAACATCTTAAGTTGCAGTTTTTCTCAGTCAAAATCATTACATCCACTGTAATGTAAAATATGTAAATTAAATCTGACGAATTGCAAGTTCACAATTAATATGATGTGTGACACCAAGCTGATATATTTCTGCTTTAATTTTAATAGAAACAAAATTAATGGCTTTTTTGGAAAAGTGTAACATAAACAGAATAAACATCTTTTAAAATCCATGTAAAAACTTCAGTCATTTGCATTTGAATGATTAATTGTGTAAACTTCAAATGAAATATTGGGAAGAGAATTAAAATGTTGTACATAGACTTTGAAAGTAAAAAAAAAATAATAAGATTCAACATCAAGAATTAACAAATTATAACACTGTGCAATAGACTTTAAAAAATAATAAAAACTCCATTGTACATGCAGTGTTTACTGAATTAAGAAAAAAATTATTAGGGTCAAACAAATAACAAAAAAAATGAAATCAAGCAGGGTTCCCTAAAATTTGACCCAATGTTTCAAAAACATATATAGTGTTCATAAATGATCTCTCCATAGGAACACTTTTTATGGCACCAGTGAATACAGACTTAATCAAAACATTATTGCACAAACGTTATGTTTAAATGACACAACGAAACTCATGGAACATGCATTTTACAAAGGTCTGTCCAAGTTAACCAGGGAATCAGGAATCCTAAGATTCCAATGCATATTTTCAAACAATTATCATGATTAAAACATTTTCAAATTATGCAACAAAAACAATGGGGCACAAACCCATTAAAATGATAAACAAGAGATTTATTATCATAAATATACTAGTATAAATAGTGTTCTAAATGATTTCTATCAAGCATTATGATACTGTCGTTTCATTAATTTTCATTGGCATCAATTTTTGTGGATTTTGTAAAACAGATGTTTTCGAGGATATGTAATTTTGTGGACAAAAGCATTGTCTATACAATTGAATAACATATTTCTTAATTCTATGAACATTAAAATTTGTGGATCTGCTCAAAAATGAAATCCTCAAATATTGGTGCTCAACGAATATTAATGAAACTACAGTATTTAGTCCACCCTTTGACTTTCAAAAATGCAAGTCAGTATTGAAAGTCTTGATTAGATAACAATGACTATACCTGAAAATTCAAAGAAACTTAAACATTCATTTTTTTTTTCCTTTTTGGACTTTATTAGAGCTATTAAACTCACTATAATGAATAATAATTTGTAATCATGCAAACTTAAACCCTGCATGATCACAAATTTCAGGTCCATTGCTGTGGGTTTTATATAACTAATATTGTCTGTCTGGTGTCCAAAAGGAAAAGCAAAAGAATTTGAAAGTTTCAATGAATCTTCTTGGCCATTGTTAACATATTGAGATTTTCAATACCTAAATGCATGTTTCAGTATATAATCAACTTGGCTGGCCCCAACTTAAGGCCTGAACTCTGGATAAATAAATAAAACAAGAGGCCCATGGGCCTTATAGATCACCTGAGTAACATGTAACAACTTTCCAACAACTGAATTTGGTTTGACTATTTTAAAACAAAAGCCTTGAAATTCACAATTTTGAAAGAGGCACCATTGCTTATCATAACTATACACTTAGCATGCTTATTTTGGTTACTTAATACCCAAAAGCAGATCAGAGTAACAGAGAGAAATGCATTTCCACTTTATAACCACCAGTTGTGCACATCAACCCAGAGGAACCACTGACCCTCAGGCCACATATCTTAAAATTTTATAAATTTCATTTCATCAGAAATGGGTGATTAATATCAAAGAGCAGATTTCAGAGCCCCACCTAACACCAGAACCCTTGATCCAGGGGTCATGAAATTCACAAACTGGGAAGAAGCATCCTTCCTCATTATAACTATGTACATAATTCATTGGTTTTATACCCAGGAGCATAGTAGTAGATTTTTAAAGAATTTATGCATTTTCACCATAAAATCAACAGAGCCCCGCCCTAACACCAGAACCCCTGACCCTGGGGCCACGAAATTCATGAATTTGGAAGAGGCAATCTTATTCAACATAACTATGTACTTGGTTAGTTTATTTAATGCCCTGGAGCAAAGAAGAAGATTTTCAAAGAAATAATGCATTTTCCCTATACAGTCTATTGAGCCCCGCCCTAGCACTAGCACCCCTGACCCTGGGGCCATGACATGAATTTCACAATTTTGGTAGAGGACTCAATGCTGATTACAATCATGCCAACAGTATGACTGCTTGATGTCCAGGAGCATAGAAGAAGATTTTTTTTCTTTAACTTTTCATTATAGGATCAATATAGTATCATGATGGGGCGTGAATATAAACCAAGGTCTGGGAACCAAAAAATTCGACAAGCTCAATTACGATTCTTTCCTCACTTTTATACTGAACAAATTGATAGTGGAATAAAAAGTATGTTCGTCTTAGTTTTATGATCCCAAGGCCTTGGGCCCTGAGATTGTGAATTTTATAACATTGTCTCATATAATCACACAAGAAAAGTCGAACTTCCTCATCTTAGAACTAAGAAAAACTGGGAGATATCAAAAAATTTAATTACATGTATTGAGTTTTCATAAGAAAAGGAAAGTTTGAACTTTTAAATCACTTTAGTGCATCAGGAACAGGGTAAGTAAGATACTGAAGCTCAAGATACTAACTGCTTCAGGTCCATGGAAACAGAAAAAAAATTATGACATGATGACATTATTTTTAAAAATATTCCCCTGGGCATTAATGTATACAGCTTGATGATTCTAGGTCTCATTGTTGTAAATTATAAGAGCTGGGCCCCAAAAACCTTAACAGATAGACATGATTGCCAAACATTCCATCATATACAAGCACAGAGAAAGAATTTTATAAGCAGGACAAAGCTCACCATAAATCATTTAAAGATTTGAAAAAAAAAACTCTTTGAAACAAAGATCAATTATTATAGAGATAGCGAGATATTACAGGTACATGGACACAGTTTCAGCCAAAATTTTTCAAATTTATTTTTCCATTTTTTAATATTTACAAATACTTAACTAAGGTATTTTTAATAATTATTAAAAATTTGAATTTCAATTATCGAGATACAAGACAGATTTAGAGCTCCAAACCGTTATTATATAAACACGGCCTGGTGCCATGTTTTTTTTTTTTATACCCCCGCTTGAAAAGCGGGAGGGTATATAGTAATCGTTAATTCCGTCCGTCCATCTGTTACGCTTTGCAGTACCCATCTCTTATCCGCAACTCCTCTCATACCACTGAATGAAATTTAATGAAACTTTCACAGAATCTTTATTACATATGCCATTGTGCACCTCCTATTTTACTTTTTGATCCGACACATATTTTGGGTTTTCCGGCCACAGCAAACATGGACTTCGCCATTATAACTATATGGAGGCGGGGGGTATCATTTAGTGAGCTCATCGCTCACAGTACCTCTAGTTTTGTTTTGTTTTTGTTTTTTTTTTTTACATATGGTAAATGTGTAAACACTGTATGTTCAATCAAAGAAGATTTTTTCAGCAGAGAAGTTAATTCTAAATATGATTAGACAGTTTTTAGTGATTTGCTGAATCTCGTTTTGTTATAAATATGATATTTTCTATTTGTAAACAAAAACAAGGCACAAGCCTTGATTACGTTATGAAAAATTTTAAGTTCTGTATCTCCTTTATAAATCAACAAATGATGTTCAAATTTTTGCTGATCATTTGAATATCCTTCATAAAGAATTATAAACGTAGAATTTCAAATTTTTGCTGATCATTTGAATTACCTTAATAAAGAATTATAAACTTAGAATGGGTTAAAAAAAAGAAGTTCAAACTGTGTCCATGACCTTTTAAAGAAAAATGTTTCATTAACCACAATCAAAATGATTTCATCAAAGTCCACTTCAACATGGCATATCAATACTGTATACAGGATTATTTTCGCCCCGTGTTATTTTCGCCCTTTTGCACTTGCATACAATTTTGCCCCGTTTTAAATTCGCCCATTCATAATTCTGCTTAAGAAATTATGCTGTGTAATTGAATTCGTCCCTTTTTAAATTCGCCCAATCAAGAAGAGGGCGAAAGGGGCGAAAATAAAACGAGGGCGAAAATTTCCCTGTATACAGTAGTTTAATTTGATTGGGAATCTACAACAATGGAGACTTGAGTGACCATGCCTTTGTACATACTTTTCAACCTTATCCTTAAACAGATAGGTTAAGACTAAAATAAGTTTATATGATCAGGGCATTTCTATTTGTTAGTCAAAACTAGACAAGAATTACTGTAAAGAAAACTACCCCTCTCTACTTTTTCCCTTGGCAGAAAAAAATGACAATAACAGTATAACACAACATTCAGTTTCTAATTCATCTCTACTTTAACTGTTATTCAGGGAGTAGACTTAGTTTTCTTTCGCCCCTGGTCTATTTTGACTGTCAAACAGAAAGTTGGCTGCCTTGATCATATTATCCTCCTTCTTCATTAACTCTGACAACTGGTCATTCTCCAGTTGATCGTTACAGAGAACCATAAACTTGCTGTTAGCTTTCCGCGCCCGGCCCCTCATCTGGACCAGGGCCGTGACTGTCGAGGGCAGGTTCATGGTTATCACTAGTTCACACTCCGGGATATCTATCCCCTCCTCTGCTACAGACGTGGCTATAACGATCTGGTACTTATGTCTTTTGATGTCATGGAGGATTTTTCTTTGTTGCTGCACAGCCATCCCCTCCCCGTCCCCCGAGCCCCCACCATGACCTACCAGGTGGGTGACTTTGAGGCCCTTATCATTTATTTCCCTCTGCGTCTGTAAGATTCCACTGATCTTCTTTGCTGTGCTCCTCTCTCTGACTAGGACTAGCGCCATAGGGTGTTCTTGGGACCAGTCAATGTACTGTGGGCTATCACTTAACAACGTCTGAATCAGTGCAACGATTCTGGAGGAATGTTGGCTGGCATCAACTAATGGTCCATGAGAACTTGGCTGCTCTAGTTCCTGAATGGTGGTAATCTCAGACAAAAGGTTGTCAGGTTTCAGACCTATATCTCTAGTAAAGTTAAAATTAAGATTTGGATCCAGAGCCATGAGTTCATCTAGCTCCTCTACAGCTGTTTTCACACCTGCTTCAAACAAAGTATTCAGAGCAATACAAATATTCCTGGTATGGGTGATCAAGTTCCGGACCATAATCCTATTAGCAGCAGAGGGATCATTGGGAACTGCATTATTGAGAGTGACTTCCAAGCAATTCAGGATATCTCCATGTAAGTTTTTGGCCACTATGCTTTTCTTCTCCTCCGAGATATTACAGTGACCTGGTAGAACCTCTAAATCACACTGCTCTAGGATGTTGGTTTCTGCAGAGAGCCTTATGTAACACTGTAGAAGATAGAGTTGTAATTCCTTCTGGAATTTCTGCTCTTTGATGCTCATTGGTTTGTAGTTCACTATGAGTTCTGCACTTGACTGGAATCTAAAATTAAAGAAATACTGCACATAGAAGCCATAATTTTTTTTTATCTAAATTAATTGTTAATTTTAATTTGAAAGCAGGTTTTGCTCTTCAAAGCTGTTTAAAATTGACCAAGCAGTTTTGGTAAACATGTCAATTACTCTTTGATAAGAAAATATTCCTCAAGCTTTAGCTCAGGTGGGCTTAAAACACTAATTCAGGAAAAGTGAGGTCAAGGTCAAGGTCAAAATGTTGATGCAGTTGTATATCTCTCATCAATATGTATCAACATATGAATTTGATAAAATTATCTTGAATGATTTCTTTAAAACTGACTTAAACACAATTTGATAAAAGTGAAGTCAAGGTCAAATGAAAGGTCAAGGTCCAAAAAGTTGAAGCAGTTTATCTGCTTATATCAGTAAGTATCAGCATATGAAATTTGATCCTGATTTAGGAAAAGCGATGTTAAAGGTCAAAGGAGAGGTTATGGTCAAAAATGTTGATGCAGTTGAATATCTCTCATTAGTACGCATCAACATATGAAGTTTGATTAAAAAAATATCTTGAATGAAAAACTGACTTAAACAGAATTTGATAAAAGTAAGGTCAAGGTCAAATGGAAGGTCAAGGTAAAAAATGTTGAAGCAGTTGAATTGCTTACATCAGTATGTATCAATATATGATGTTTGACACTGATATAGGAAAAGTGAGGTCAAAGGTAAAAGGAAAGGTCAAGGGCAAAAATGTGAGGCAGTTGAATAGCTCTCATTAGTATGTATCAACATATGAAGTTTGATAACATTATCTTGAATGGTATCTTTAAAACCAAGGTAAACACTAATTTAAGAAAGGTGAGGTCATTGTCAAAGGAAAGGTTAAGGTCAAAATTGTTAATGCAGTTAATAGCTCTCATCAGTAAGTATCAACATGTGAAGTTTGATAACGCTATATTGAATGCTTTGTTTATAACTGAGCTAAACACTAATTAAGAAAGTGAGGTCAAGGTCAAAGGAAAAGTCAAGGTCAAAAAATGTTGATGCAGTTGCATAGCTCTCATCAATACCTATCAGCATATGAAGTTTGATGAAAATATCTTGGATAGTTTGTTTGAAACTGAGCTTTGAAATGAGCTAAACACAAAGTGTGACGGAGGGACAGAAGGACAGTTAGACAGAAGGACTGAAGACAGACATGACAAACACTATATGCCCTGGCCATATTCATGGTGGGGCATAAAAAACCAAACAAATAACTTAAAAGGTTTTTGAGAACTAGAAGACCATTTTTCATCATATTGAAGAAAGTCATGCAAAATAAAAGTAGCCATCTTATCTTGACAAAAGATGAAAAATCATTTGAATATCAAAAAAAATCCAAAGAAAAAATGTTCTTATTTTTCTTAATTATTCCCTTTTTCATTGAATAATTTGCAAGTTTGTTTATTTTTGCTTTCATTCAATGAAAATATGATTGTATGGTGTCTAAGAATTACCCACTTTTCTAGTTCCGCTTTGCACTCTTTGGTGACAGCTATTTTGGCCCCACCCATACTTTCCATCAGTTCATTCAGTAAGTTGACGGTCATTGGAAATGTCTTCTTTCCAGCAGGTGATGCTGTCAGCCCCAGGATTTTGGGTCTTTCAGCTACAGACATTGTTAAATGGTTATTCTCCAGCTGTTTTTTGAAGGGGTGACTCTTTACACAGTGGTGGGCCTCATCTAACACAACAATACACAAGTCCTCCCATCTCAGAACATTCCTCATAATTAGCTGTTCACAATAAGCTGAAAAAAGATGGAAAACAAAGTTACACCTTACAGAACATTCCTCATAATCAGCTGTTGACAATGAGATTTAACAAGATATAGAAACAAAAAAGTTTAAAAACAAATAATTGAAAGTTTAGGTGTCCAAATTTAACAAAGGCTTTATTCATGCTTATTAACCTCATTAATCCAGACACCTATAACTTGGGTGCTTCACCAGGTTTACCATTCAGTCAAAATATTTTGGCAACAATAATGATTATATATGTGGCGGTCAGCCGGGTTTGATTGCCAGTGCCCAGATAGCTCAATTGGAAGAGTACCTGACGGGAGATTCAGAGGGCCCGGGTCGAAATCCCGGTCTGGTCCACTGCATTTTTCTCCTCTCCTGTTACATTTGGTGCCTAGCCATGAACTGGAACAGACAGGTGAGGTCTGCCAGGGATAAGCTTGGGTTGGGATCTTTGGAAAACCAAAGATCGTTAAGGAGGGAGGAATGTGGCTGTCAGCCAGGTTTGAGTGCGGGTGGCCATATAGCTCAGTCATTACTGACTAGGTAAAGATATAGGGGGCTTGGGATTGAATCCGGGTCTGGTCCACTGCATTTTCCTCCTCTCCCTTTACATATACATGTATTATTAGTTACATAATCTTTTAGTGACAGGGTACGGAATGAAACCTGGTTAGTAAATTTCATACCTGGCGAGGCGAAGCCGAGTCAGGTTTGAAATTTACTAACCAGGTATCATCCCATACCCTGTAACTAAAACACTTTGTAATGATTTTACCCCACCGATGATACATTTACGTATTATCTGTGGTTTATTAATGTTTTTATCTGCTACATGCTTCATCACACTTATACTGTGCCTATAATGTCACGTTGTGTTAGTTATTGACCAGGTATAGATTTACTACTGACCGGGTATAAGTAAGCCACCTCCTTCACGTGACAGACTTCAACCAATCGTAAGCCAGGATTTCATGGAAAAAGAGGTGGGGTAAATGTAAATACTTATTGTAGCCTTGTTGTTCAGAAATTTTTACATTTACCTTATATAACTGTGAAATTTGAAAATTGGGTTCCTTATCTATTTATTGTGGCAACACCAAAGCCCAAATAATTCCCATGATTCATTCCACATGTCTTCAGCTTATGGAGCTTTATGCATATCAATTTGATATTGAAGTTCTTAGTTTTTAGCTCACCTGAGCCGAAGGCTCAAGTGAGTTTTTCTGATCACATTTTGTCCATCATCCGTCCGTCTGTCTGTCCAGCTGTCCGTCCGTCTGTCCGTCCGTCCGTCCGTCTGTAAACTTTTCACATTTTCGACTTCTTCTCAAGAACCAATGGGCCAATTTTAACCAAACTTAGTACAAAGCATCCTTGGGTGAAGGGGAGTTTAAATTGTTAAAATGAAGGGCCAAGTCCCCTTACAAGGGGAGATAATCAAGAAAAGACAAAAATAGGGTGGGGTCACTAAAAAATCTTCTTCTCAAGAACCACTGGGCCAGGAAAGCTGAAACTTATGTGGAAGCATCCTTGGGTAGTGTAGATATTAAATTGTTAAAATCATGACCCCTGAGGGAAGGGCGGGGCCACAATAGGGAATCCAAGTTTTACATAGAAATATATAGAACAAATCTGTAAAAATCTTCTTCTCAAGAACCACTGGGCCAGGAAAGCTGAAACTTATGTGGGAGCATCCTTGGGTAGTGTAGATATTAAATTATTAAAATCATGACCCCCGGGGGTAGGACGGGGCCACAATAGGGAATCCAAGTTTTACATAGAAATATATAGAACAAATCTTTAAAAATCTTCTTCTCAAGAACCACTGGGCCAGGAAAGCTGAAACTTATGTGGAAGCATCCTTGGGTAGTGTAGATATTAAATTGTTAAAATCATGACCCCCGGGGATAGGGCGGGGCCACAATAGGGAATCCAAGTTTTACATAGAAATACATAGAACAAATCTTTAAAAATCTTCTCCTCAAGAACCACTGGGCCAGGAAAGCTGAAACTTATGTGGAAGCATCCTGGGGTAGTGCAAATATTAAATTGTTAAAATCATGACCCCTGGGGGTAGGGCGGGCCACAATAGGGAATCCAAGTTTTACATAGAAATATATAGAACAAATCTTTAAAAATCTTCTTCTCAAGAACCACTGGGCCAGGAAAGCTGAAGTTTATATGGAAACATCCTTTGGTAGTGTAGATATTAAATTGTTAAAATCATGACCCCCGGGGGTGGGCGGGGCCACAATAGGGAATCCAAGTTTTACATAGAAATACTGTAAAACGAGAAAATTTGGCGCATACATATTTTAGCGCAAACGCAAGTGGGAATGCATTGGCGCAAATAAATTTTAGCGCTTGCACCTGTCAGTAAAATACTAAGTATATAAATGTGATATTTTGTTGTGTTAATCCACACCCATATTTGACTTTTTGGTTAGTCAAGCACGGAAACACATTAGTACTCCCGTATATCAGCAAACATTCGTTAACTTTACCGCGGTACGTGTTGCTATCACATGGACGTGGCACAATGTTAAAATCTATTTTATTTCTATTTTCAATAAAAAGAAATGGAGTATTTACTCATTTAAATCCTATTAAAACAATGCATGCATCGACAGAAAATTACTTAGATAAAACAGTAATCCTAATCAGGTATTGTCTGCAAGCTCAATCGCCATGCTTGATTGCATTGTTTACCTCGAAGCGATTGATGATTGACACGCCGAGAAGCCCAACTTTGAAGGTGCTAATGATAATAATCGGGTAACAACTTCTGGGGTAACAATGGTTTAATTAAATTATAATTTGGCAGAACTTTCTGTCTTCTGAACATATTTTATATATACACTAGCACTGCGCTAGTGTGTATATAAAATCCAATGACCTTCGACATTACGTAATCGCGCGTTCCGGTTTACATGTATTTATGTAAAAGCTTTGAACACACACAAAAAATGATATTTAGGAATCCTTTAGCGTACAATAAATTTTAGCGCTCAGGGACTCTTGCGCCAAAGGCGCTAAAATTAGTAGTGCGCCAAATATTCTCGTTTTACAGTATATAGAACAAATCTTTAAAAATCTTCTTCTTAGAAACCACTGGGCCATGGAAGCTGAAACTTATGTGGAAGCATCCTTGGGTAGTGTAGATATTAAATTGTTAAAATCATGACCCCCGGGGATAGGGCGGGGCCACAATAGGGAATTCCAAGTTTTACATAGAACAAGAGGCCCATGGGCCACATCGCTCACCTGAGCACCAAGGGTAGGACTAGTATAAAATGGCTTTTTATTGTAAAGTTTAAATCCAAAAGTAGTCCCATGACCAATCATGGATTTGCTACTTTTTAGAAAATGATTGAGAAGAAGATTTTTAAAGAATTTTCCTATATATTTCTATGTAAAACTTTGGTCGGCCATTTTGGCCCCACCCTACCCCCAGGGGGTCATGATTTGAACAAAATTGAATCTACACTACCTGAACATGCTTCCATATAAATATGATGAATAATGGCTTTGTCATTCTTGAGAAGAAGATTTTTAAAGAATTTTCCTATATATTTCTATGTAAAACTTTGGTCGGCCATTTTGGCCCCGCCCTACCCCCGGGGGTCATGATTTGAACAAACTTGAATCTACACTACCTGAGCATGCTTCCATATGTATATCATGAATAATGGCTTTGTCTTTTTGAGAAGAAGATTTTTAAAGAATTTTCCTATATATTTCTATGTAAAACCTTGGTCGGCCATTTTGGCCCCGCCCTACCCCCGGGGGTCATGATTTGAACAAACTTGAATCTACACTACCTGAGCATGCTTCCATATATATATGATGAATTATGGCTTTGTCATTCTTGAGAATAAGATTTTTAAAGAATTTTCCTATATATTTCTATGTAAAAATTTGGTCGGCCATTTTGGCCCCGCCCTACCCCCGGGGGTCATGATTTGAACAAACTTGAATCTACACTACCTGAGCATGCTTCCATATATATATGATGAATTATGGCTTTGTCATTCTTGAGAAGAAGATTTTTAAAGAATTTTCCTACATATTTCTATGTAAAACTTTGGTCGCCCTACCCCCGGGGGTCATGATTTGAACAAAATTGAATCTACACTACCTGAACATGCTTCCATATACAGTCAAACCTGTTTTAAGAGGCCACCCATGGGAGAATGACAAATTGGCCACATAAGACAGGTGGCCACTTATTCCAGGTTTCAAACCAATGAATAAAAAATTGCAACCACAGTTGTATATCTATTTTCACACGTATCCAATTCCAATTTCAACACATTAAAAAAACTTATGAAGTTTTAAGTCACATGAAATCCCTTTTCTTACATTTCATTTTAGATGAATTTTTGAAAGAAATCTGTTATTGTTTTTTTGTGTGTGACTGTGTTTGTTGGCAATTTAATTATACGGCCATAGAATGTACATCACAGGAAATCATTTCCCTGATGCTGTGTAAAGCTTTCTTTATTTTTCTAGATACATATTTATTTATATAACATAAAAGGTTAAAACGGGAGACTGACCGCTTGACTTGATAACCTCAGGCAAAATTGTAATTAATATGTAGCCTATTGAAATTATTTCATGAAAATATTCAACAACTTACTTTCGTATATTAAGAACACCAAAAATCATTTGTTAACGAATAAATCATTTAATCATATTAATTAAATCATTAAATCCTGACAGAATTCAAATTACACCTGCAATTATTGGTCATTAACTCATTATCAGCTGCTCATGTTTGGCCTCGTATGAGGATACGAGGTCACGTGTCAGACGGAAGTCATGTGACAAAACAGACAAAATGGCCGCTGAAAACAGGCATGTTGAGCGCACGGGACCTAAAAACACTGGCCACTGGCCGCGTTAGACAGGTGGCCGCTTAATTGAGTTAAAATATAGTGAAAAAATGATCGGGCGGGATTGAAACTGGCCGCTCATGGGGAGTGGCCGCTGATTAAGGGTGGCCGTAACAGCAGGTGCGACTGTAAATATGATGAATAATGGCTTTGTCATTCTTGAGAAGAAGATTTTTAAAGAATTTTCCTATATATTTCTATGTAAAACTTTGGTCGGCTATTTTGGCCCCGCCCTACCCCTGGGGGTCATGATTTGAACAAACTTGAATCTACACTACCTGAGCATGCTTCCATATATATATGATGAATTATGGCTTTGTCATTCTTGAGAAGAAGATTTTTAAAGAATTTTCCTATATATTTCTATGTAAAACTTTGGCCACCCTACCCCCGGGGGTCATGATTTGAACAAAATTGAATCTACACTACCTGAACATGCTTCCATATAAATATGATGAATAATGGCTTTGTCATTCTTGAGAAGAAGATTTTTAAAGAATTTTCCTATATATTTCTATGTAAAACTTTGGTCGGCCATTTTGGCCCCGCCCTACCCCTGGGGGTCATGATTTGAACAAACTTGAATCTACACTACCTGAGAATGTTTCCCCATAAGTTTCATCTTTCCTGGCACAGTGGTTCTTGAGAAGAAGATCTTTAAAATATACCACTAAATTTTCATTAATTCCCAATTATCTCCCCTTGAATAAGGGCGTGGCCCTTCATTTGAACAAACTTGAATCCCCTTCACCCAAGGATACTTTGTGGCAAGTTTGGTTGAAATTGGCCCAGCGGTTCTTGAGAAGAAGTCGAAAATGTGAAAAGTTTACAGACAGACAGACGGACAGACGGACGGACAGACGGACGCCGGACAAAATGTGATCAGAAAAGCTCACTTGAGCCTTCGGCTCAGGTGAGCTAAAAATATAGAACAAATCTTTTAAAATCTTCTTCTCAAGAACCACTGGGCCAGGAAAGCTGAAACTTATGTGGAACCATCCTTGAGTAATGTTGATTCTAAAGTTTTAAAATAAAAAAGGGAAGGGGGTAGTTGGGCATGATAGGTATAGCAAGAGGGGGAATCTGGTAAAGATCTGCATCACCCAAGTTACTCAGATGAGCAATGTGGCCCATGGGCCTCTTGTTTTTTATGTTTTACTTACCTGCAGTTACTACAATTAGGTCATGTTGCCAAATTGGGACACCATCTGTGGACTGCTGCCCGCCACACAAAGCAGCTATTTTTAACTTCCGTTCCATGAGTTTTGAAGGATTCTCTGGGTCAAACCTGTAAATAACAAATGATACCTCAACATGATACCTGTAGTTTTATGTAAAACCTAGTAAAAAAGCAGAGAACACTAAATGTTTCATTACAATTTATCTGTATATTATACGTTGATGTATTCAATATACATTATGTCCTTCAAAATAATACAGTCACTGTCAATCTGATTGTTCTAAAGCATGTCATGATTCTAGTACGAATAATTTTATATTATGTGCTGAATGAATTAACAGTGATGTTGAGTGGTCTGTTGACCATATTTTGAAAGCAATGGGAACTGAAATACGAGGTTTGCCTGGAATTATATATTTTTTTTAAAATTTTGATTCTTTAGCTATTACGGTCTGGTTAGAAGTAGGGTGGCATCACTGATATGTCTGTCTTCAATCAGTCAATTATTATATAGTGTACACTCCACTGTAGAGCATTTGTCTCAAAAACGATTTTACTGATTCTGAAGCTTTGGTTCAGGTAAAAAGATTCGTTAAGGAATCCAAGATTTATTGGCGTGATATATAATTATGTTTACTGACTTGATATATATGTTTACTGATTTAAGATGCATGTTTACTGACTTGATATTTATGTTAACTGACTTGACATATATGTCTAGACACTTCCAATCTGCTTGATACACCCTCTACAGATCTGCTTGATCATGCTGACAGACTTACTGACCTGGTATATAGACGGTCACCAAGCTGTGAAATCAGGTTACGGGACTGTTGGATGACCAGCAGAACCTTGTCCACCAGAAACAAGGCTTGTCTCGTAGGATTCAGCTCTAACATCGCACTGATGGCCATACAGGCTATCAACGTCTTCCCAGTCCCTGTCAAACACATGTAAAGAATGCATAAGCATGACTCTGAAGGCAATAGTTATGCTCCTTAATTTTTATCTCATTTTTCTTTTATTTTCATGCTAGTCTTTCAGAGCTTTGATTTCATTTCTGATTCAATTTAGAAAATAAATTGTAAAATTATAATAAGACTCTTTTTCTAGAATTTACAATTAAACAATAATATTCACATTTGCAAATGTTTTCCTTTATAACACTACTGAAAGCAATGCCTATCTATAACTGTATAAATAACGGTACCGGGTCAAGAGGTCATAGATGTGCGTATGGATAAACGTTCGACGTAATTTCTCTGTGACGTCATAAAGGGTCGACACGCGTTCAGTGGATTACATACACGCCGTTGGGTTTGAAAAATAACGCATTTCACACGTTAAAAGTCACAATCAGGCAAATATAAAGTATGCATAAGTCACAAATGTAAATATAAGTAATAAGGTATCATTTTTAAACATCTATCGGGCTATATATATGGGTTGGTACGAGATTAAATTCCTCATAAAGCCCTTCGGGCTTCATGTCACCATATTTATATCCCGCTCTACCTTATTTCTTAAATAAAGTTTACCTGTAGGAAGAAAGACAACTCTGTCACCCTCCATCGCTCTCCCATACAGTTCCCTCTGATATGACCTGGGAGTCAATGCCGTCAGATTACAGTCAGTTTTCCCTTGGTCTAAAACTTCCTTCACAATGGGTCTATGACTTCTCTGCACTGCAGCCAGGACTGCGACTTTCTGCATGTGTCCCCGGCCCTCCATGTGGTCCTTCAATGCTTTTTTGGAATTCATTGGGCGCTGGCAGGTATGACAGTAATACTTGTGTGTGGCTCTGTACGGGTTTACAACCTTGTTGTTCATAGCTACAGGTGTGTAATTAGCTGGGGTATTTGATGAATCACTGACACCCAGCTCTTGTAACTTTTTATTGACATCCGAGCTAGTGCAGGGAAAAAATTTCCCATCTTCCTCTTCCTCGGTGTCGGACTCATCTGAGGAATCCGATGAACCATACAGAGGCACAGCAGTCCCCTCACTCCGTGCTCTCCCTCCTGACCTTGTGGTAGGTACACGGGTCACCAGAGCTGATCCACTGGATCTAGAATTCTGAGCTTTTGGAGTGGTGTTACTTTGTATTCCACATTCCCTGCTCATCCCAGAATTGACCTTTAAATCTCTTTCAGCACTATTCCCTGGCGAACCTTCTGTGCTGGATGAGTCTCTAGATGTACTCAGTTGGTGCCCTGTTTCTTTTTTACAGAGATTTGAAATTCCACTATTTGTGACATTCTGTTGAGATGAGATTTGATTTAAGTTTCCAATGGATGAGTATGATTTTTCATCCGATGGCAATTTGGATTCACCTTTGTAATATGATGGTTGTTTACTTTCATATGGATATGAACCTGGGGCTCTTGGTTTATCAGCCATCTGCCTTTGAAGATTTTTTAAGTCTTTATCATTTTTCATAGCTGTGTCTCTGTTAGATTTCATTCCTGTTCTTACATCACTTTTTTCAAGAGCTGGCATTTCCAAACTTGACAGAGAAGAAGAGGAAGTGTTTATCTTTTCATTGATCAATTCCTTTTCCAACTCCTTTTCTACATATTTTTCTTTGAAATTTTTTTCTTCATCAATGTCTGCTGGAATGTCTGGCTTTTCAAATTTTACTTCTTTAGGCAGAGTTTCATCAATGTTATCTTCCTTCAAATTTGAAGGTTGTCCTGTATCATTTAACATGGAAGAAGGATTGAGAGATGGTAGAGTGGCAAGTTTTAAGTCCTCCACCTCCTCTACCCTTTGCTCTTGTGCAAACATCCCTGGCTGATTGGACAAAAATGACTGTGGTCCAAAAGAACTAGCTAAAGGTATCTCAACGTTTCCCTTGGTCTGATCGGCAAAGTTTACTCTTGGATTCACTGGACAGAAACCAGTGTCTTGAACTTGCACCCTGGGGCTAATGGCATGCATTTTGAATTCTGGAGTTTTCGTGACTTCTACTTTGTTTCCCATTCTGGCTTGTTTCTCTTCCTCAGCTTTATGCTTGGGACTGTTTTTATGGATGTTAAGTTGCTCAAGGGAATTTAATCGAACATTGCACACCTCACAAAGCTCCCAATGTGTTCTGTCATTAGAAGGAGCTACAATGCCTGGTATTGTCTGGTTCAGTATAGGAGAATTAGGCTTCTGAGACTGACTCAGAGCCTCTCTCTGGCGATGTTTTACACTACTGAAATGCTGGGAAGCACACTCTGGTCCAGAGAACGTTTTCACACAGATCTCACAAGTTAATGGTAATGAGCTTGGAATGCCAATGTTGCCTTTCATTTTAGCCTTTTCATGACTTTTACCAGACAAATGCTGTTCTGCATGGGCTTTGGAAGTCAGTTCAATTTTACAAAGGTGACAATATCCTCTTCCTCCTGAGAAGTCATACTCATGATTCTGGCCAACAGTTCTATTAGAAGTTGGTGAGAGCTTACCGATATCTGGATTTATTTGGTTGATGCCCAGGTTTTGAGCAGCTTTTGCTTTGGCATGAGGCTTTCCATTTATATGTTGTTGTGCATGTTGCATGGAAGTGAGCTCAATTTTGCACACATGACAGTAACCTTGGTTTCCATCAAATGAATACTCTTCAGGTGGACCTCTGCTAGACTGACAGTCTGGTTTGTTTTGTTGACCAGGGCTGCTTGGAGTGGCGTTTAAACAGGAGAGGGTTTTCTCTCCTTGAATATTGTTATTCCAGATTTGTTTTGCCTTAAGATGTTTCTGCCCACTAAGGTGCTGATTTGCATGCTGACGTGATGTAAGGTCAATGTTGCATACATTACAGAAACCTCTGCAATCATTCTCATCAAATACATATTCAGTCCGTCTTTGATATTTCACGGGGTTTTGTGAAAATGCAGTTTGTTCCCTGGTTTTTGGCTGAATGTTGACCAAATTTTCACTAGGATACAGTGACAGTTCTAGTGAAGGTGAATCAAGTTCCATGTCAGATGTTGCAGAGTTAGAACTGTTATAATTCTGTGCCGTAGATTTTTGCAGAAGTGCTTCTTTCTTTTTATGGTTTTCACTTGCAAAATGTTGTTCAGCACTCAGTTCATTGTTGAACTTCTTTCCACAAGCGTTACATGCGGAAACATAGGTCTGTGTCTGCTGAATGGGAGGCGTTTGTTGACTTTTCTTGGATATGTGAGCCTGACTCCTAAAATGCTGCTGTGCTGGAATGACACCGGCAAAAGGCCCCTTCTTGCAGATTTCACAGAATGTTGGATATTCAGCACAAGCCATGATTTAAAAATATATTATTCACGAAAACTGCACAATGAATCGGGCAATGACATTTATGTTTCAATGTTTCCAACGAAAAAATAAAACGACTGTACAAACTACACAGCCAACTTTCTCTTTCGATTCGACGAAATCTTCCTTAGAAGTTATTTTTAGAAATTGTTCATCATTTTATTGGCCTATATGGAGAATAACTTCGGCATAGATAGTTAATTTAATGTATTTTTTCAATCATGACAATAAATAATAATAATAAAAAAAACAACTTACCATAAATCCGGCAATTTTATAGATTCTTTTTTTTTGGAACGAGTTATCTAAAATCCACTCTGCAAGCGTTTGATTGATGAAGCGTTTTGATGATGCCATCACTTTCCGTGCTTTCGAGATGATGATTCCAGAAAAATAAATACATATTTTGAGGATAAAATGCAGGAGGCACACGTTTCTGTGTTGCAAAACGGCAGTGAGCAGGAGGCATGCAACGTTTTAAATGATTTTACAACCAGGGTATTCCTTTTAGATTTAAATTTTAATGTTTATAGTTTTTAGGCAGTGTGCATAAATTAATTTTCTAGATTCATTGTGAGTAAGTTGCTGAAAAAATAAATTTTCATATACTTTTGTTTGTCATAGAAAGGGGATTCCATGATATTGAACAAGAACTACATTTACAACTTACCAATTAATATTATCTGAATTTTCTGTCAATATCCGAGAAAGAAAATTCTTTTACTATGGTAAATATGCACTTTACCACAATCAGTCATTGTAAGTATTTAATGATCCTCTAATGGTGAGCATAAAGTTTACTTATGTATGTTAAAGAAAAACTGTTTTCTTTGTTTCAGAATGCCCAGGTCTTCAGTTTTCCTGATCTTTCCCCAGACTTGAAAACGGTAATACTCAGTAATATCATCTACAGTCAGTGTTACAGTGTATAACAAGTCGTGTTGTTACTGAACATATAGTTTTCTAAGTTTACACCCTTTTCATGGGCAAGGAAATCTGCTTACATATGTCACCAATATTATATTTACATAAGAAACTACATCAAAGATTGGTGGGTACTACTAAACAGAGTACGATAGAGTACTTCAGAGTACGCTAAAAAAATTGTGTATTTTAATATAATTAGACTGTTTATTTATGTATATACAACTTGATTAAATAGTATTATAAAATAATTTTGCGGCATTTGTCCCAAATATTTGTATATTTAGCGATATTTTGACAAGAGTGCAACATTCATGATTCAATGCATTAAAGGTTATTAACACGCCGATCTCGATTACTGTTTTGTTTCAGACTTATTAATTTCAGCTAAATTTTATTTATCAAAAATTAAATAAACTGCATTACGTAAAATTTAATATTTTTCACATTAACAATAAAACATTTGAAGTTAAATTACATCGGGATGGGGATCAAACGATAGACCGTAACCTGAAATCAAAATTTAAACACCTCTAAAATAAGGAACACATTAGGGCTGTGTATTGAGCAAAAAAATTCGATACGATACGATACAATATTTTTTAAAACGATATGCAATATATTGGATTCTAAAGCAAGTCCATCAAAAAAGGCCTAATTAATCATTAAATGCATGGATTTCATAAAAAAAATTAGTGTTTTATTACCCATTTCAAAGTTCTTATCCCATAGTCAGTAAATAAAACACATCAAATGGAAACTTCTAATGACTGTAAAATTAACATGTTAAAATAATATTGTTATGTATTTTATTATAACTATATATAAAAACTGTGTTATTTCTTTTATAAATCTATAATCATTGATCGTAAGACCCTATTGATTAAAAAAGGTGAAATATAATCTTTGCTGATTATAATTTCCACCTTTTTAGCAGAATTAGAAGAAAAACTGCTTGTCCTATACGTATTGGAAGTAATTTTTCGATACGATATTTTTCTTGAATATCGATACATATCGATATATCGATATATTGATACAGCCCTAGAACACATACACATTTTATTTAAGATATATGTTTATTCTGTTAAACTAATGTAGAAAAACATATAAAAAGCAGTCAAATTGCATTAAATTATAAAATTTTACTAGCGTACTCTAAAGTACTCTATCGTATTAGCGTACTCTGTTTAGTAGGACGGAAGATTGGTTAAGCAAGATTGAATTTAATATTTCCGGTAGTTTGATCATATGTGAAAAAGTGTCATGCGTGTATTTGTAACAGCCAAATCAAATGAAATATTTGGTTGATAAGTAGATATTTTTAATCATTTTCAAAATTTTGTTACAATATACTGTTCATTCATCATTTCTTTTTGAACAGTTTTCTTGAGTATGATCGAGCCAGCCCCTGAAATAGATTGGTTGATCTACATGTACATGATCAGCGATCTACAAATATTTGCATGTAATGATAGAGTAGCCTAGGACACATACTGCAGCTGTTCATTAGTTTTCTTATCAATAATCTTGACCAAAACCACAAAAGATATGAAATCATAATGTGAGAGGTATTCTCATATTGATTAATAGCAAGATTTCTATTGATCCGTTGATCTTGTATGGGGTATTTTCATTGTGTATGAAATTCAATGCCCATTCTGGAGAATGTACATATGTAAAGTAGCTGATGTGGAATGATATTGTTTTAAGATGTTATGTACAATGTTCCTAATATTTACCTAAGTAACAAGATTGTACCATGAAGATGAACCTTGATGATTTTTATGCCCCCATTCAAAGAAGGGAGGGCGTATTGCTTTGCTGCTGTCTGTCGTTCTGTCGGTCCATTTAGTTTCCGTTCATTTTCTTCACAACCGTTGCACATACTGAAATAAAATTTGGTATACAGGTATATCAGATGAATATCTAGGTCAAGTTCTGTTTTGGGTACGATCGCACCATAATTGACAGAGTTATGCCCCTTGGACTTAGAAACATTCTAATTATTTGCAGTTTCCGTTCATTTTCTTTGGAGTGTTTGCACATATTAAAATGGAATTTAGTATACAGATTAGTCAGATAAATATCTAGGTCAAGTTCTGTTTGGGTACGATAGCACCATAATTGACAGAGTTATGCCCCTTGGACTTAGAAAAATTACAATTATTTGCAGTTTCCGTTCATTTTCTTTAGAGAGGTTGCACATATTGAAATGGAATTTAGTATACAGATTAGTCAGATGAATATCTAGGTCAAGTTCTGTTTTGGTTATGATCGCACCATTTTTGACAGAGTTATGCCCTTTTGGACTTAGAAAAATTCCATTTTGTGGGGGAGAAGGGCATAAGTGTTTTACAAACATCTCTTGTATGTATAAAGCCTTTTCCATTGAAAGCAATGTTTCTCTTTAATTTTGAAGAAAATTGTTGAAGCCCTGATCCACCGACTGAATGCTCCAGGCTCCTCCAAATGCCATGTTCTGTGTCTGAAGACCCTACGAATGTTCAGCCGGGAGAAAGACAAACTGGTCAACATGGTGTCCGAGCCCACTATCGCCACCATCATGAGAATGACTGGATTAAATCATTACGCCTCCAAGGAGGGAGACCTTGTAGAAATACAGAACGGGGATCCAGAGGGTAAATCACTGACACTAAGGGAGGGAAATATTGTTATCAAAACAGTACATTCTGTAGGTCTAGAAATGCATAGAAGTGAAGAGCAGTAACAAAAAGTTAATTTTCCTAATATTGTAAAAAATTTCAATAATTTGATTAATGATGGACATATTTACTATTGTACACAGTTATATTGTATGTATATGTGATGATCTGATAATTTCTTTTGTTTTGTTTAGTGATGTTGGAGGCTTTAAAGTGTCTATGCAATCTGGTCTTCAATAGCCAGCTAGCACAGAGAATCTGCAGGTTTGTACACTGTACACATATTACAAGTAAGCAGATTAAATTAAGCTGTGCTTCTTTGTGAATTGAGAAGTGACATGACTTTGAAACAAAAAAAGGATAAATAAATGTATGTTAGGAAGAAGATTTTACTTTGCAAATTGGCAAAATTTATTTTTTATAATTGTTAAATTGTAAGTATCAACAAAACATGGAACACAATTAAATGGCAATATAATAGATTTTTTTAATTCTTTTAAATATTTAAAGAAAATTCTTATTTAAAGTATATTGTTAATTTAACAAATTATCAAGTACACATATACGGCACACGCAAAACAAAATGAGGTTGGGTCTGATACCAATAAATTTTGTATGCAGACTTTCACATCCCACCCTTAGTTTAATCTACAAATACAACTGTTTTCATAACAGATTTCCACCTTCCTCAAATTGAATTTTGTAAAGTTAAAATAAAAGAGGTCATATTTACAAAATCTATAAAATTTTATACATAAGATATCCTAACAAAAAAACCTAGGCCATGACCTTTTAAATTTAACATTTTCTTAGCCTAAACATTCTCTGTTGACTCTCTTTTATTTTTTTTTTTCAAATCAAAATCACACACAGTTGGAGATTGTTAACACTTGAACAAGTGTCATTTTCCATGTCTATTTTTATTCTTAGTCTAAAAAAATCTTAAAAACCTTGCTCATGCCAGTGATGGTACTAGATCATCTATTATTTTTTTCTCTGCCTTCTCTATACTGACAAGTAATCTTTTCCTTACATATATTTAAACTGCTTTTATTGACATTTTTTCAAATTTACATGGCTCCTTTGCTATAAATTTAAGACTTTTAATACAGATATATATTAAACTTCACCCAAAAGAATAAAAATACATGAAAATGCAAATCTAAACCCAAAATTAAAATAAAAAATTAGAGAATGCGGGCATGATGTATTTTAATTTTACCTTTTGCCTTATGAAGAAGATTTTACTTTGTAAATTGGCAAAATTGTCATGATTTATACAGCTAAAGATAAGGAACCAAAAATTAAACAGATAATTCCCTCTTGTTCTTATTTCAAAGTATATGTGTACTTGATACATGAATCAATATTGTGTCTCCACTCATAGTTCACATCCCACTTCGGTTAATCAGAAATACAACCATAACAGTTGACCTTTGACTTTGAAGTTTATAAAGTTAAAATGAAAAGAATTATTATCCACATCAAATTTTATACATCTGTATCTTAACAAATGAAGTTGACCATGACCTTTGAAATTGACCTATACCTTAACCTCTGTTGACTCTTTCTTCTTCCTTTATACTACACAACTAACTCAGAATTAGCATACCACCACTGAAGTTTGCCTTGATATTAGAAGTCATTGTTGACCAATACACATCATCTCTGTTGTGTATAACCCCCAAAAACTTCATTCTAAGGACAACTTCCTTTTACTGACATTTTCAAATTTAATTGATGTATAATTTAAGATACAATATATATTAATTCAGAGGATGAAATCTTAAAATGACATCTAAACCTTAGTATTAGAGAATGCCATGATGTATTTTATATCTGATCTTGACCGAACATGAATATATGTTAAAGAAATATAATTACGTTTAAATCAAAAAAAAAGAAAAATAAGATGACAAACAATGGTTTCATATTTTAACAAATTTTTATTGATTTCTATCAAGGCCAAAGGTGCGTTATGAGCTTCATGGTTTTACCTATCTGATGGAGGTGGTGGATTTATAATAGAAGGATTGAAGTTGTGCACATCGGTTTTTGTTTTTCGATTTCTCTATTCAAAATGGCGCTATATAGGGGTCAAAAATTAGAACGAGGTGGACCAAAAATTATTCATATTTTGCTTCTTATCTTCTAAACTAAAAATATTTTGTTAAAATATATAGAACATAATTTGTGCAGAATTAGAAGTAACATGGATGAAGTGAAAAAAGGGCTGTTTGTTAAATTAAGGGAAGGTTGAGGGGCCAAATAAATATCGTGGACAAAGAGAATTTGTTATACATCAAAAAGAAGCAAAGTTGTTGAAAAAATTTTCTAATGGAGTAAATGTTTATTCATCATTCCTGCCAAACCAAATGTTTTTGATAATATATATTCAAAAACAAAGTTTTTGGGCAATTATGTGAATGAGCTTAAAAATTAATTTTTCGTGCGTCGTCGTCACTTCCGGCGCACGGTAAAAAAATAGCTTATTTTTATAATTAGCATAGAAGAGGATTCAAAGCATTTTTGGGCGTTCTTTTAATTTTTGTTAATAAAAGTTTTCAATCAAACATAAGATTAGTTGCTTTGCAAAATTATCCTAATTCCTTTTGCTTCATAAATAATATTCACGAATATTTTTTTTAGTAAAAATGGTTGTGTTGAGGGGATAATTCAAAGACTGAAAACATACAAAGATCCAGCACTACCACATGAAATTAAGGTTGGTACCATGTTTGCTCAAAAATATCTTAGTCATGCAAAGAAAAAGTAACTTTTTTTAATCTAATCTAAGTTTTGTGTTAACTGATGCAGTATTAATTGATTTCCCCCTTTTACTTTCAGTTCTTTGATATGAGACTACTTTCACTATTGACAGCCTTATGTGAAGAGACAAGGTAAATAAATATATAATGATATTTATAATTTATATGACATGGGACTGAAGAAAATAGAAAAATATCACTCTCTGAAAGATTTTTAGTATATAAATGAATTGTTTAATGTTTTCTTAGGGCTGTATCAATATATCGATATATATTGATATTCAAGAAATATCGATACATAAACTTAAATATGGACAGACTGTCATTTGTAATAGCAAAGGACACTGTCACTGTCGACCGTCGATGTGAGATTCTCTTTTAGTTGAATGATGGTGAGAATACTGTCTGTAACTTGCTAATAAATATTCAGAAGATCGCATGAGTGTGCCACATTGGTTTCTTAACTGGTTATAGATACTCACATATGTAAATCAATAAAATTTCTAAATTTAAGTTGGGCTTATCCAACTTTAAGTTTAGCAAAGATGAAATGTGACGCTGTTTTAGACACTTTGATTGTTATCATCCGTGCGCCGTAGGGCGATACAAAGTACATATATATAAAATATCACGATTTGTTTACCTATGCATATATCTATTTGAAATTTGCTATGTATATTCATAATTTATCTGCTAAAAAGTGGTGAAAATTTCAGAACGCAGTGATGATTATTTTTCAAACTAGACAACTTGTCCACGATTTTACGGGACAACCCTCATAAATGATTTCTTTTGTAAAAAAAAGGCAACACTTTGGAAAATCCTTGCAGTGCATATTTAATTAAAATTGAAAATAGTTTTTTCTTTAATTGATATACATTTATCGGATTAATACCGGTAAATTTTAGCAATTAGCACTCATTGTTGCCAACTCACCCGATTTCGTCGGGTCACACCCGATTTTTCAACCCATAACCCGATTATTTTTTATGACCCGGCGGGTCATGCTTATGTGGAAGCATTCTTATAGTGTAGATTCTAAATTGTTCAAAATCCCCCAGGGGAAGGGCGGGGCCACAATTTCAAAGTTTTACATAGAATTATATGCACTTTTAACTTCCAGTTACAACCCAAGCTTAGATCTACATAAACAGGGTGTGTTCCCGTTTTGCACACATTTGGTAATTAGTATAGAACAACAGGTTGAAGTGTGTTTTGATAGCAATTATAGTCTGATTTCTGGTTTGGATTTACCTGTGAATACCTGATTTAGCTTAATGTATTCTTAAGAGGTTTAATACAATTTTATAAGCATTTTGTTAAAATTCTATATATATTTATGGGAAAATATTTGATTTAATTGAATAAATTATTAATATTTGTTTCATATTATTTATTATTAAGTCCAATTTCTTAACAACAAGAATATGTACTTTTCAATCTTGCTATAATTCTAAAAAGATGAATCACCAAAGATTATAACATTTAATAAAGAAAATAGTCAATAAAAATTAATTTGAAAAGATAACAAAGTTTTATAATTATCACAATATAATCAAATACATTTACTTTGTAATTCTCTTGATTTTTTTCATTAAAAGTTTAATTTGAAATATTTGTAATGCTAAGTATACAATAACTATAAAATTAATTAAACACTTAATTGTTATGAAATTCCCATTTTTCACACATTTTTTAATAGGGGTGAAACAATATATCGCATATCACTTTAAAAAATATTGTATCGTATCGTATCGAAATTTTTGGCTCAATACACATCCCTACTGTGAGTATGTGTTTCGGTACGATACATTTTGATAGAGGAAAACAAATTACATTAAACAAAAAAAAAAGAAAAATGTTATTTTATTTTAACAAATTTTTATTGAATTTAGTCAAATAATTTATGTGCAAATTGGACAGAAGAAATCAATTTTATTAATTTGACTGTTAAAAATTATTTTTCAAACTTTAAGTCCTCAAAAATTTACGTTTTTGAACTAATTATATGGAGGAGCATGTTTATACCTTGTGTCAAACTCGATGGAATGACGATCCCGACCGAAAAACGAACCGAACCGAAAATAGAGATTTTATACCGTGTGTCGAACCGAGAAAAAATACCGCGGTGAACCGATACCGCGGTGAACCGTTTCACTCCTATTTTTTAATTACCTGTAATTAAATGTATGCAAAACGGGAACAAACCGTAAACAATGCCAGTGGATTAATTATCAGTGCAGGTGTAAACAATTAACTGGGTGTTGTTTTGACAAATCAATGATTGAAGTCAATTAAAATGGCTTCCGATAGAACTAGATCGTTATCAGGGCCAGCAGAAACAAATTGAACCAAACACATGTCTCTGATTGAACCAAAAAAAAGAGAAACAATATTTATGTACATATCAAGGAATCTTGGAAAAAAAAACTTTCATTCTAGATAAAATAAAGTGATCAAAGACAGTGTAGGCCTAACTTCACATTTAATATATACATATTGCAGTAGTTAATTAATTAAGAGAGAGGAAAAATAACTTCAAAACTAAAATTGGTATACTTTCAAATTTAGCAGAAAATGAAAAGGCTTTTTAAAAAAATGCACACTTACTTCAGGTCAATACTGAAATATAAAACCTTCAATTCTCTTTTTTAACATGTAAATTTAATCAAATTATGTATGATTTTTTTTGTCATTGTAAATTAAAGCCTTTTTCAATAAAAGAATTCTCAATACACAAATACTTTGTTTATATATAATTATGTATAAAATTTAATCATGGTAAATATGTCGTGAATGTCGTTACGCGTTATGACCAGATTTTTTACTTTCCAAATCTGGTCATGACCAGATTTTTACATGCTGGAGGTTGGCAAGTATGTTATCACTGTGTTTCAAGATGTGTACATGTATATGTAGGTTATGCCCTGGCCATTGGTGCCAGGGTTGGCATTCCAGTTAAAGTTTAGGGGGCAAGTCCATTTTCAAGTAATTAATATACAAATGCAAGTCTCCCACCTGAACCAAACTTGCTCAGATGATGCATCCAAGTATTCACAACATTAGACAGAGATGAATGGACTCTTTCAAGTAATAATAAACAGGAACCAAACTTGCATGAAGGATGCAGCTTGAGATGCACACAACCATGCAGATTAGCTTTGTATGCTGCATCTGACCTAAATTTCTAGATCATGGTTGAATTTGTGAAAATGGTTGGAGTAGGTCCATTTCCAGGCTCTGCCTTATTATTATACAACATGTATTTGCTATCAGCTGGAGAGTTTTATCTTCTAGGAGGAGGAGGCCCATTTTATGAGGTTGGTGTGCGTCCTGAAGGAGCTGCTGCTTTGTAAAACAAAATCCAAAGACCTGAAGGAGGAACTCCAGAGGTGATTGTTAGGGATTGTATATTATACTTTACAGTAAAGTTCTCTAATTATCTCATTTTTAGCTCACCTCAACAAAGTTGGGGGGAGCTTATGTGATACCCTCGGCGTTGGTGTCGGCGTCGGCGTCGGTGTCGGCGTCCCAGGTTAAGGTTAAGTTTTTTGGATCAGTTTTCTTTTTAGGTAGTTCTATGTCCTATATTGATTAGACATGCATGGAAGATGTTTTTAATGTGTTTCATTGTACCCGTCAAAGTTTCAGATGCTGCAATTTCAGCAAAGGAATGACCAGGTTAATGTTTTTGGTGCAGGTTAACATTTTTGGTGCAGTTTTTGGTGTATCATTTCCAAGTAACTATAAGCCCTATGTTGACCAAACTTACATGGATGGAGATGCATACTACCAGATTTGCTGAATCTGACCTACATTTTCCGGTTGAGTGAACAGGTTAAAGTTTTTGGTGCAGGTTTCATTTCCAAGTTTCTGTGAGACATATAATGACCAAACTTGCATGGATGGTACATCTTAGGATGCATTCTACTAGACTTGCTTCAGATGCTGAATCTGAACTACATTTTCCGGTTGAGTGAACAGGTTAAAGTTTTTGGTGCAGGTTTCATTTCCAAGTTACTATGAGACATATAATGACCAAACTTGCATGGATGGTACATCTTAGGATGCATATTAAGAATCTGACCTACATTTTCCGGTTGAGTGAACAGGTTAAAATTTTTGGTGCAGGTTTCATTTTACTTGAATTATACTAAACTGGATGGTACATTAGGATGCATATACCAGAGCTTGGAGAATCTGACCTACATTTTTTTATCAGGTTTTTATGGTGCAGGAGGAGCCCTATAATGACCAAACCATGGTAGGGTTTGAAGTGTATTTCCGGATTAGTGAAAAGGTTAGTTTTTTATACAGGTTTCATTTGTAACTTTGAGCTCTATGTTGAACAAACTTGCATGGATGATACATCTTGGATGCACACTAATGGACTTGCTTCAGATGCTGAATTCTGACATTTTCCAGATAATAGACCTCGTAAAAGTTATGGGTGCAGGTCTATCACCAAGAAACTATAAGGCTTATATAAACCAAAGTTGCACAAATGATGCATCAAGGGATGAAAACTTGCAATCTTGCTTCAGATGCTGGATTTTAATTACATTTTCATGATGAAGAACTAGTTTTAAGTTTTTATAGAGGTCTATTCCGAAGTATCAAAATTGCATAAATTTTGCATTTTTGGATGTACACTTTTTGTTGGTTTAATAATTGTGTGACTTGATTTGCCTTACTTAAAGACAACATTCGTTGAGGTGAGCTCTGTAATCTCTGATTACCTATGTTATTAGCGATGTACCCGGTAGTTTGAAGTATTATGCATGTAAGTATTATCTGTAACTTGGAATGAGAGACCTTTGGTACATGTACATGTAAGTTTCTATTTGGGGAAATTTTTATTCAATAACATTGTGATGTTAGAATTTATTTTATTATTTATGGTGAAGTCCTCTGTTTTGTGTTTATTAAAAACTGAGATTATTTACCCAGTATGACGGTTAATTTGCTGACTAATGTCCCACTGGACTGCTATGAGGAATTATTGACCCCGTTAAATGAGGACGATGATGATATCGGCCTGGAAAACAAAGAGGCCGAGTATGATGGGAAAAATATGGAGGCCATACTGGTACTTCTGGATTTCCTGTATCACAGACTAGATAAGGTAGGCTTAGTTGTTGTCCGATGTTCCCATGTGACTGATATTATTGTGTAAAGCAAGTTAAGGAAATGCTGTAAAATCAACAATCTAAATAAAATAAGAATTTTTAGATCCCTATTTTTGTAAACTTAGCAAGATTTTTGATAAAATTGTAAAAATTAATTTATTTACAAAAAAATGTAATTGGCATGATATGTACACATTATATCGTGTTGTCAGGATAAAACTTAGATTATATTTAAAGTAAATGGACAAGACAAGGATGCAGTGTATTAAACAATTGATACAATTTTTTACATCAAAGATTAACATGTTTGAATAAAGATGATGAAATGTAATGGCCTCTGAAGCTCTATTAATATTTTATATAGCCCTCTAAGATGACAAAGGACAGTTTGGCCCCGATATTGTGCAGTCTCTGTCAGATGTGTAAAGCCAATCGCACGATACGAAAGTTCTGTCGGCTAAAGGTAACAAAACTTAATGGTGTACAGAAAATGTTATAAAATGAAATACTGCTAAAATATGAATCTTACTTGAATAAGGAAATGTATCAAAAATTGATTCCTTTATTCATGTACGAACTTCTGTCTTTTAATGCAAGCAGTTTAAAGTGGATTGCATGTCTTTTGACTATACATGCATGTTTAATGCACTAGGTAGTTATACAGTATGTGGATTTTTTGGCAGGTACTACCCCCTTTAAAAGAAGATGTGAAAAGATTGCCTGAAGAGGGAAAGACATTAAGAAACAAGTAAGTTTTACAAATATGGGGATTATTCACTGTGTAAGAAAATTCTGACAATAAAATTATGTTTTATACCAAGGGACAGTTTTTTGTGTAGAGAACACTATAATACATGTATTAAAAGTTTGTTACAAGTACAGTAACTTCAATTTCACGATAAAGTATACATGTACTTATCAAATAAATTTTATACTCTTAATCATCTGCACTGAAGATCTATCATTTTAGTAGCTGTCTTATTCTTATTTTGGAGCTGTTGAACCAAGGCACAGATACTTTTTACAAACAAGTCAATGTTTATATTTCAGATTGTGTAAAATTCTGACATCTGCCTCAGAAATAAAAGATATGGTGGCAGAATTCTTATTTATACTATGTAAAGAGAGTGGTAAGATTCAGTTTATAAATTTCATTTATTCTTGAGACCTTCATTTAAAAGTTTAATTGTGGTAGGGGGGGCTTGATGGAAGTAGATTTCTGTTACAATTCTGAATCATCTTACCAACTGATACACAGTATGTGATGTTTAATTTGTTTATTGAACTCTTTTGGCTGATTTCAGTGGCGAGAATGGTGAAGTACACGGGTTATGGTAATGCCGCTGGTTTGCTGGCGAACCGTGGTATGCTGATGGGTGGTAGGAAATGTGACGGAGATTACAGTAGTGGTTCAGAGGAATCGGACACGGAGGAGTACGCCAGATTACGAGATCAGTACGTCATTGTTTATACTCGTATTTATATGTAGGAGTACACCAGATTACGAGATCAGTACGTCATTGTGTATACTGGTATTTATATGTAGGAGTACGCCAGACTATGAGATCAGTATGTCATTGTGTATACTCGTATTTATATGTAGTCATATGTACACCAGATTACGAGATCAGTACGTCATTGTGTGTATTTACATGTATATGTATACTGGTATTTATATGTCATTGTGTATAGTACGCCAGACTATGAGATCAGTATGTCATTGTGTATACTCGTATTTATATGAAGAAGTACGTCAGATTACGAGATCAGTACGTCATTGTGTATACTGGTATTTATTTGTAGAAGTACGCCAGATTACGAGATCAGTATGTCATTGTGTATACTCGTATATATATATGTTGGAGTACGCCAGATTACGAGATCAGTACATCATTGTGTATACTCGTATTTATTTGTAGAAGTACGCCAGATTACGAGATCAGTATGTCATTGTGTATACTCGTATATATATATATGTAGGAGTATGCCAGATTACGAGATCAGTACGTCATTGTGTATACTCGTATTTATATGTAGGAGTACACCGCATTACGAGAACAGTACGTCATTGTGTATACTCGTATTTATATGTAGGAGTACACCGGATTACGAGATCAGTACGTCATTGTGTATACTCGTATTTATATGTAGGAGTACACCGGATTACGAGATCAGTACGTCATTGTGTATACTCGTATTCATTGGGGGGAGTGGATAAATTCCTGTAACTTAACATGAACTGCCATGATTATGGTCAGGTCATGTAGTTTTTATTAAAACTTGTACAGTGATACATGTTGATGGGACTTTTTAACTAATCTCATTTTCTGACCTTTAGGTTCCTTTATATTATAATCTTAATCCTGCTACTCCGTAAATTAGATTCTGCTTGATCTACTGGTATAATAATGAATTGTATATTGTAATTTTTTTAGCAGAGTAAATCTAATATTAAATGTCATTTAAATATCTCAGCAAAATCACCCCAAAAGAATAACAAAATGAAAAAAAAATTCAATGTATACTGTAGTTTTGAGTTGAGAATTTTTTTTTCAGGGTAAATCCAATAACTGGTAGATGGGAAGAAGACAAGGTGAACCCCATGGAAGAAATGTCTGAAGAACAAAAGGAGTATGAGGCCATGAGACTTGTTAATGATTTAGACAAACTACAAAGGTAAACAGCAGAGTTACATATGCTCCATACAAAGCAGTGATTGAAATAAACATGCGCTGACCTCAATAGACACACAAATTTTGTCACGGGCGAACAGATTTGCATGTATTGACGCCTGGCTTGAAGTGTAAAAATTTTTCTATAAATTAAAATTAAGGATGCTTGATAAAACTCTCTCAAATCAACTAATATTACTGGTTGCAAAGTGTAACAAGCAAACAGGTAGAATTCATCATGCAGCCTGTAGGTCCTGGATCGAATATATAGTGAACAGGCCCAATTCACATTATTGCTATAACAAACTTATCAAAGACAATTATTTTTTTGGGCTAGTGTATAAAATTGCAAAATCATATTAACTTTGCTCTACTTGTATGTATTTTTTTTTTGCTCCATGGTTAGGCAAGGAATCATTCAACCGTGTCGGGTAGGGGATGATGGGAAACCAGAGCCTGTAGAACACATACTACAGCTGACAGAAAACATAAAACTGAAAAAGGAGGACAAAAACTGATTCAGAAGGGGTGGATCTGACATTGTCAACAGTGTATATGTGTTTGTGATCCAAGTGTTGTGTCTCATTCTTAGGTGGATCTAAGCATTGTGATGATATTGGAATGTTTGATTGCAAAAGAAAGACTATATGCATAGTGAATATTAATATGTGTAACCATACTTCATAATAATATAGTTTATAGAAGAGTCATGTATAATATCAAAGAGTGCTATATCTAAATGTTTCTTTTAGGTACATACGAGATACATGTACAAGTAATGCTAGTTTCTTGGAAGCATGCTTTAAGCCAGTGTAGATGTTTGTTGGTGTAGCAGTGAATCTTTCAGTATCTTTATTTCCCGTTTTGTAGTTCTGTGAATATTTCTTCAAATAAAAATACATGTTATGTTCATGATCTGTTATCAACCAAGAAACCAAGAAGTCTAAAAGAGCTTTAAAACTAAAAAGTTGGGGATGATACTTAATACAAGGTTAGCCTCTTTGTAATTGTGGTGCCACATCAAAACGATGTTAAGGGAAAAATATAACTTTAGTTATTTTGTTAGGATTGGGGATCATTATTAGGCAAATGTTTGACTGGTATTCAGTTTTTGTTGATCACACAAATAAAAAAAATACATTTGTATGATAGAAAAATTGTTTTTGTTTGAAACAAATGCTTTTTGATTTGCTCATTGTAAGCTTATAGTAATCCATTTAAAACAAAATTTGGTGATTACTGTTAACACATTTTGTTTTTGGTTTGGACCTTAAAAAGAATTAAGAAGATGGGGGATAAGGCGGGCAGAATGCCTATAGCGTCGGATATTAAGAAATCACATCTGATGTGTAAATTGAGTATTTGAATTTACCTCTCATTGAAATTTATGAAATTATGAGAAAAAAAAATTCTGAGAGAAAATAAGTCTCTTAAAAAAATTTCATTTATAAAAATATTAGATGGTATATGTGGGATTCAAACCCCAGCAATAAAATACCTTAGTATCATACTGAGACTAATGCGCTAACCACTATGCTACGTAGCTTATGATGATTAGGGGCATTTAAATCAAGTTTGTGATATGATCCTTGACTTAATGGCCTTGAAGTATTTCTCGGAAAGATGTGTATGTTTTGTCATAAAAGTGTACTTTTAAGGTATAGTGGGTCCTCGCTCCATTTTTTTGTAAACCAAAAAATATTTATCGCAAACTTTTAAGATGATCTTTCAAAAAAATGGAGTGAAGACCCACTCATATTCAAAAATTTTGACAAAGTATGAAAAAAATGATCATTTTTGTTCTTTTAAGTCTTTGTATACTTTTTCATAGGCAAATATTTTCAGTCTTTGTGAGATTTTTGTAAATTATAGAGATTTTACATTAAGTATACTTTAATATTAGATGAAAGATGAAATATGAAATAAAATTAGGATATTATTGTAGAAATTTATCTGAATATTATTGAGTAGTTGTGCATCCTTTTCTTTTTGAAAAACTGTACACGTAAGCAGTCTCTGCTATGGTAATTATTTAGTAAAACTCTTTGCAGTCCCATTTACTGGTATAGACTTATTCCCCTGTTTTTTGAAATATTTGAATTGGTGGGTTATTTTTTAACTATGAAAATTTATAGGATATAGTAAGAAAATACTACAAACCTCACTTAAACTAGTTGTCATGATTTCCTTATTTTGTGTCTACAAGATCAAAGATCTTGGCATGCTGTGTTTTGCTTTCATCCTTGCAAAAGCTATCTCACCTCAGCATATCTTTTTTTATAGATAGCACTCAACATATTTTGTTTATAACCAGATCTGGATGAATTTTTAAAATCTCAGCATTTCTTTCAGTTATGCAGGTTTATTTCTAGGTAGTGCTTTTATTCTAGATTGTAGCGGCATCTATATTTATCATCATAACATACAGCTGTGCTGATATTTAGGTTGTGCAATATGATCTGCACATGTATATAGGAATGTTATAGTGTATTGCATCATGATGCTAAGAATTATAATTTATTTATTATATTTTGACACTAAATTTGGTCGGTGTGTGTCTATTTCATTGTATTTTCGTTTGAATGTTCAGAAACTTGCCATGAAGCATTATGATTATTGAGAATATCCTATCAATATTTGAAATACTGTATACGCTAAGACAGCAATGAAAATGTTGTATTAACAGTAGTCTTGAAAGATTTTCACCTCTTAAATACATGTAACTGCAGGATCAGAGTCAGAACTGTTCAAACTTTTTTAGGAAAGGTAAAATTAAACTTAATTCAGATAAAATAATTGATTTTTCTTTTTTTGTCAATGAGTGCTTATTAAGATTCAGAGTGGATAGTCAAATTAATATTGAGATAGAAACTTTGTGCATTTATTTTTGTGGCAATACCTACAATGTAGTAGGTAAAACAAAAGCAGACCACCCATTCATCATAATCAAATAATGAATAAACAATCTAGGGTTACATGTACATGTACCACCCTTTCCTGTAGTTACTAATCATCATTGTACTCCATTTTTTCTGTATATTGCTCTGTAAATGACAGATGAAAACTAAATATAATTATTTCTCCTTTAGCTTGTTGTGTTCCAGTTATTTATTTGTCATGAACTGTTATGTGTTATAACGTAAAGAAATCATGTTTAACCTTTGACCCCACACGGGTACTGTGGGTATCAAACATATCCCATTCTTCCTGTGCAATATTATGTATAAATGCATTTTATTTTTGTTAATGTATCTATGAGGGTAATGTATGCATCATCATTTTCATGAATAAAATACTTTAAGTCTACAATATTAATTGTACTTCATTAATTAGGGAACAGATACATAGATACATGTAAGATGCATACTCTGATAACTCTTCCATCATCTTGACAATGTTCTGTGTATTGGCTTGATTAGCACCCAGTCAATATAGAATTATCCCAAAATTCCCAGTCATAGGAATAATTAAAGTTTTGACTTATGGCATGTAGAGAGTGCAAACTTTATCTTTTTGTATGCTTTAAGATGAAGAATGATGGTTGATATGACATAAAATCTGTGCTATAACTTCAACCCCAAACAAAGGGCAGTAAATAGAAACATTCAATCACCATGATTATTTTATTGTTAACACAAAGCTATTTCTAATGTTTTAAAGCATATATTGCATGAGTTTTAATAAATATGGGTGGAATGTACAAATTGGATGATTTTAAGTCAGTTGTTAAAAATTATATCACAGTTTTTCAAGGGTAAACACCTTTAAATACTTCCCCATTTCACAAACAAATCATCACTTGTCATAAATACTCAAAATGAAAGACTCGGAACCTTTTTGAAGGTTAAATTAAAGTGATGTTTTCCTTCTCTCTCTCTCTAAGATCACATTCTGGGGTTCATTTCCATGTGGCAGGTGAGGGCCGACTCCCATCTCTCTTTCCTCTGAAGGTACCGGGCCCTAATTTCCTTGGATCCCCTCCCATTAGATCCTGCTGTGCCAGCTCCTCATCATACCTGTAACATTCCAAAGTAAACGCTGTTGTTGTTAAATTCTGAAGTTTAACAATGTACTACAGGGTGACATTTTCAAAGTTCTCCTTCTTTCAAAATAATAACCATGTATTATACGTACAGAACATCAAAATTTCCAAGGTGTTCTTTTGCTGGTATTTTATTCCATCTAACGCTGAAAAAAAGTAAATAAAAGATGAAATAATTCCATCTAATTCTGTTTTGTTTTTTACATTTACGAGTAGATAATTATATTTAAATATAGCTGGCAAACAAACCCATCTGATCACCACATACTTAAAGTCAATATCTCAGATCCTTATGAATCTAACAGTTATTCTGGGCACCATCAAGAAATAACAAAGTTTGTATGTTATTGTAAAAAAAAGTGTAATCATACTCTGGAACTTGTCCCGGAGGAATGACGATATTGATGACATCATTGATGAGTTTATACTTCATTATTCTGTCACTAGAGGTGGTGCTTGTCAGAGAGGGTGAGGCATTCACCTGTCAATCAAATACAACTGCATGTTAACGACATAGAGGGTGTGGCATTCACCTGTCAATCAAATACAGCTACATGTTAACAACAGAGAGGGCTAAGGCATTCAGCTGTCAATCAATTACAACTACATGTAAATGAAAGAGAGGGCGAGGCATTCACCTGTCAATCAAATACAACTAAATGTTAACAACAGAGAGGGTGTGGCATTGACCTGTCAATCTAATACAGCTACATGTTAACGACCAAGAGGGCTAAGGCATTCAGCTGTCAATCAAATACAACTACATGTAAATGAAAGAGAGGACAAGGCATTCACCTGTTAATCAAATACAACTAAATGTTAATGACAGAGAGGACGGGGCATTCACATGTCAATCAAATACAACTACATGTTAACGACATAGAGGGTGTGGCATTCACCTGTCAATCAAATACAGCTACATGTTAACAACAGAGAGGGCTAAGGCATTCAGCTGTCAATCAAATACAACTACATGTAAATGAAAGAGAGGACAAGGCATTCACCTGTATTTCTCATAAAAGACAAAGACTATATGAATGTGAATTATGCTGTTAACAAATCATGACAAAGCAATATACATGTACAGTAAAAATATATACAGATAGTTACTTTATACATACCTCTATCAACCAAGGCTTTAAATTGTCATCTATAATTATATCATATCTAAAATACAACAAAAAATATATTTATTTTACCTTAGCTACAAAAGTCTCATTCATTAAGTGGAAAAAATTAAAAATTATTCTAAAAATAGATTGATTTATTGTGAAGGCATACCCGTAACACTCAAAGCAATGCCTGTCATTGGATATACATCCCTGAAATTAAATAAAAAGGAAAGTCACTTTTAATCAACATAATATTTTAAAGGATCTCAGACTTTGGTATAAGCTTAGATGTATAAAATAAAAGGTTACTGCTCGAAAAATTAGTGAAATCTAAGGAAGGGTAAGAAAACATGATAGAGGGTGAGGCTTGCTAAGCCCCATCTTTTTTTAGTCCAAATCTCACTTATATTGTAAGACAGTTAATTATCATGTACTTTGTTTAATTTGCTTTTAAGTTTTACATATGATCCAAAATGAGCTATTTTCAATAAATTTATGCCCATTTCTGCACCTGAAACTTCAACTTCATGGTACGCAACATGTGATATCACAATGATTTTAAAGACGTTGGGCTACACAAGGCTGTATTTCAGCATTAAACAGGTAACCTCTTCTAAGTCACCAGCGTGAGGCAGTGTTTAGAACATCTGCTCTATAGAGTCACGAAGTAAGGAATTATGTCGCAAGTTCGAATCCCACTGTGGGAAGTGGCGACTGGTCCTTCAGATGAGACTGTATAAACCGAGGTCCTGTGTCGCAGTAGGTGCTGACATGAAAAAGATCCCTTCCTGCTCAATGGCCAGAAGTGCAGAGTATAGGACAAAATTTGCAGCACTCCACCACAAGTGGTGGTGTCTCCATATGAGTAAAAAATTCTCGAGAGGGACATTTAAAGCAATATGAGCTGCATTTTTGGGAATTTTATTTTGCTGATAAAATGTGTTATTATGTTTTGTCTGTATGTAATCTAAACCCTTATGATCAATAAGACCAAAATAAAGTTTAACAAGAGGCCCAGGGGCCACAGCGCTCACCTGAGCACATCAGGCTTGAATTTACTCCACCCCCCCCCCAAAACTCAAAGTGCTGAAAATCCCAGAAAAAAATGAAAAAATCTGAGAATTTCCATATAAATTTGCACATCTACACATTGTGTCCTAAATATCTGCAAAGTTTGATGAAATTCTGTGCAGCGGTTTATGAGGAGTTGCGCTGACAAACTGTTCATCTCTATATTCAAGGTATGGCCAAATGCCTAAGTTAAAAAGTGCGGAAATTCCCAGAAAAATAAAGGATTTGGAATTTCTTGGTAAAATGCACATCTATACATTGTGTCCTAAATATCTGCCAAGTCTGGAGAAGAAGATTTTTAAAGATTTTTCCTATATATTTATGTGCAGCGGTTTATAAGGGGTCGCACTGACAAAATGTTCATCAGTATATTCAAGGTTTGACCAAAACTCTAATTTGAAAAGTTCCAAAATTCCCAGAAAAATAAAGGATTTGGAATTTCCTGGTAATATACACATCTACACACTGTGTCCTAAATATTTCCAAAGTTTGACGAAATTCTGTGCAGCGGTTTATGAGGAGTTGCGCTGACAAACTGTTCATCTCTATATTCAAGGTATGGCCAAACATCTAAGATGAAAAGTGTGGAAATTCTAAGAAAAAAAAGGAATCAGAATTTCCTGGTAATATGCACTTCTACACATTGTGTCCTAAATATCTGCAAAGTTTGACGAAATTCTGGTCAGTGGTTTATGAGGAGTTGCGCTGACAAACTGTTCATCTCTATATAAAAGGTATGGCCAAATGCCTAAGTTAAAAAGTGCGAAAATTCCCGGAAAAAATAATGGAATCAGAATTTCCTGGTAATATGCACATCTACACATTGTTTCCTAAATACCTGCAAAGTTTGACGAAATTCTGTGCAGCGGTTTATGAGGAGTTGCGCTGACAAACTGTTCATCTCTATATAAAAGGTATGGCCAAATGCCTAAGTTAAAAATTTTTTAAAAATGCCATTAATTTTTAACAAATGGAATCGGAATTTCCTGGTAATATGCACATCTACACATTGTGTCCTAAATACCTGCAAAGTTTGACGAAATTCTGTGCCGCGGTTTATGAGGAGTTGCGCTGACAAAAAAAAAGGACTGACTGACTGACTGACTGACACTCTGACGGACGGGTCAAAAACATTATACCTCACGCAACTAGTTGCGTGGGGTATAAAAATGTTTCAGAAGAAATATTTCTGTACAACCGAAGATACAGTATTATATAAGAAATCATTATTGTACAGGACGACAATAATTCAATTTTGCTTCAATCAAAGCTTATAAAAAGTTCTTCCATAGCAAATATGAACAACAGAAGTTTATAAATGTTCTATTTTTCTGTCATTGAAATAGATAATTATAAATTTGCAACATTTTCTTCCGATGTCAAACATGCAGCTCATATTGCTTTAAACAACATGCATACAATCAATCTACCGGGTCAATGCAAGTGGTGATTGCAGGACAAAACATTATGACCGTCACATAACATTACTGATTAGTACAGTATAGATATTGTGTGTATACTTACAGCCACAGCTTTTAAAGAGTGCACAATCTGCCACTGCATCTCATCAAACAGTCTGTCTGTAACCTACAGGTATCAGTTTAAAAAATCACAATTTATCAGAACTTTTACAGAAAATTGGTACATTTATTTAAAAATTTTAAAGTTTATTCTTCAGAAAGAAAACTAATATGTTTTACCAATTTTGCTGCAGAACTGCAGTGTTATGGTTTTAAATTTGAATTTTTGATTAAAAGGACATGTTAAAAAATCAATATACAACATGTTACACAAGTAAATTATTTCATGTTAGAAGGACTATTTGTCAATGTGATCTTCCAGGAAATAATTGATGTAGGGAGAAATTTGATCTCATTCACAAGAATATATGTACCTCTTTCCCTCTTGTTCCCTCCAGAAATAGTCGCAGATTTTGAACGGTCCATTTCCCTCCATGCACTGCATTATAATCATCCTGTCGTAATGAAATATCACAGTTCAGATGATAATTATAAAATAGACTCGTTTTTTGAGCATTTCTCAATATGAACTAGATGAACATGTACAGTGGACATCATTAAACTGAAAATGTAGATGGTTATTTCTTTAATATTTTACTGGAAAAATATTTTTTTTAACCAACTTTTAATAAATATTTAATAAAAAAGGTGTAAATAAAAGAAAATTGAGTTATACCCCTTGTTTTTGGATGGAGACATTGGTGAGATGTACAAACATGTTGTCTAGCTCATTAATGCTGGCATTGTATTTAACGGTACAGAACCTGGCAAAGCCTAAACGGAACCTGAAAGTCAATATGCACAAATGTAACAGAGCATTTCAAACTCAAATGTCCTATAAACTCGACTAATGTTTCTCCAATGCTCTTACAAAAAAATATATTGCAAATTGAAGAAACTTACAAATAACACTTCAGGGGTCTGAAGGACGTCACGAGGACATAAAGTCGAAGGTCAAACTTCTTTCCTCCAATCAGAAGTGGGTTGTCAATGTATTTAGAAATGACATAAGTATCCTTTGATGTTGGGGGAGTAAAACTGTAAAATTAAAAATAAAAATATCAAAAATTAACTATCTTTTGGTTCATTCCACTTCTTTCTTTTATTAGTTTCCATTTGGCAAGTTAGTTGTATGTATACTTTATCCCAAAATACAATATTTATTTTGTGCAAAGCTTTTTAAATATGCGTAGAATATATAATGTATTACCCTACAGATATTGTCCTTACTTGCTTGTTTTGCTATCCCTGGACCACTTTTTTAACTGAGATAATTTGTTTACCAGAAATATTCCCACTCCTCTAGCTGGAAACAGAAAAGAACAAAATGTCTATATATTTACAGGAGCATGACATACTGCAAACCAATGATTTTCAAAAATTCAAAACAAAAGATGTACTACTTGTAGATATTGACAGAAATTAAAGCCTATACATGTATAGTACAATGTGAGATCAAATAGATATTAGAGTTATCTCCCTTGTAAAAGCATTATTTTCCTCCAAATATTGTCAGACTTATGTACAACTGCACATTTTAAAACCAATCACTTTCTGGTTCTTCTACTTTTATGATAAATGATAACAAGACGTACCTTTTCCACATGGTTTCATAATCCACGTAGTGTTTGGATTTTTCCTGAATTCCTCCACAAACAAATTGTAATCAGCTGGTAACATGAAGGTTTGAGGAATAAAATCTGAAAAAAGAGAGTCACTGTTGTCTTACTGTGTTATGTTCACAAAGAATTAAATAAATACAGGTATACATTATTATAACAGTAACTTTATCTGAAGGGTCATATTACATCAAGTTGAAGGCACAGATCATCCGCGGACAAAACTTGACATTTTGCATCTCATGGTATAACATTATAGCTGTAGAGTACATGTCTCTCTAATAGTAATAAGAAATCAGCCCCTGACTGGTTAGTACCTAGGTGGATGTATCGTCCCATCTCATCCTTCTCGGCCAGAGGACTGCCCTCCTTGTCCAGGTCTTTCCTGTATCTCTTGATGTTTTTGACCATCAGATCTTTTCTGGTCAGTTCAACATGATTTGGAAAGTGACTGATCACTCTGAAAAAATGAAAGAGTTAATTTACCTAGGCAATCTATATAATTGTACCCTTTTACAACACATGTTAATTCGTTAAATTTTGGTTGCACAATGCATTAAAAACTGCTCAATGATGCCTACCAGCTAAATGATTCATGATAAAGTTTAAAGTAAATAAAAAGTTGAAACTGATACTAATATCAACCATAAGAAATTAAGTTTATAAAAAAAACTATAAAAGAATAAAAAATATTTTACAAGCTTAAGAAATATAACAATTGCAGATTTTCTTGAGCAATTTTGTAGATCATTCCATTTAAGAAAAGTCTGAACCATCATGGTAGCTCAGTTGGTAGAGCACTAATGTTCCATGACTTGAATGTTGTGGGAACAATCTCCAAACTGCCATAGGCTTCATAAAATAGGTAGCAACTGTTTCTTCGCCACGGGCTCTTTACTTAGAAGTGAAAGTTGTAGGTTCTCCTTATGAGACTTTAAAAACCAAAGCCCTGTGTCATGGTAGGAATTGGCACAATAAAGAACCCTCACTGCTCAATGGCCCTGAGTACATAGTAAAAGTCTTATTTGAAGCCCTTCACCGGTATATGGTGACATCTCTATAATATGAGTGAAAAAAAATCATTGAATGGGAGGTAAAATAATTAACATACAATCAATCATTAAGAAAAATCTGCAAATCACTGGGACAATCTAATAGTCATTTAGAGTGAGTTGAAGTGTTTAAGTATCTTCTCATCAAATATGATTTTTACAAATGTGTTCTAAACAAAATATATGTATTGTTATACATGTAAATGTATTATATTATGCATTAATATTATATGATTTTAATGCTACATATAACAGAATTGCAATGGTACTTGCAAATAATATTAATTCCATGATATAAATAAATGTTTAAAAAAAACTACTATCTGGATATCTCTTAAGGGAAAATTTAAAGTGTTAAAAATAAAGTCATGTATAACACATTACTGGATTCATGTGTGAATGTTTACTAGATTTCCTTGTTCTTATAATAGAACAAGTACATGAGTTGACTTATTTTCTGTTAGTTTCCTGGCCACAGACTTCCTGTGAATAATTCTACTTAGAGATACTTAAAGATTACACCACAATACCGGGGTATCCTAATCAACCCTTCTTAAACCTTTACCATTACACATATAGTTCTGTTCCAAAATGTAAAAAAAAAAAATACCATCATACATGTGTACCATGTTTTATGGTAAAATGCTGCCTGCCCATGTAATGGATACTGATTTAGAAGATGAGGTGTTTTGGGAGGGTGACACAGATATACTAAATAACACCCGTAAGTAGGTACTACATTATGCCTAGGTCACATTTAAGCCGATGGTCGGGCGACTATATTTTTTTGGTCTTGTCGGCTGAAAGAACAGGATCGGCCGACACAGTATCGGGCGACACGGAGCAGTCACATTATTTCCTAGGGACACCGATGACTTGGATAAATAACACAAAAAATCTTTTTTCTTTAGAAATCAGCAATATTTTTTAATAGATCTATATTCAGATAGATGATGTGAGTAATGTTTGCAAGGCAAAGTGGCAGAATCTTATAAAATTGTGACTCAGTGTTGAAAATGTGTGTAAAATTTGTATGGAATTGCATAAAAACGACAAATGGTGCATATCTAAGCAGCAAAGAATACTTAAGATTTCTTTATATCTTACAGATTAATTTTTTATTTTATCTCTGTTCAAAAAATTTATAGCAATCCATGCATCAAAATTTTGTTTGTGTTATGTATCCTTAATAGGTTAAATATTCACAAGTCGGCCAATCGTCGAGCTCTGAGCTACAGTTTGATTTTAACCGTCGGCCGAAATTTTCAACACCTTTATTGTCCAACGACAGACGACCGACTTAATAAACTGACAGCCGATGGTCGAACGATGATCGAAGGTTGGTCGACGGATAACTGCACTTGAAGAAATCGGCCACCGACGCATGAAAAATTATAACTTGGATCGATGGACACAAAATTGGTCGGCCAACAAAAAAATAGGTCAAAATCGGCCAAGACAATGGCCGATGAACTGACGACTGTCACCCGAAGAATCCCATTTTTGCTTCAAAACCTGTACGCCGTTGGTCGTTTTTGGAAATGTGACTGGGGTTTAACAAGTGACTGAGAATTTTTGTGTCTTCTACCTAACTCCTCAACCATTTTACTAGCCTTATATGAGTTTACTTGTGTAAAGGATAAGTCACTGTATAGGCATATATAAGGTATATAAGCTCTATTGGTATAAATAGATTACAAGTACATGTAGAGCTTCTTCTTTTGGTATCGTTGAATGTTCTTAATCAATCAATATGTACACAAGAAATGGTACATAATGTAGTTAAGGATTACAGGTTTGCAGTAAATTAATGGCTATACAAAGCATTGGTCAGTCTCAATCAATGTCTTTGGAAAATTTTACCTATAAAGAGCTTTTATATTAATTTAGTTGATAAACCTTCATAATCTTATTATCTAATTACTGTAAAGGCAGAAAAATATGAATTTAATAGTGATATATAAATTAAGTTTATTTCAATGTTAAGAATTCTCAATTTTTATATGCCTTTATTTTGAATGTGATAATTAACTTGTTAGTTGTAAACAAAGAAATCCCCCCTCCCTCCCTTAGAAGCATTTCAAATCATAAATCAACAAAATTTTGTCACAACAAAATATTCTGTTTCTACAGTAATGTACACTGTATTATAAACACTTACTGGTCATCACCAAGTCTGAAACCACAGTCAATGCTGAAAACATTTCTAATACTCTGTACATTGGCCCTGTCAAAATAAATGAGAAAAATGAGGTCATCTCTAATCAGACGTTAATCATCCTGCAAACAATTTTAAGTCTACAGAAGGAATTTGTGAGGCTTAATTATTTCACTTCATCTTTATAAACTTGTAAACTACAGCATGATGAAGAAATGAAAATTCTAGTATGTACTTTTATTAGTTCACACTAGCATGATCAGAAAAATGTTTTAATCATTGTTAGTACCAGTAGAAATTCCAGTCGTCGTCCGGGGAAACAGGTACCCATCCTCTGGCCTCAAAGTTATTCAGCAGGACAGACTTGTCCATGTCACTCGCGTACTTCAGTCTGGCCATGATGACTTCCTGCCGTATGTCAAGGGTATGCCGATAGTCTCTTATCTCAAGTCATTTCACTAGAAAAGGAATTTAAGGATACATACCACACACAAAAATTTGATGCATGAATTTATATATTTTTTGACTGATTTAAAATGGAAATGACAGAAATAATCAATCCCTAAAACATAAAGAAATAGCAAGTTTTCTTAGGTGCTTATATATGTGACTTTGTCTCATTTTCTACACAATTCTATTTCTATAACGTACGTTAAACCCCGTTTAACCCCCCTCTCCTGGGCTATGGCATGTTTGAAAATATAATGATATAGAAATATTAAAGTTACCAAAAAATGGGTATCAACATACTGTTTACTGGGAAATTTTCACCCCTGTTTTATTTCCGTCCTATCCTCATTTAGGCAAATTTGAAATGGGGCAAATTCAAGGAATACAATATAATTTCTTAAACAAAGATTTGACTGGGCGAATTTGAAATGGGGCAAAATTGTTTACAAGTGTGAAAGGGCGAAAATAACAAGGAGCGAAAATAATCCTGTATATAGTATGCATTTTTAAACTCTGATACGGTTAAAGAAATACATCCAAATGTCTGACAGTGCATGGCAAGTAAAATTGATATCTCAGTTTGGGCGAAACTCCCATTTTCCTTGTTCGAGTGAGTATCTTTGATATACTGTAAACGTATTACATTTAGCGGTGTATTCTAATTAGCGATTTTGGCGGAAAGCAGAGTCAGCTAATTCAAGTACAACGCTAAATGTCTTGTATATTAACTTTTATAACAAGCAAATTCAGACAGCGCTAAATCAAATCTACGTTAACTTGTTGATAATTGAATTTCCGCCAAATATCGTACACGCCAAATATAATACATTTACAGTATATTGTTGTTTTACTTTATTCTGAGTCCTAGCTACTTTCTAGACAAGTAAAAATCAATCATTATTTTCTGCCAGTAATGAGGGGGTTTGCCACGAGAGATTAGGGTTAGTCCTCACACACTATTTGACTGATTAGGGTTCTAGATTTAGTGTGTACCTGCCCGGGATATTTCGTCTAAATGTCTTAGTGCTTGCATACCATGTGAAAGATTAGGGTTAGTGACTTGTTCTTTTAGATAAGAAATTATGTTACTTTAAATTTGTAATTTTTGCAAGATCATAATTCAGCTTCAATAGCATTTCATTGGTTTATTTAATATATGGACGAATGGCTGTCCGAAAGAAATGACACTAAGCATGCGCTGCATGTGCTTCATTGACAATTACTTTTTGTCATTTTTTTTTAATGAATTAACAAATTTATTACTTTTTTCAGAGAACAAGGTTAAAAAGTTTTTAAACTAAACTTTTAACCACAGAATTCGATTTTTGGGTCAAAAAGGCAAAAAAGCCCCCCTTTTTTTATCACTCACGTGATTTCAGATATACTGAAGTTGCCTTTAGCGATACTACATTTTTTTTTTACATTTTTCTGGGGACTGATAAAGTCGTTCCCATTATGTTATGGTCAAACCCACTGGGGGAAATCCACTCTGAGCTCAAACAAGTAATTGGGACAAAACCACTCGGAGCAAACAAGGAATTGGGACGAAACCACCCGATTCTTTATGCCAAGTTAGACTCCTCTAGTTTAATGAATCATCATGCATATACGTCCAAGCCTAACAATTTCTCTTTTGTGAAATTCTAAACCGTGATATACTGGTAGTTTACTTAATTACTTTCATAATAAATTAGACAAAATAAACTGAAAATACTACTAATTGGTATCTTCATAAAGATCTTCTAGTTGGGAAAGAACAGTGTTAGGGACTTTTTTATTTTCATATCATTATTAATCACTATCATGTCTGAATCAGAATAATGCATACATTCGTTGTTTTGTTTTTTTAAAACAAATACCCAAAGAAGAGAAGATTCCTTGGGAAATATTCTGTTTCTTATTTCAAATGACTTAATGGTTATCAATAATTATAAATACCTGGCTGATTATCAAAAAATTAAAAAATAGTTAAATGCTTGCGTCCTTCCCAACCATCTACTACAAAAGCAGAGGAAACGCGAAAACAGGAAGTGGCGAAACTAAATTTAAAATTCCACTATGATCTTGACAATTACGGAAAGTGTAAAAAGGGATTAACTTTGACCCCCCCCCCCCCAAACTCCATACAGTGTCAATTCTCCGGGACAACTTTTTCCCCTACGAATAATGAGATGGAGTTGTAGCATAACGTAAGACTCAGCTGTCTGGAGCTTGCCCCCCCCCCCCCTCATTAAAAAAAAGGTCCGTTGGCCACAATGCTCCACATCATGTGGCCCTTTTTATGCCAACGATTCGGGGGCAATTAATTAATTTTTGCCTTGTCTGTTTGTCTCTTTGTTTCACATATAAGAGGTCTGAACACAGGAGTTTTATCAATAAACTAGAATTAAACTTATAAACCTAGCCCTGAGCTTCTATCACGAAGTGAGCGAAAAAACTCACTTCGTGAGCGAAACTCAAGGCTAGGTTTTTACTGATTTTGACTTTATTTCTTGTTTATAAAACTGCAGCGCCGACTCATGATGATGAATGTGGTCTGAATCAGAGAGTATGACTTTTTATGAAAGGTTAGTTATAGCTTCAATATTGGATTGCTTAGTTGTAATACTTTGTGAATGTGTCATAGAAAAATATTTAATTTTAAAAAGCCAAAGAATCCTTTGGGTACGAACACGGAAGTGTGTGTGTGTGTGGGGGGGGGGGGGTCCCAAGCATCTTTTCAATATTCATCATAATAATCATACATACATATACATATTTGCTGTTCTAAAAAAACACTTTATAATATGATTGCGCCCATGACAAAAGGGTCCTTATGGCATTTTTGCTAAAACAGAGAAATTACGTCATAAAGATGTGACGTTGCAGACTGACGGTGAACTTCTTTTGAATATTTTTATTTAACCACGTGTTTTGACGTTTGACGTATCCAGAGTTTTTATCGCTGTTTCCAACATGTGGAATTGAATTTCATTTATAAATTAATTTAATCAATATCTGAATCTCCTAATCCACTGATTTTAATAGATACATGTGTATAAATATTAAATAAAAACATTTAGAACTGGTTTCTTAACAAACATTATTAAATACGTCTCTATAATACCAATAGTTTTCCTATACATGCGTAATTAAATGTATAGAAGCAGTAGACAAGGTGTTTTCTGATAGCATATTGAACCTTTATACTCTAGATAAATTTTATTTACATATTTTTACCATTTTTAGAATACATCTTAGACAGGGTATATCGTAAAAAATATTGCAAAGGAAAATTGTCTTCCTACTTCTTTGAGATCCGCTCCACCACTCTCAAATATACATCGCGATCGCGTCGATCACTTGTAAACATTGATTCATCGGTGCAAACTGCTTAAACTGTTGTTAAATAGTTTGTACAAATGTTGAAACTAAACATACATCTTCCACGTTTTTTACAAATCTAGCAAGAATGTGTAAGAACGATAGTTATGAGGCGCCGTTTTAATATTTTTAATGTATATTCTGATATCAAAAAATCATTTTGTGATATCAGAAATTCGAATTTTTGATATCAAAAAATCATTTTCTGATATCAGAAAATATATTTTTTGATATCAGAAAATAATCAAGATTTTGTGATATCAAAAATTAGAATATTTGATATCACAAAATCATTTTTTGATATCAAGAATTCGAATTTCTGATATCAATTAATCATTTTTTGATATCAAAAAATCTTAAAAAAAGGGGATTTTACTCTGTGATATCAAAAAATTTTTTCTGATATCAAAAATTCGAATTCTTGATATCAAAAAATATAAGTCATGGACCGTTTACCAACTTTTGAGTAAAAAACTTGATCATAACCAAATTTTACTGTACAAACACCTCTTGTTTTAGTTGCTTTTACATTTTGAGGCTTAGAGTTCTCTCAGGCATGGCTCTGAAATATTATTCTCGGTTGATATTTCAGCGTTTTAAGGGAGGAGATATCTATTTGGTAAATTTTCCACGTAAAAATAATGCAAAAAATTACTTCTCCAGAAACAAAGACCACTCTTAAATATGAAAGTTTGGGCATGTTATTTTTCCTTTTGCTTGTCAACATATTTTTGTGTCGACGTTTGTCTCTAAGTTGTTGTGATAACCCGGCCCGCATCCCCCCACCCTCGCCATCATAACAATTTGTTCTGCGCCTGCTTTTTATAAACAATATAGTGAATGTACTATTTCTGACAAGGGAGCATCCAAATTCCCAGTCCAGCAAGACTTCAATTATATTTTTGCAAGAATTAAAAAAGAGCATGAATTCAGCTTTTCATAAGATTGTTATAGAAAGAATGCATATATTTTCATTTACATGATTTAAGAAATATAATCCAGATTCGATTTTCTGCTTTTGGATCTTCTTTGTGCCTATATTTGTGTATTCCTTATAACAAAACATTTCTTCGGATATCCCCAAATCTGACTTTGGCCCACTTTTATAAAAAATACCATACTTTAAAGTTGTTTGGTCCGAATACCTCGACATTTAATTGTTCAGATCAAACAACTTTAACATTGGCCATAACCAGACCTGGGGTCAATTACTTTGAAATGTAATGCATTAAATTACAATTACTTTGGAAATTTTATCATTACAATTACCATTACTCTCATTCAGAAAAGTAATTAATTAAATTACAATTACTTTGTTAAAGTAATGAATTACATTACATATTACATTTTTAAGAAAAATCACAAAACGTATGACCACACAATTTATACCTATTAGTTAACTTTCAAACTTTTTGCTCGATTAATATGCTTTCCCTCAGATCTATAAATCAGAGTGGTATTTGGATTTTGGATTCATGTAACATGTTCATGTGGTTTACCAATCCAATCTACAGTTGACACAAAGAAAGTGGATCGGAACAGTTTCAATGTTGTAGTTTTATTTTGTTCAATATCTGATGTTAGTTTCTCTTATTTTTTTTTTTAAATATGTGATTTATTAAACATTTCCTACTATATGTTTATGTATTTAACTAATATTTAATTAACAGATAATGCTATAAATGGTAACAAGTATTAAAATACTTAACGAATTAATTAGCACTTCTAATTAGCTGAACAGGTATAATCAATGAACAATGAACTATATTAAATTAAACACAACCAAGGGTGATAATTACAAGTACCTAAATATAGTATTTGAATTTTGAGGCCTTACGCTACCAAAAATGAATGATGGTAAATATATCAGTCTATATCTATATTTGGCCTTATAAGTTTTCTTTGTGTCTACAATAAATCATACTGATCTTGTATCATGTTTACCAAGTCCATTTTACCAGAATGAAAAGGGAAAAATAAGTAGAAAAATATAATTTGTATCGTAATTTAACTAATCCATTAGGGATGAATATCGCCAAAAATTTCATATCGCGATATATCACGATTTTTTCCCACAATATCACGATAATATCATGATATTTTTAAGAGCAGTTTTTACAATGATTTTATATGAAAAGTCATTATTTTTCTAAAGAATATGCTAGAAAAATTTTTTACTTTCTTGAAATTTATATGTATATAAAATCAATTATGTTTGAACGGTAAGATGCCGTTCTTTTCACATCATTTTTTTTTACACTTTCTGTAATTGTAATTTGAAAGATTGAACAAATAAATGAATAATTTCTAGACTTTATAATATGTACCAAAAGACCGATATTTAGGTCTCTGTATCACGATACGTATCACGCAACAAAAAATCGCGATATACCGGTATACCGATAAAATCGCACATCCCTACTATACATGTATTTATGTCTTTTTTTGTATCTTTCTTTAAAACCTGATGATTTCTTTTAATATTTTTCTCTGGTTCTCTTCAATTGATTTTACAATTGCCGTGTGAAGAAGTTTTCTATTTTAAAAACAATAATTTAATATGTCTATCAATTCCCATTTAATAATTAAAAAAATTGTAGGATACAGGATTTTAATTTTAAGATTCTAACATTATTAATAAAAAAAAAAAAACCTCAGTGATATTTATTTGTTTGAGATTAAAAAATAAGAGACTAATATACAAAATGTAATTGAAATGTAATTGGTCATTACTGACATTTTTTTAAAGTAATGCATTACATTACAATTACTTGTAATTGAAAGATGGATCCATTACACATTACATCCCATTACCTTGAAAAAAAATGTACTGATTACAATGCATTACCATTACACATTACCATTACCCCAGGTCTGGCCATAACTTTGAACAATTGTTGCTTAGGGCTTTTATACTTTAAAGGTGCATGGACACTGATTTGAAGTTAATATTTTCTGTATAATATCACGACTTATACATTTTAATAGCTTTTCACACAAAAATATATTAAAAATTTTGTTTCATCTTAAAGTTATTGAAACTTCAATTTTTTGGATGGGTTTGATTGACACATCCTTGCACTCTCACAAATTTTACTTTTATTCTTTAAAATACTTAGGAAAAGTGGCAATATTTTTCATTTATACACAAGATTGCCACTTTTCTTAAGTATTAAGAATAAAATTAAAATTGGTGAAAGTGCAAGGATGTGTCAATCAAACCCATCTAAAAATTTGAATTTTTAATAACTTTTAGATGAAATAAGATTTATTTTTGTGTGAAATGCTATTAAAATATAAAAGTTGTAATATTATACAGAAAATATTCACTTCAAATCTGTGTCCATGCACCTTTTACATCAATTGTGTATTCATTTTGACAAGACCTTTAAATGGGTATATTTTTGACCCTAACCTTAGAGTCTGACCCACATTTAAATATTCTATGTAACAAGACCTTCCTTCATATACCAACAGTTTTGCCCTCTGGAGTTTGACTTGGATCTGAGAAACTTCAAAAATCAACATTAGCTATCATATGGAGCCCGAGGCACCAGTGTTTCACAAACACTCTGCTATTGCTATTTCTCTTTACTGACTTTCTGAATTCTGGAACTGAGAGAATATACTGCTGGCAGATTATCCTCAAGAATTCCTTACATAGATTGAATACACAAGACTGCTATATAATGTTTACTATTTCTTCTAGCAATGAAAACAATCTGATGTTACATTTTCAATTTTAACTTGTTTGACAAAAAGTAGTGAATAACTGCATGAATATGTTGACATTTTATTTCGGCAAATTGACATTAAACAGTTAAATTAAAGTGCATGTACAGGATTAAAAAAACCTCTAGGGGTCAAATTACACATCAATGTTTTTTTTATTTATATACATTATCAAGTGATTATAGGGTAACTAAAGACCAATTTATCATGAAATTAATATTCATTGACAGAAAAATTTTCAATCTGCTAGTATTTGTTTCATTAATAAAATATTAAAAAAATAAACATCATAAAAAAACATCATAAATGTATGTTTACATTTTCCCCTTTTATTTATCATGTGTAAAATGACATGCTGTTCAACAGTTTTAGAGAGTATGAAGAATTAAATACATCAGCATCCAGAAATATCTTTCTGTCTTTTTCTAAAATGTCGGACTTCTTTAGGATCGAATCCCCTTTCTTCAGCTCCAAATACAGCCCAATCTGGTGTCAGCGCCATGTAATCCTCGGCAGAAAATTTGTGATTCCCTCCACTCTCTCTGTAAAGCTTGATCAGGGAGTGAAATTTGGGGTAGTCAATCCATGTCCACCACTTCCCCTCGACAAAAAACTTTTTGTGTGCCACTAGAACACAGTTTGAATGTTCATGTTCTGATGCAATCTCATAATCCCCGTCTAACCTGTCCACCAGCTCCTGCACAAAGTTGACAACCTCCGTGTGCCATGGAACATTCTCCATTGTTAAGTTAGAGGCTTTTGACTCACCACAATAGGTGACACCCTTCACTTCAATAAAATCGGGTTTCCCTCTGGACACCAACTTTGCATAGCTATCCAATTCATCTGTATTCAAAGCTTTGACTAAAGTTAATCTGTAAACTGTTCTTTGACATTTTTCTGATAATGCGTCAAGACTATCCAGAAATCTGTCCCAGAAATCACGGAACAAAGGACGATCAATTTTCTGAAGACTCTCTTTAGTACTAGCATCCACGCTTACATACAACTGAGTGACTGGCGACAGTTCTCTTATTGCATCAGGGAACTGGGCATTAGTTACCAAAAATGTAGAGATCCCCTCATCATGCAAAAGATCAATAAACTTGCTAATCTTTGGATACATTATGGGCTCTCCAACGAGTGAAAGGGCACAATGCTTTGGTGTCATAGCCTCAGAAAATCTTTCTGACTGAACACCAGGTACACCTTTAAATTGTTTAATAAGGCCCTTATGATTCTGTAATGCTCCTTTTAAGACAAATTCAGCATCATCCATTTTCCATCGCCATTCTGTGCCAACAGGATTGGTATGATGTCTCCAACAGAATACACATTTGTTGGCACACGCTAGGCTTGGTGTTGTTTCCATGCATCTGTGACTCTCAATGCCATAAAAGGTGTGCTTGTAGCATCCTCCTCTTCCACGCATCATTGACTTTGTCCATCTGCACAGTTTTACTCCTGAGTGTGATCCTATTAGTTTGTATCCTTGCTTTTCCAATGAAGTTTTTATCAGTGGAGTAATCATATCGGTGGGTTCACTCTTTGATGAATCCTTTTTAGGTGATTTTCCCATAACCTTGCCCAAATCTTCAACATCCACAATATCATTGTCTGACGTCTCTTCTTTTGATTCATCTTCACTGCCAGAATCTTCAGAGTTAGCAATATCCTTTTCTTGACAGCTGCACTGACTATCACTTTTGCAGCTTTGACTATTAAATGTATCATTAGAGGGGCCAACAGCCTTCTCCTGTTTCAGTTTTTTCCAAAATTCCTTTTTCCAGGCAAAATAATCCTTTTCAAGACCACCATTCTCATCACCTAGACCTACTGCCAAAATTCTCTGTCCCGACAGTTTATGCAGACAACTGTCAACTTTTTTAGCAACAGTGTTAAAATCATTTCCATACACAGAATTACCAAGACCAAACACGGCATACTGTAAATCGTGCAGCATGCTTTTTTGTACTCTGAAATCTGAAGCACTTTCCTCTAGCCATTTCATGAACCATTCTGCTCCATCAGGTGGTGATCCTTCTGTGTAAGTAGATATAAAAACCACAAGGTAATTCCTACTTTCACTTTCATATGCCAATTGTTCATCTGGATCATAATCTTTTAGGTTCATCACTTCACATGTGTATCCTTTATAAACAGCATCTTTACCAAACATATCTGCAAAATGTTTGGATTTTCCTGTTTGAGTTCCATACAAAATTTTGATCTTCCTTTTGCTTTCTCTTTGTGTTTTTTCGTCTAATTTTTCTTCTTTTCGTGCCAAATTGTCGGTATATGTTGTCTTAAAACCGTTATGCTTGTCACTCTCTGCCTGTTCTGTCTTTTTCTTTCCATGCAGAACCCATACCAAACACACTGCTCCTAGCACAGCCGTGAAAATAGTCCAATATGAAGTAAGCAACTCCTCAAACATCTTTTGTGTAATCTTCTTTCACTGATATGTCTATGAAGTAAGAAAGAAAAACTCAGAAAAAGTAGGGGAAACGGGCATGGTGACTAGAAATCTTCATCAACGAAAGGTTTGAAATTTCTTGACTAAGAGTCTTTCATTAAAACGTTCAAATGATTGAAACGTGTGCAAAATTATTATGTTAAATCGTACATGTACTTTTTCCATGAGTACACTTCATTTTTTTTAGTTTTAGTTGAAAATAAAAACTTATGCTAGTCCATTATAATGTGTCATGTCATATATTTGGAATTGTATATATTTAATTTTTTTGTTATTTGTTTAAGGGATTGATTAATTATAGAGTTTATACGAATCATTTTATGAATGACGAGGAGCTAAGAATTTTTAAACATGGCCGACAGAGATGAAACGTCTTCTCTGAAACACCGAAAAATAGAAAAAGAAGGTATATTTTTGACCAAATATTACACAAAAAGAAAAGTTTTATATTGTTTATTTGAATCAATGACTTTGGGAATGCAATAGTGTGAGTGATTCAATGGTATTGCCACCTAAAATCGAAATGTTATTTTTGCTATTTGATTTTAATTTTCTCGACAGCTGGTTGGATTTTTTAGAGGAGTCTAACAAAGTACAAATATATTTGCTAGCCTTTGATTTCATTGGCTTTGATTTTTATGTCTCCCAGAGTTCTTGAAATCTTTTTTTCGCTGTCAGTCATTTGGACTGACTGCCATGTGAACATGGTGAAGTTGGTGAAGTTTGTCAGTCCTGCAAAAAAAAAAAAAATCAATAAAAGGATGAAAACTGTATTTGACTTTTATTATCAGTATACGTTGTGCACCCAGCATCAATAAACAATGCTCACTTCATGCCAATTTGATCGCCGTATAACAACTTTCTTTGAAACTTTGTGGGGGTCCATTTGCTTCATAAGTTTTTTTTTAATGTTTTATTTTGAATCTTTTTTCCATTCACATAAATACAAACCTATAGAATGTATACAATTTTTTCGTAAGTTTTTAATCTAGTTAGATTTTCTCACCTGGCTTACCTTAGCGCCATCAAAAATTAGTTTACCCATTATAGTTTGTCAACCAATCATAGTTTGGCACTTTTGTTCATCGAAGAAGCCATTACAAGATACAGAAAGCATTTGAAAGATAACTATCGGTCATTTTTAGGAAATCCGTATGATATTAGGTCGGATTGTCGCAAGTTCCTCTGTCAACACTTACTGGTCATTTGGACTGACACAGAACGCAAAGTAATTGGTCCTTGGTTGTTTTTGTCGGTTTGCCGTCAGGACCGAAAGATTTCAAGAAATCTGCTACTGTTGCATAAACTTTTTATACCTTTTTTATACCTTTTCCTATTTGATTTTTATCGGAATTTTAAATTTAATTGGACATTTTATTTGCTTAAAAAAGCAGGAAACTATGTGATGTCCTTGCTTTTCAGACCTGGAGCTGAATTACCACTAAAAAATATGAAATCACACTATTTTTTTAAATAATATATTGATGTTATAACCATTAGGGTGGGTGCAGATTCTTTATTTAGTTAAATTTATATTTGGCTCGTCAAACCGCACATGTCATTTGCTACATATAGACTCTCGACTGATGTCACATGATGTCTTTTTTTTTTTCATTACCAAATCAAACCCTGAACACCGCAAAATTTAATCAATAATTAAAGTAAAATCTACTGATTATTTGCTATACATCCATTAAAATCAAGGCAAGTATTTTTTCTGGGAACCAATTGTTACTCCGAGAATGATGTATGCGGGGCTGAAAAAAGTACCACATATATATGGAATATATATGGAATATTTTGGCTCTACTGGCCTTTTATTTTGCACCTTGAAATTGAAATTTCAGCAAAATACAGAATGCATGACTTATTCATTGACGACGTGAAGCCAAGTCTTAGAGAAGTTAGATTCAACATTCTGAATTGTGACACTTCTTTGATATATTTTTGATAATGTCCATTCTCTTTTAGCTGATGAAGGGACTCAATACACAGAGATTCGACCGAGACTGACGAATCAGAGCAGCAACACAAAGCCATTACTTATACTGGGCCTAGTGTTCTTGTCCTCCATAGTCTGTCTGGGACTTGTTTACCTCAGCTTTCCTAATCTAGAACAGTATGTATGGTACTTTGTAAAGGAAATCTGTATCAATGATAGTATTTTGAAAAGATATCCACTTGAATTTTTTTAGTTGATAGTACATTGTAATATATAAATTCAGGTCTCCTGACTCTCCTCTCTAGCCATTTTTTAAATAGATTTTTTTAATTAAATTTCACCAAGCTTATAATAATTTTTTGCTTAAGTTAATCATCACAGGCAGAAATTGAATACTTTGTTATCACCATGATCATGTGTGCATCTCTCTTCAATGTTGATATTCTGTGAACTTCAAGTTTTGGACATTCAGTGTCTCATTACATGGATAGCTGTACTGACTGTGAATTTAAAATTTTGGTTTTGATTTAGCACTTATTAAGCATTCCAATATGTTACCTAAAAGAAAAAAAATACGTCAATTGTATTGTGAATGCTGAAGTTTTAACCATCTTTATAAGGAAAATACAAATAAGATTTTTACAATATAATTAACTTTACTGTTTACAGTGGCATTTATTTAGAGAACCTTTTTGTTGTATTTCAGAGAAGAAAAGGAACACATAAAGCTTCCCAGGAATATAGAAGATGCAAAGAATTTAGGAAAAGTTTTATCACGATATAAGGACTCCCATTATAACCAAGTTTTAGGGGGCTACTTCATAACATATATATTGTATCCTTACTATAGTTAATTATATGGTCAACACATCTCATATGGGTTCTACATAAATAAACTTTCATTTGTTCTGGATTTGTGAACATTTTGAAATCTTTAAATATCTTTTTGTCAAGAACCACTAATCTAGAAAAAGCGTAAAACTGATTGTTGGGTTCATACTGTGAAATCACTAATTTTCTTGGGGGGTTAATTTTCATCATTTTTGAGTTATGAAATGACCCATGGATTCATGACCACCACAAAATGGAAAATTTTATATGCAATACTACTAAACATTCTCGGACATTCTGACAATCAAATCAAATCCCCACAAACCAATACTTTTTCTTTAAACCCTCAAATTTTTACCCCACAAAAATACATTATTTTACTATACGTGTGTTATTTGTAAAAACCTTGACTTTATAACAGCTTGCAATCTTTTGCCATACCTGGGTCAATATTCCTCAGTATTCTCTCTGGATTTCTATTTCCATTCCAATTAGCTCTGTTTCTTGTTTGCTTGGTGAGTACTTTTTCTTTTCTCAATCAACTGATATCATAAAAGCCTTAAAATTGTCTCCGAGCATGCCAGAATGTTGACTTCGGATCTTTGATGTATATTTGGATTGCTTTCAGTGCTCAGGGATTGGTGCTTCTTTCTGTTATCTGATGTCTTATCTAGTTGGGAGAAGACTGGTGGCTAAATACATCCCGGACAGAATAGCAGAGTGGCAAGCTCATGTAAGCAATACATAACTTCTCACAGATAATGTAAACCAACTATTATTCGCGTCATCTTTTATTCACAATTTGTTAGTTTAAAATCAATCCACGGCAATAAATTTCTACAAATAAGGAAACATTTTCTACAAAAACAAAGCAAAATAAAAGGTTCACGGCAATTAACATTTGCGACTGAAAGAAGGTTGTAAAAGTCGCAAATATTTCTCACACACGAATAAAAGTTGGTTTACAGTATCTTCTGTATGTAGCTAGTGTCAATCTAATTAAAATCAGACTTCTTAGATCCACACTGTATGCACTCTGCATAGCGAGAATTAATATACAAGTCTCAGATATCTTCTGTATGTACATTGTAGCTAGAGTTAATATGCATCTTTATTCAGGTGTCCTCTAGTCTACAGATATCATGTAGCTAGCAATAAACATTAATATACATTCTTCTCTGAGTTTTCTCTGACATGCTGATCACATTGATATGTAGCAAAATTTCTGCATTTTGCCAGATTGCAATAAATTAATTGTACCATCCTTTTACAAAATCTCTTAGTTTCATCAAATTTGAATCACTTTTAATTTGGCTAAGATGCAAAATCTGTCTAGATGCCAACATTTCTATTAAGTGTATTTTTAAAGAAAATCACAAAACTATGAACATTATCATTTTAAAGCATGTGTAGCATATTGTTGTTGTTTTTTTGTTAATGAAGAGTTTTGCAGTGAACATAAAGATATTAATAAAATATAATCCTCAAACAGGTCTGGAACTAATTGCACATATGAGCATACTCTTTTATCATTTGCATCTTTATTGGAATAAACTTTCTGTAATGGACCTGAGGTTATCTCATTAAAAGGATTTTTTCTCCAATATCCATTGAAAGAACTGTAGAAAAGATTAAAAAATGCAAATGAAATCTTTGTTTCAATATTGTACATATATTGTATTGATGACAGAAAAAGGTTGCACCTTGAACATGGTAGTTTCTCATAAAAAAAATTTAACCCAGAATAGAGTTGATTGAATGTTGCAAATAAAGGTGTAAAACATTAGTATTTTTAAACATTTAATGTCATTTCTTTTTAACGTAAAAATTTAATAAAATCACTCATTTTTATTCACATGCTCCACATTTGTATTCATTAAAATTTATGAATGAATGAAACCTTTTTTTAATTGTTTCTTACAGGTGGATAAACACCGAGACCACCTGCTGAACTACATTATATTTCTGAGGATCACACCATTCCTTCCTAACTGGTTTATCAACATAGCCTCACCAGTGATTAATGTACCAATTCTACCATTCTTTGTGGGGACTTTTCTGGGTAAGACATGAGATAAGAAACCTACGTTCTACCTATACTTTATTACATTGTATTTCTGCAGATGTTCTTGTCTGCAGAGAGCAAAACAGTGTTTTATTTGATGTGACGGTGTTTTATTTGATGTGACAGTGTTTTATTTGATGTGACAGTGTTTTATTTGATGTGACGGTGTTTTATTTGATGTGACAGTGTTTTATTTGATGTGACAGTGTTTTATTTGATGTGACGGTGTTTTATTTGATGTGACAGTGATTTTTTGATGTGACAGTGTTTTATTTGATGTGACGGTGTTTTATGTGACAGTGTTTTATTTGATGTGATGGTTTTTATTTGATGACAGGTGTGGCTCCCCCCTCGTTTGTGGCCATTCAGGCGGGGACCACTCTCCACCAGCTGACCTCCTCTGGGGACGCCGTGTCCTGGACCTCTGTCTGTGTACTGGGGCTGTTCGCTCTCCTATCATTGGTGCCCGTTCTTCTGAAGAAAAAACTCCAGGAAAAATTTGATTGATGAAAGTAGAACCTTAGATCTCTCATCGCTTATCTCAGTGTAAACATTGACTTTGTTTATTTTATTTTTATTTATTTGAGTAAATACATGTATATATTCTGGGGATGTCAACTTCACTCGAAGATAAGTCTAGTCAAATATTTGGGGGCTTTATTTGAATGATGGTCAAGTATTCACTAAATTAATTTTCTTCTGTCAGTTTGACATTTTTTTTTTTTTAGACTGCTTGTTTTGTTGTTCACTCCGTACATGTAATTTAAACCAAGCTACTGTCACTTACAATGTATTTCTCAATACAGGTATGAAACATTATTTACATATTCTGCAGTTAGCTTACTAGAAATACTTGTACTATACACATACCGGTATTTAGATTCAATTCATTTTTACTGCATATTTTATCCCAATATACTTCATTTAAAAAATATGACTTCTCAATTTTTTTTAATGCTTATGCATGTTTATCAAACATCTTGAGCCATTAACTGTTAGCTAATTCCAGCTAAGGACAAGGAATGGTATGTGGCAACGCACTTTGGAAAAATTACGCACTTTGAAAAAATTTTTCAAAGTGCGTTAAAATTGGGACAAAATCAACGCACTTTGAAAAAATTTTTCAAAGTGCGTTAAATTTGGGACCAACTCAACGCACTTTGAAAAAATTTTTCAAAGTGCGTTAAGAGTCTACATCAATATATTTTACCATGGAGACACTTAATGCACTTTGAAAAAAAAATCATGTTTTAGTCATGGAAAGATTTTATTTATTATGTATCTTTCAAAAAACTAAGCCTAATTCTAACCTCAAAAATGATTTGATTTACACCCGTCGAAAAGAGGATAAAACGGGTATAAGATCCCTTAGTCCAAATCTTTATCTTTCCAATACATAGGTGTCGGTAGCAAACGGGGGAGCGGAGCAATAAACCTAAAAAGGGTACACTGCATTTTTAATGCTTATACGATGTATATATCTTTCCAAAATAAGTGGGGGGCTTAGCCCCACCCCCATTCCCTCCCCTGGCCCTTTGCCCAGTCTCGATGTCTATGCTATACTCAAAGCATTCATATAATTATGTATTTACCTAACTGGTATGATGTTGAAAATTTCAATAATAAACGAGTTAATTAAAACAGATGAAAACTAGAAGTTTTTAAGTGCAGTAAAACGTATGAGAGAGAAAGAATTTTCATAGTTTTGAACAATCAAATTGGCCCTTTTTATTATGATAAATGCTAAGTTGCTTGAAGCTTTCCTCTGTTAATGCCCCCTATACACCTTTACATCTACTTATCAAAGACTAAAATTGAAAAAAAAGGAAACAAATTAATGAACTTAAACAGTCATCACTCTTTTTTTCAAGACCCTTTTATTTTATCAAAACCTTGAATATTTAAAACGTCAATTTCCCAGGTCCTACAGCAACTTTATATCATAAAAGAGTTATCAAACCAGGAACTGTTATTTATCATACCGATTATTTGAAGGAATATTGATCAATCTTTACATTTTTTTTTCAAAGTGCGTTAATATGGTCGATTTTAACGCACTTTGAAAAAAAATTTATTTTTTTCAAAGTGGGTTAGCTTGGTCCCAAATTTTAATGCACTTTGAAAAATTTTTCAAAGTGCGTTGTAACAATGGTAACCGCTGAATATGGCCCCTAATTTGATTTAAAAATCAGAATTCGACACAGTTAAAACTGTGATACTTTGTAGTTAAGAACTTAAATTGATGCTTGTTTTAAAACCACCACTAATTTTGACTCAAAGCTTTACAGAGGCCACAAAAGGGTACAGAGTTAGGACGTTTTCACGAATCCTCTTAAGTTATGGAAATGATAAGAATGACTGATGAAAACATTAAAAACTTGTGCTAAAGCGTAATTATGCAATTTCTTGCAAACAACAAACACATTTAAGAAATTTATTTAATTTCAAGATCATAACAAATATCAAATATTCAAAAAATAAAAAAATAGATCTCCCCAATATAATGATAATAACTTAATCTACATTGTACAATGTCAGAGCACAGACTGACCTTTGACATCAATAGACCAGTCAAAATAAAAGAATTAACTTAAATCCTTCTGATTGACTTGTTTTTCAAAAGTACATCTTTAACAAGCAATTGAGAACTGAAATACTTGTTGACATCCCTAGTACATGTACACGTATATTCCTTTATCATATTTTTTTATTGGATTTCGGGTCATACATCTTTGTGTTCAACTATATGTTTTATTACATGTATATGAATTCTACTAATATAAGTTGTAGCTCGTTTGTAAATATGAACTGCCTCATTAGGCATTAGGTATGGAATTTTATTCAAAATATTCAAAATATAACTGTTTTAAGTGGAATGTTAGTAAGATTCAAATTTAGCAGCTTATTTAAAAGAAATTGGCATTACCCGGTAAATTTATAGCTGTAAGTAATCTTAATTTAATAATTTCTAGAAAAATAGCTAAAACCACTGTTACAAAATAAAATGTTAGCAATATTCATTTTTAGCAATATCAAACTATTCACTATTAAAAATGTCAAATTTAAACTTTTGCTAAAAATTCTGCTTTTATGATATTTTAGCAGTTTTATTATACCCCCCTCAAACGAAGTTTGGGGGGTATATAGGAATCACCTTGTCCGTCTGTCTGTCCGTCTGTCAGTCTGTCTGTGCAATCGTGTCCGGTCCATATCTTTCTTACAGAGGGACATTAGAATCTACTACTCCACACAAAGATTGCCCATGACCCGAGGGTGTATCATGACCTTGACCCAAGGTCATTTGGGGAAGTTCAAGGTCACTGAAAGAAAAATTTCATAATTCGTGTCCGGTCCATATCTTTCTTATGAATAAACTTGGTAGGTTGTCATTTCACACAAAGATTGCCCATGACCCAAGGGTGTGTCATGACCTTGACCCAAGGTCATTTGGGGAAGTTCAAGGTCACTGAAAGAAAAATTTCATAATCCGTGTCCGGTCCATATCTTTCTTATGGATAAACTTGGTAGGTTCTCATTTCACACAAAGAAAGCCCATGACCAAAGGGTGTGTCATGACTTTAACCCAAGGTCATTTGGGGAAGTTCAAGGTCACTGAAAGAAAAATTTCACAAATTGTGTCCGGTCCATATCTTTCTTATGGATAAACTTGGTAGGTTCTCATTTCACACAAAGATAGCCCATGACCCAAGGGTGTGTCTTGACCTTGACCCAAGGTCATTTGGGAAGTTCAAGGTCACTGGAAGAAAAATTTCATAATTCGTGTCCGGTCCATATCTTTCTTATGGATAAACTTAGTAGGTTCTCATTTCACACAAAGATAGCCCATGACCCAAGGGTGTGTCATGACTTTGACCCAAGGTCATTTGGGGAAGTTCAAGGTCACTGAAAGAAAAATTTCACAAATTGTGTCCGGTCCATATCTTTTTTATGGATAAACTTGGTAGGTTCTCATTTCACACAAAGATAGGCCATGACCCAAGGGTGTGTCATGACTTTGACCCAAGGTCATTTGGGGAAGTTCAAGGTCACTGAAAGAAAAATTTCATAAATTGTGTCCGGTCCATATCTTTCTTATGGATAAACTTGGTAGGTTGTCATTTCACACAAAGATAGCCCATGACCCGAGGGTGTGTCATGACCTTGACCCAAGGTCATTTGGAGAAGTTCAAGGTCACTGGAAGAAAAAATTCATAATTCATGTCCGGTCCATATCTTTCTTATGGATAAACTTGGTAGGTTGTGATTTCACACAAAGATTGCCCATGACCCAAGGGTGTGTCATGACCTTGACCCAAGGTCATTTGGGGAAGTTCAAGGTCACTGGAAGAAAAATGTCATACTTCATGTTTGATACATATCTTTATTATGGAAAAACTTACTTCTGAAAAACCCAGCGGGGGGTATTTTGTCCCGTTTGGACATTTCTAGTTTTAAAATTGTCTTTGAAAATGCTGTTTGTTCTTTCTTTTCTTTTCTTTTAACAAAATACATGGTTAAGTGTAATTGATGGATGTTTTTACGAACAGTTAATTGTAAAACTTGGTGTTATAAACCTTAATAGGAAAGCAGAAATGCATCCATAATAACCATATCTTTATTTAAAGATTGTTAAAAAAATATGACTTGGCTGAAAGCAAATACGCAGTGCAACTTGCATCAGTGAAATGATATAAAATTTGATACAACATTACTCATTTTATTTTTAACTTATTTGTAAATGTATGTATATCTTGTTTTTCTGGTCATGTTATATATTTAGATGTTTCAGTGGAATGTTGTTTTTGGCATTAAAATTATTTAATAAAAGACTTCACGATGCATTAAACAGACACATACTATATAAGAAAATTATTTCCTAAGATGCTATTTTTATCACAGCCAAAAAAAAAAAAAGAAGAGAATTTCAAATAGTCAAACTAATATTGCAATGAAGCTTGAAATATATGTATAATATCTGCAAATTTTACAACGTAAATGCAGGTAGAAATTGAATACAAATTTGATGATAATGTTGAAACTACATGGAGATAAGTCTTTGCATATCAAAGTTGATATATCTTTGTATCACATTTTGTTATGTTAATTACATGTATGTAAAATATGTACATATTCTAGAGTCAATTTATGCCTATTTAATATCAAGTGTATATTGTACTGTTTCTGTTTTTTTTTTTTTTTTTGTATGTTTTATTTATACATTCATTACTAAGTAAGAATATCTGATGCATGTAATCAGAAGTTGACCAAGGCACATGTAAGTTTTTTGTTCAAAAATTCTAAAATATTTGTCTGTCTCTAACCATGTCTTCTTTAAACTTATTTTTACCTCCAAAATGCTAGCAATTCAAAAGAAGAATCTACTTTGTACATTTCTAAAGCATTTTTTTTCCCAAAGACTGATAATTGCTCAAAAAGAGTGAACATTGGGTTTTCATTTACAATTTAACCTTAACTAAAAATTCAAACCTTATGCAATTTTTTTTAATCTTGGCTTTTAGACAGTGTTGGATGCATAATAAAGACAATTTTAGAAAGGAAAGAGAGAGAGAGAGAGAGAGAGGAACAAATACTAGTATGTGTAAAATGCATTTTGGGTTAGCATTCTTGCCCATTGGACTTTGTAAGAAATGAATTTGGTGATTTTTCTTGAAAATGTGAGTGTTTTAAATATAAAATTGTTATTGAAACACAAATAAATTTTGTGACATGATTATCCAATTGTACAACTTGTCTTCTTAGCTCCTCTGAACCAAAGATGGCCTCTTTTAATAGAACCTAGAATATCAAGATTATCAGCAAATTTTTTCTGAGCAACTTCTGCTTACCAAACTTATGCATTAGGATGGATGTATATTGTAGATTAAACATTGTTGAGGGAATCATCACAGTGCTGAATGCATGTTTCCAAGATCACAGTGACTTCAAATTAGATTTAAGTTTTTTGTTATACAACTTCTCTGAAGGTGTTTTACCCTTGTGTGTCTGTCCATCTGTCTAGCTGTGTGTCTGTTAAATTTTTGGTCCTAGTTTTCTAGGCAACTATTCATTGCATATGATTGAAATTTAAGCACATTTATTTCCAGCTTCATTGCAAAACTAGGCTGAAGCAATCCATATAGTGGGATTTATTTTTGTTCTAATCTGATGACAACTTCCTGTTTATCCATGTGTCTGTCTGCAGTACTCGGCACCCTACAAAACAATTAAATTATGCGGTTTCATAAATTGCACCTGTCCGTACCATAAATAACAATATTTAGTAGCATTTTTGTCAGCAACTACTCATTGGAGATGCTTGAAATTTTAGAACATACTTTGTTGAGGCATGCCATAAGGTAGGATTTATTTTTGTATGAATCAGATGTCAACTTCTTATTTATCTGTGCATCTGCCCGCAATTGAGCTTGTGTATAATAACATGAAAGTATATATTTACATCAGAGCCGGTAATAGTGAGTGTTGGCTCACGAACTTCTTTTTTTTTTTAATACAGTATTTTGTTCATTTTGATCACTATGTCAAATCATTTTAATTGATAGCCCATTGTGAGGTAAAAGTAGCCCACAGTGATGTTCTTTTTTCTTTCGCAACTATGTGTAACTATTCATTTTCAATTTTTCAAATTAATCGTTAGGTCACCTGAGTAAACTCAGGTGACCTATTGCTATCTGTTTTCGTCTGTCGTCGTGCGGTGTGCGTCGTGCGTATATAAATTAGTGAAAATTCATGAATTCTTTGAAAATCTTCTTCTCTGCTCCTGGGTATTATAAAAACTAACTAAGTGCATAGTTATGATGAGCAAGAGTGCCTCAACCAAAATTGTGAATTTTATGGCCCCAGGGTCAGGGTTCTGGTGTTAGGGCGGGGCTCTATAGATTATATAGTTAAAATTCATGAATTCTTTGAAAATCTTCTTCTCTGCTCCTGGGTATTAAATAAACTAACTAAGTGCATACTTATGATGAGCAAGAGTGCCTTCACCAAAATTGTGAATTTTATGGCCCTAGGGTGATGGGTTCTGGTGTGAGGGCGGGGCTCTATTGATTATTAGTGAAAATACATGAATTTTATGAAAATCTTCTTCTCTGCTCCTGGGTATTAAATAAACTAACTAAGTGCATAGTTATGATGAGCAAGAATACCTCTACCAAAATTGTGAATTTTATGGCCCCAGGGTCAGGATGTTCTTGTTTTATGGATTATATAGTGAAAACATGAATTCTTTGAAAATCTTCTTCTCTGCTCCTGGGTATTAAATAAACTAACTAAGTGCATAATTATGATGAGCAAGAGTGCCTCTACGAAAATTGTGAATTTTATGGCCCATGGTGTTAGTGCAGGGCTCTATTGATTATATAGTCAAATTACATGAATTCTTTGAAAATCTTCTTCTCTGCTCCTGGGTATTAAATAAACTAACTAAGTGCATAGTTATGATGTGCAAGAGTGCCTCTACCAAAATTATGAATTTTATGGCCCCAGGGTCAAACGGGTTTGTCTTTGATTATATAATGAAAATAGATTACATGAATTCTTTGAAAAAGTGATGAGCAAGAATACCTCTTCCAAAATTTTGATTTTATGGCCCTAGGGTCAGGGGTTCTAGTGATAAGGCGGGGCTCTATTGATTATATAGTGAAAATACATTAAATCTTTGAAAATTTTCTTCTCTGCTCTTGGGTATTAAGCAGATGAACTACCTATGTAGTTATGATTATGCAAGGAAATCTTCCAGAATTGTAAATTTTGTACCAGTACTTATATACTTAAACTGGATGAATTGTTTAAGATTTGCTAAATATTTGTATTAATCAAATATTTTAGAAAAGCAAGGGTGCCATTTTAAAAATTGTGCAATGTGTGGATCTAGGCCTAAGGGTCAGGGGTTCATGTGTGATAGGGGCATTACTGATTATTGCTGAATATTACTGATTACTTGAAATGCATTTTTTGTTCCCCCACCCTGCCTATGGGTTATAAGTAAACAAACTAAGCAACTGCTAAGTGTTTATGATGATCAATGGTGCCTCTTTCAAAATTGTGAATGCCATAGTATCTGGCTTAAAACATGAATCAAATTAAATCACTGGAAAGTTGTTGCATAATGCTCAGGTGACCTATAAGGCCCATGGGCCTCTTGTTTTGTATACCGTGGAACCTAGGAACATCAAACTTTGTCATTTGATATATCATGTGTCTCAAAGTGTGTAAATTGAAAAGTAGGTCACAATGACCTACTTCTGAAATTTGAGCTATTTAGATACAAAAAAAAAATAATTCGAGTACTACATGTACTAAGAGGCTTAGAACTATCAAACCTTATTAGTTGATACACCCTGTATATCTTTAGGATGTGTCTTTTAAAAATTAGTTGAGGTTATCTTAGTTAGCTTACTGAGGCCCTGGGATTAGTGACTCCTATGTATAGGGGATTGAATGCATGATTTTCATGTTTATGTATTTCTTCGCTTCTGGTTTGATTTATTCGCGGAACTCCCTTTCTTTGCATTACTATTACATTATAGTTTTGATAATTCAATATCACAGTAACATATTTTCTGAATGCTGTAACTTATCACAACCTTGTGAGCAGATACACCTTGGTGCCTCAGAGATTGTGTCAAATAAAACAATGGTCACAGGACTCACTGAATTTTATAGCATACCAAAGCTTAAAAATTGCCTATTTCGTGCACTGTATGCTAAAAGTCGCCAAACCCAAATTATTGGATAAAGTTGGTAAACTTGATAAAACTTGGATACTAAAAGGCCTACAATCATCGAACCGTGTCAGTTAATGTGCCCTTGGACCGAAGGACTCTAAAAAAGAACACATAGACAATCATGTGCTATTGAACAGAAGCGCGATTCTGCATGGACATATATAGCTCTTGTTGTTGAATACATTTTTGGAAATCAATTTGTATTCATTTGCAGAGTTGAACTTTTAATTTCAATGATATCCTTGTAAGGTAAAATATGTATGTGAATATATGCAACTTCAATAATCTCAACCGTTCTGAATACTTTATTCCAACAAATCATAAATACAGTTTGCTATGGTATAAGAGGTCCTACATGGGTAGGTCCTACCAGTCTAGTTCTAATCTGGTCCACTAAGTACACCAAGGCAATAAACACAACGGCAGCTAGAAGTCCAGAGACGAGAGAGAAGGTCACTGAGGCTATAGACGCTGCTATGTAAGGATCGTGGATCAACTGGGTAAAGGTTGGGTCATTACTTGGAGGATCCACATCAGTAAGACATGTTTCCAGATTAGTTTGACATGAGTGGACCTGCCAAGCCGCAGGGTGTGGATACAGCCGTGTGTTCGATCCACAGTACATATAACCCGAGAATACAGCACGACTTTCATGGATTTTTTGCAACCTCTTGACCACTGAATGGTTTTCGGAATTGTTGAAATGAAGTGTTATACTTGTGTACTGCTCTTCCTCGATGCTAATTATTTGATGTGTTAATTTTGTTGAGTTGGAAATTTCTTCGGAAGAATTAAAAGAAAAGTTTCGAAGGCAAAATTGACGGACATCTTCAAATAAATTTGTTTGAAAGTAAAAAGAAACAGGAGTGACATATTTTGTTCTGAAAGAAGTGCCCCGATGATGCTTAATGAGAACGAATTGCAGGAGCAGCACTGGTTTGGAGAATTCTAGAATGAACGGAAAGCCTTCGTTTTGAAGTTGGGAGAGGCATGCCGGAAAATATGCAAAGTCAAAGGTGTTTGTCTTGTTGCTTGCGCTTCTTGCTACGAGTGTTGTGTTGGTATTACCTACAATGGAAAAGAAATGAGGGTTTAAAATACACAGTTGTAAGTAAACTATTGAAATGAAAGGCACTTATAGCGAAAACAGCGCCTTACCAAAGATTTTGTAAGAGCTAATCTCATCATCAATGAAAAATCTTTTCCCCCAGCCTTCCTTAGATGGTGGAATGGTAACATCCATATAATTCTCTTTGTATATCGTGCCCATAGCGACAAAAACAGGTTTGCTACCATTTATCGTTATCGTTGAAACATCACAGTCACATCGAACGTAAAGAGAATCACCCTTGTTCAAAAGAAAATGGTATGTGTCGGCCTTAAGGAACCATGTTATTACCCGCTCTGCACCATCCAAATTTAAATACACAGTTGTAAAGTCCCGTGGTGCCAATGAATAAAAAATTGCAACCACAGTTGTATATCTATTTTCACACGAATTCCAATTTCAACACATTAAAAAAACTTATGAAGTTTTTCCAGTTTTCCTTTCTGATGAGTCTGTAATTCACTCCATAACGTCTGTACGACATAGGCAGTCCCCAAACTCTGGAGAGATGGAACAATGAAAGTGCTCTCCCTTGACTCGACGTAGAGAACACTGGGTAATGAAGTCTCTACATTTATACCTGTAAATGAAAATGACGGAATGCAAGTAGAGCTTTGTCAAACAGTTTACCGTCTTTAGCAACAACCTAAAAGAGTAATCTGACCTACAAAGATGGCATTCTTGGAAATTTTCATTAGCTCTCTAAAGTGACAGTACAAAATTAAAGGTTAATCAGACACTCGGCTGTCACTGTTAACTTCGACTCTGATGCCGTGATTATTCGGAAAGCCTTGATCAGATCACCTTCATCAAGATGAGGCACGAATCAGTTTGTACTGATTCCTGCTGGTCGAAGTTTACGGAAACAGCTGAGTGTCTGGTCACGGCTGGGATGTGACAATTTCGATTTCAGGAAGTAGATCTCATCTTGGGGACCAGAGGAATTACTTCCCCAGGTGATTAACTTTCAGAAGGATACAGATCGAAAAATGAATCACATCCTTTGGTCATCTTTTGACTTAAAGAATTCAAAGAACGGTGAACAATTAACGTTATAACTTCGCGTGGCGCAGTAGTAATCAAAACCCATTTGCAGGTGATAAGGGTATATTGCTACATAAGGAAGTGAAGTTGATTGAAAAGCTAGTCAACATGTTTTTCATAAAGATTGGTTCTTAGATGATCATTAGGGTCTTTTTCTAGTAAAATACTAGTAACCAAATATGAAAATGTTTATGAGACTCTGTGGTATCGTTTATTTTAACCTCTCTTTATATATCGAGTCGAGGTGTGAATCAAAGTAACTATATATATAATGTTCAGTATTTGAAGATAAATAATCGATGCATCGAAATGTCGAGTTTAACGCCTCAGAGAATGTTTTCTTTTTCTCATGTAGAAGCTTTTGAACATTCTGATTTATGCGGATATAGAATAGGTTTGCTAATATTGGGGTGAAATTGGTACCCATGGGAATTCAAACAGATTGTTGGAATACATACATAGATAAAGTCTATCAAACTCGAGCATCTTTTTCATAACAACTACAGATTCCTTAATTGTGTGTTAAAACAGAATGCTTTTAAATAGAATTTTACAAATGACCAATGACAAAGTATAATACCCGAGGACCCTATGGTTGTGTTCCACGAACATCTCTGGTGCCTGACAGACAAACGGCTTCCTATTTTACCATCTATGAGATACTCTCTGATTGTAGAACGGGTAGTGACTAGTACGACCATTTTCTTCACTGTTGGTTCCAATGGTATCAGTAATAATGAAACGGAATCCTCATCACAGAATGGGACAGTAAAGTAAAACAAGCTTTTTCTTGTTTCTGAAAAAAAATGCAAAGAATTAGCTGGATAAATCTTACTTTTACCATTTAAAAAAAATCAATTTTATGGAATAAATCAGATAACCATAAATAAGGATCTGAATGAAAGACGAATACATGTATATCAAAAACTGGATGCCTGGATTTGTACATATTTTTGAACATATTTTAGTTGTAAATGATGCGAATAACAAATTTTTGAAATACTAAAAATTGTAAACTTTCTATGAATTGTCATAATTTTTCTGCAATCATCTTTTTTAATCTATACAACTTTTTGTCACACTTAATCCCATTATTGTGAAACTTTGAATGAAATAAATGTAAGCGGTAAAAGTTAAAACATGACTTAAATTGTTATTTTCATGATTTTTGACAAGAGTTTGATTGTATCATCTGTCCTTAATGAAAGCATAGCAATTCCAAGACATATTTATTGCTAATTAACGCCATGAGGAAACAAAATTTACATTTAAATCTGTAATTCAGTCATGGCTGGTGTGGAATGCACATTGCAAGAGAACAAAACGTCTTTCAAGTGGATACAATAAGAGATATTTAACAAGGAACACCTGGATAAAAAGTTGATACCAACATTCCCAAAAGTACTTATAAGTATAACGTGGTATAAGGAATACCCAATTGTAAAAGCAATTTGTATCATGGTATACAAGGGGCGGTTGAGTACATGTAATATACATTTAGAGTTGTGTGATTTGTTATTTAAGTCCCCTCTCTTTTGTTAAATTAGGAACTGTCCGATTCATATTTTGATTTTATGTCCACTTAAAGTTTTTATTTGCAAACTGAATTTGATCGAGAAGTCAAAATTGACAAAAAGTTAAAATGGTTTGACAAAAGGGGGTCTATATCACCAGTTTTGAAGGGTTTTGAAGTAAAAAAAAAATGCTTTTAAAAATAAAATATTTCTTGTAAAATGTGCAAAAGGTTTTGAAATTTTCATATTCACCTTGGAACTAACTGGGATTTGTAAAATGATGTATTTGTATAAGAAACAGACTACCAGAGTAATGTTTATTTCTGTGCAATAGAGAACATACTAGTTGTTCTGTAGTTGTGCAATATTAATTTTTAAAAGCTTTTTCACATACTTTTTATGACCAAATTGGAGTCAAAACAGTATCTTTCAGCAAAAAGCAAAATTATTTCCTACAGAGCAATCCGCATATTTTAAAAGCAGTCAAATTAAATTTAAGAATTTGAATCTTAATGTCCTGTACATGTGCAATAAGGTTTTAAAAGATTTAATAAAAATATTTTTCATCCAGGAGGTCATTTCAAACGAAAACTTTTCAAAAACAGTCATTTATAATAGTTTATATTAGCATAATTTATTATTGTTTTATTTTCGAGCATATTATACAATTTTCTATATAAAATATAATGCTTCACAAAGGAGTGAATAGAATAGGAAGAGGCTGTTTCTTCAAAATCACTGCATAATATTCTTTTAACCTTAAAGTTCACGAATCTTGACATTATGGTATTCTATCGTACTACCTCTGGTTTTATGCGAGTGTTTTGTATTTTTAAAAAAATTATATGATTTAATTCGGGTCATGTTCGAACTCACCTATGGCACCCACGATTCCAAACATGGAAATCATTAAGAAACTGCGTACCAAATCTACAACGAGAAATAGTAAAATGCGTATCTTTAATTCTTTGTTATATCAAAAAAAGTATTGTAATTTTGAAAAAAAAGAAACATTATATGTAAACTTTGATTGTTTTTTTGGTAATTTGATATGTTTAAAGTTACCAAATGTGATTGTACACGTAATATTATATGCCTCTTATCCATTTGAACTTTGATATTGCTCACAGTGTAAAAAAGTGTAAAAAATATCATTTATATATGTATGGGAACTCTTATTGATATTTGATACAGACTTTAACCGTTTAGAATAATACCCTCTTTGAGAAAGAAATTAAACTGCTTTTAAGAATAACGATATGATCACAAAAATAAAATCTGAATTTTTTTGTTTACATTAAAAGATATTCTGCAGTGAATATCTTTTGGTAACACGTTATATACTGATATAGTAAAAATTAATCAACTTTTATCAAAAATCAAAAATATTAATCAAAAATATCTTTTTTTTTACCAACTCTTTATGAAAAAAAAAGAAATTTAGATAAAAGATGCTATAACAAAGAAATTTGATCCTGGATGCAAAATAAATAAATATGTTTCAAATAAATTGCAATTCAATTATTATTTGCCCCAGATTCCAAAATCGTAATTTTATGACCATGTCAACAAAATATAACTTGATATTAGGTCGTATTTCACTGTCTAGTTTCATACCAGTTGTTAGCCCTTTGTTTAACATGTATACTGAATCTGAGTGTACGGAATGTTTCATATTCCTGATTAATACATAAGGCTCATGCAAGATTATACAGGATATACATACTCCTCCTAAACACCCGATCCCATGTTTTTGTAGACCAGGTTTTACAACAGTTTATTGGAATTCCTATTGATACCAATTGCGCCCCGTTATTAGCAGACCTATTTTTGTATTCATGTTAAGCAGAATTTGTCCAAAACCTTATGCGTGAAATAAGAAAACACTTATGCTTGCTATGGCCTTCAACTCGACATTAAGATGTGTCGATGACGTTTTGTTAATAAAAAATGGTTATTTCCATTCTTATGTCGATATGATATATTCTGGTGAGCTTGAGATAATAGATACCACAGAGTCTGACACATCTGTTTCGTATTTGGATATTTTACTTGAAAAGACGTTAATGGTAATTTAACAACCAAGCTCTGTGATAAACTGGATGACTCTAACATTTCAATATTCAATTGCAACTTCCCTTACTTTTGCAACAATATACATTCATCACCTGCATACGGATTTATATTTCTAAGTTGAATCGATACGCAAGAACATGCTCTACGTATGAATAATTTAATTTGATCACTTGAAACTGAAATGAAATATACTCTTGTCATAAAAATGCTTATTAAGAGAATCCGTAGGAAACACTGAAAGTATCCACAGGGATAACAAAATCACTTGTTTAGAGAAGTCAAAATTGACCCCTTTGTCCAAAAAAAAAGAATCCCAAATTAATGAATTCGAAGGTCAGGGTGGACTCAAATCACACAGAAAGGCAAACAGAAAGGCAAACATCACATACCAGTTCGCAGTCCTGCACGTGCAATTGTATGATCAGTATGAAAATTCTCAGATATGAGATTTATAAACACTACAACTGGGAGTAGGTATATACTTACATTTCTTTCCTGCCATTAGTTTCCTCAGCTTTTAACTCAGATCAACAAACTTTACATACGAATGTACATTTTGTGTTACTTTCAGGAATATGCTCTTAATGGAATTAATTCAATATATAACTCTTGCACCAAAAGAGGATATTCCCAAAGCATTACATGTTTTCAGTTAATTAAAGAAGAAGACAAGGGAAGTATACATGGAAGATCCAATTAATGGGATTGATTAAAAGATAGGAAAAAATTCTTGTTTGCCGTAAAGATAAAGTAAATCTTTGCATTGCCAAATTTATTGTTTATTTTCTGTTTTCTTTAACTAAACCCCACGAAATCCAACATGCAACCGATCCTCAGAACTCTGTTAATATTTGCCAGAATCACAGGACCTATTCAATGAAAAATTGCACAAAGAATATTTTAAATTTATATATAAAAAAAATCTAAGAGGAAAATGAAAAATTTGTGAAATGAAATATATGGAGATAACGAACAGCATTCAAACTTGGAGCAGAGCAAACCTCCAAAAAATCAGAGATGGGATCAGGTGTTATGTAGGAGTGGGCATCCTCTGCCATTGGGTCACAGCCGCCGTGTGCTCCTTCTTCTGATCGGGAAATAACGAAAAAAATTCGTCGATGATTCAGTGTGTATAATGACTCAACAAGCAGTTTGAAAAAAGTCAGTCAGCATTTGAAATAATGATAATTAAATTATGTTCGCTGACAAATTTATTATATCGACTATATAACTCACGAAATGATGACTTTAAACGATACTGTTGACATTCTTGTTTCATCAACTTGTTTGTCAATGGTGAACATCGTTTAAGAAATTGTTCATACGTAGAATATGTCCTCGCATACCGAATCAACAGAGAGACATAAATTCCGTATGCAGGTAACGAAGGCATATTGCTGACAACTGTAAAGTTTGTCATCACGTTTATCATGAAGCTTGGTTGCTTGATTACCATTAACGTCTTTTTCAAGTTGGATTGATTGATGATTGTATGTAGTTTAACGTCCCTCTCAAGAATTTTTCACTCATATGGAGACGTCACCGTATGCCGTTGAAGGGATTCAAATTAAGACCTATGCTCGGCACTCAGGGCAGTGAGGGTTCTTTAACGTTCCAACACCTACCGCGACACGGGGCCTACGTTTTTTTAAGGTCATATCCTAAAGACCTGTGACTTTCACTTCTAATGCCGAGTGTTTAGTGAAGGAACAGTCACTACCTATGTTTACGTCTTAGGTTTGACGCGGCACCGCGAACGAGAATCGAACCCGGGCCTTCCGATCACGAAGCGAACGCTCTACCACTAGGCTACCTTGACCAGTCCATAAGAATGAAAATAACCATTTTTAATTGACATCGTCGATATACTGTGGAATCATTAATTTTCGCGGTTTTCTAGGTATGACGAGACCCATGAATTCATTTCCACCATGAAGAGACCCATGAATTTATTTCCACCATGAAATATAATTTTGCAAATAAATTACCACTCTACAGTTCTTCTTCCACGAAGTTAAATCCCCACTAACGCATGTTTTTTCTGAAGCAAGAAGGATCTGCTAATAACGGGGTGCAATTGGTGCCCATGTGAATTCGAATAGATACATTGTAGTTGGAAGACCTGTTCTCTTAAAACCACCAGAAACTCAAGCATCTTTTTAATATCAACTTCAGAGTACTTGAGTG